TTACAGCCTATAGGTAGGTATATTATATTACTTAATTTTTACCTTTGTTTATTTTTATTCTGACGTTTTATATTACAATATGTATATGTATATATGTATACTGTATAAAGTAGGTCCCCTTTATAATACGGAACGTTTTTTATTATTGTTTTTTTTATGAAAAGTCATTCCAAATAAAAAGATTTGCTCGTGGGAAAAATAAGATTGATATTTCTTTTTTAGATTTTATATACAGGGTGTTCAAACATTATGAAAATCGGTACCTTAGAATGACAAGAATTTAAGTGCAGCTGCCTTGTTAAGCAAAAATGCCTTATCTGCAATATTTATATTGTATATTAACAGAACCTTAGAACCTTATTATTCCAAAGTACCAAAATATAAGTTTTATATAAGAAAGAAGTAGCTTTATTTAAAAAATCACAATTTTTATAAGAAAAATTTGTTACGACGGAAAATGTAACTTTAAATTTTTCTTTGTTTTTTCCAGAATCAAGTTATATAAATATAAATATAAAATATAAATATTTTTATTGTCAAAAAAATAACATTAACAAAGTTAAATTTGGGAATTAAAATGTCTTGAATAGATTTTGTTTCCTAAGTTTTAACCAAAGGAAAGATCCCAAATTTTACTAAGTGGATGTTATTTTTTAACAGAAATGACTCAAAAATATAAATATAAATAAACTCGATCGTAGAAAAATCAACTTTATAATTTCCGTCATAATTTTTGTATTCAGACTTCGTTTTTAATTACAAACAGTTTTTTCTTACAAAAATATTCAAACAAATTAAAAAGAAAGGTACCTACTACTTCTCTTTTAAATCGATTTCATGTTTTCCTAATTTTTAAACACCCTGTAAATAAAATACCAAATTTTTTTGTCAATGTTATTTTTTCGAGGATCAACTTTTTATCACGAGAGACTTCTATGAAAACCCAAAAATAAAATAAAATGTTCCTCTTCCGGGGAAATACTTTATTGCTTAATTAATTAGGTTTGCACAAAAAAAGATTAAAAGTCAAAATACCTAATAGAAAAGTAAGTACAAAAACGAGTGAAATCAAAAATACTTAAAAAGAGTAAACGTCAAGATAATAAAAGTAGGTAAGTTAAAATCACACAAAGAAATTAAAGTCAAAACAACAAAAAAAGGGTGAACTGAAAAAAACTAAATAGGAGTTAATTTAAAATAATTATAAAAAGAGTGAAGTAAAAAACATACAAAAAGAGTTAACCTAAAACAATATAAAAAGAGTATAATTAAAACATGCAAAAAATAGTAAATTTACAACCTTCAAAAAAGAGTAAAAATGAATTAATTTTAAAAGAATGAAATATAAAATACACAAAAAGGAGTAAAATTAAAATCAATCATAAAAGGGTTTTAATATTCTTATTTTAAAAAATTTAAATTTAAATCACTCAAAAAAAAATCAATAAATTTCACTCTTTAATGAGTAAATGGGTATTTACCCTTTTTTTCGCTCCTTAAGAGTAAAAAACTTTTTACGTGGCAAAGGAGTGAAAAACCATTCTTTATGAGTGTTTTTTCACTCCTTCTGAGTGATTTGGTTTAAGAGTGTACCCAAGCTGTCACATTTCCTTTTTCACAGATTTGAATAATCCGTTTATATCTCCGAGATCTGCTTTAATATTTAATTCGGTGTAAATAATTTGTACCTTTTATTTTTTTTTGAATGTTTTAACTTTTTGTTTTTAATATTTTCATTGCATAGTCAATAAAAAATCATGAAAAATGATACCCAACATGACCTAGCTAACTTCATAAATAAAAAAGTTACAAAGAAAAATAACTAAACGATTTTCTTTTGTTTTTTTGTAACAGCTTGCTTATTATTGGTGATAAATATGCCGTGTTTGTATTCATTTTTCATGTTTTTTTGAGCTCTATGGATCTAAATCATATTCTATTAAAATATTTGTTGTATAACAACATTAATGTTATTTTGTAGTTTTTTTGTTAATGTTTGATGAGTTTAATTGAAACCATGTTCCAGGAAGTGAACAAGTAACGTCTCCCACCTACATGCAGTCGTATTTCTTTGTTAGTTGGTCTTTATTTGGTTTTTAAGCACAGAAAACCGTTATTTTTTCAAATACTTTTCCTAAACTTAAACCTAAAAAAATAAAATCTTCACATTGGTTAAATCTATTGTTTTAAATCACTGTCTGCGACGAAGTTAATGCTTTGTGCCACTATTCTTTTATTTGCTAAAAAATTTAAATTACTTAAAAATAAAAGTGTTATACATATTATATTTTTTATGGTAATTTTTTTTTCGAACAGAGAGAACAAAGAAGTTTAACAATGGTCTTAAAAAATAAAACCACGAAGAGGCGACCTTAAAGTCACTGGGTCAATCCGAGTACCATGATTTTCTTTGTTCATCTGGAGTTCATACAAAAACGTTAACCTTTCTTTCTGTGCAGCGTGTTTTTGTTTCACCCTGTATCTCACTTATACGATTTTTTAACGAAATGAACATATTTTTTTCAAACGGGAAATTAAAAATCCATTATTTTGATACCCTACAACCTATACTTTGAAGCAAGTTAAACTAAATCAAGACGTCTGTGATACGCTTTCATAGCTGCCTTTGATTAAAAACGTTTGTTCTTGTAACTTCTTTGGTTTCTAACCGATTTAACAGTGCAATACGTTAAATTAAAGGGAATTTAATATGGAAATAATTTTAAATAACATTAATAATTCAAAATAATATATCTAAAAAACTTATAATTAACTTCGTTATTTGTCTTTTCAGGCTCATTTCCTCCCCCAATGTGATACATCAACAGCGGTGAGTTTAATCGTTCGACGCACTGTCGAAAATTGTGTACCCAACTGTCGTTCAAAAAATGATTGATACGCCGATAACTCGTGTTTATTTTTCGCCGGCATAATGTTGATATGCTTGAAATTTTGCCTCTACCCGTTTTACTGTACAGGGTGAGCAAAGTTTCAGGTGTTTCAGTATTGTGTAATTTCAACGAAATATTCAAATGGAAAATTAAAAATCCGTTCGTTTGAGTACCCGCATGCCATACTTTGAAGTAAAAATAACTTCCCGATCGTTCTTTGTTTTTCCATACTAACTCGCTTGGTATTGGTGTGAAGTATGTCAAGTGACCACTCAAATTAAAGGAAATTTTACCCTGATTACGATTTTGTAATAAAATATAACGTATTTGTAGACCACAAAGATTTGAGAAGACAAATAAGTATCCAATGATTGATTTATGAGGTTTGTTGAGGTATTGGGTTTCGATAAACAATTTATAAGTTTATTAAACATGCATCGACTTTACGTATTAATTCTTTGCCAAGAATTATTTATAGAGAGATTATTAATAATCGAAAAATTATACTGCTCAATACTTTAAACATACTTTCACGTAGTGGTCGTTAAATTGCTAACTTCAATTCAATGAAATTGTAAAGTATACTACTGTAAATGTCCGAGATATATAAATTTTAATGTTTGATGAATTTAAAAAGAATTACAATGTTTTTTCATATATTAATTTAAAATTATATAAAATATTACACATGCTTTGATATGAATATTTAACAAAACAATATAGAATGTTTTTTGGACGATAAAAAGTTACTTTTTGGTGTAAATTGAACAAATCAACTTAAACAATAGTGTGCTTGTGTAACATAAAACCGCCTGTAACAGGAAACTCATTTTAGTGGACCATTTTATACGATTGTTTTATGGGTGTAGGTTTCATTTGCTTTACGATTACGTCATCTGCGTTCTCTTTTGTTTCTAACTACCATGACACTCGAAAATATCGACGGACGGACGGACGGGTGAAAAATTTTCTTTAAAACGCTTGAACTTTGTGTTTCCTGTGTTATATACTAGGTGAGCAAAGATTCAGGTGTATTAAGGAGATTGTATCCACGTTTTTTAAATAGAAAATTAAAAATCCTCCAGTTTGAGTACCCACAACCTATATTTTGAACCTAAAATAGCATGCTATATAGCCCCATAACCCCCTTGCATATTTCTCTTATCATACATGGTAAGTATATCATGCGACCCCTCAAACGAAAGGGGATTTCATGTTCTTTTTAAAAACTTTGTTTCCTGTGTTAAATACTAGGTGAGCAAAGATTCAGGTGTATTAAGGAGATTGTATCCACGTTTTTTAAATAGGAAATTTAAAATCCTCCAGTTTGAGTACCCACAACCTATATTTTGAACGAAAAATAGCATGCTATATAGCCCCATAACCCCCTTGCATGTATATCATATCATACATGGTAAGTATATCAAGCGACCCCTCAAACGAAAGGGGATTTCATGCTCTTTTCAAAAATTAAATAAAAAACAGTTTATAATCTAATTATTTACATTTATTTGGTTAACTAATTATCACAGTAAAATACACAATTTACACATAAAACTTGTATACAACACGAGATTCAAATATTTAACTAACATTTTTGAATGATCGCCCTGTATACCATAAATGATCTGATATGAAGTAATATACAATAATAAAAAAAGCTATAAAATAATATAGCTATTAATAAAAATATAGGCTATGTAGGCTATATTGATTTAATACTTAGTATAGTAACATCCCGAATACTCTATTTTTTGAATATTTAAAATGTTTTGATGAACACCCTGTGTAAAATGTTATTGGTGTTATAACATAAAATAACTGTTAAAGATATACAGGGTGTGCTTTTATAAGGTTTTAAGGAACTTAGGGAAGATGATAAAATTAGGCCATTGTTTTTTTTTGATAATGTAACATAATGTAACAGTTTTTTATGGTCCCAAAATCGTTACTATCGGAAAATGTTCTTTGGTTTTATCAACAAAAAATACTAAAGTAGTATTTTGATTTTTTAAAGCAAAAAATATAGACGATATTGATGCAATATTGTCCTTGGTATAATAGTAGGGTGTTGGTTTAAACTCGGCAACTGTAGTTTTTAAATACAATTTACCATACTTCACATTTATTCTTCGGATTCATCTTGGATCCAACTTTGCATTTAAACTCATCGCTAAACTCCTTAAGGTTGCTTAGAGCACCAATGACCCTCAACTGAGCAGGAGAATGTGAATCTTTTTCGATCAGTAAACTGTAAGTTTCTTTTGTGGTTGTTGAACACCAAACCTGAGCGAAAGCTAGGAAAAACAGTTGTTTGTGATTCAAATTAAGACCTGGTAACTTCTTGGGTTCAGATTTATGCTTCATTATCTCCAAGTAAGCGTGATATGATGCCTTTAAGCCTCCATTATCGGCGATGTTCTCTCCTAAAGTTTGATTGCCATTTATATTCCTTCCGTTTATCTTGTAATTGTCTGAAAGTGATATATTGTATTTTCATTGTATTAACAACAAAAAATCCTTTAAAATGAGCCCAAACACGGTATACTTTGCTTAAGAGATAAGAAAGTTACCCCATATGGGTCATTTACCCCATGTAATGCCAACTTTCTTATCTCTCGAGCAAAGTATGCCGTGTTTGGGCTCATTTTAAAGGCCTTTTAATAATTTCTCCAAAAATACTCACGATATTGATCAATCACGCACTTGGTCCTCTCCTTAAACTTATCGATGGTCTTATTGTTCCACCAATGATTTAGATTGCCGTTCTTATCGAATTGGCGGCCTTGATCGTCGAAGCCGTGGGTTAACTCGTGACCCATTACCACCCCCATTCCACCGTAGTTCAGGCTGTCGGGAAAGTCGGGGTCATAGAAGGGGTTTTGCAGGATTCCTGCGGGGAATACCATCTGGTTTTTGGTTGGGGTGTAGTATGCGTTTACTGTGGATGGAGACATGCCTAGTGTGAAAAAAAAAAGTTAGTATAAGTCTTAGATTGGTGAGTTAAGTTGAGACCATAAGATACCATTTTAAAAATCAAAACCAGTAGTTTAACACATATATTTGTATTAATGACAATTGAGGAAAAGTGTGGGTTTACTATTTACAGAAACAAGCTTGTTATATTCTTTGGTTCCATCCAATCTAGGGTCATCTTTTGCTTTTTTCTCGAAGGTACTGTCGACCTTAAGCATGTGTTTGAATAGATTTTTGGATAGGGCATGTTTATCCAGGATGTGATTTAAAAAGTTTTCATCGTATACCGATTTAAGATCTATTATTCGAAGGTGTTCTTTTGATTCTTTGTTTGTGAGTAGTATGCAGTTCCAGGGAGTCCATTCCTTGGATTTATCCCATCTAGGCAAACGTAGTTCGTATATGTCTTTGCATTCTGATAGAGCTGAGTGGGCATGCCATATATCTTGTATTATTTTGTGAATGTCTATGGCTTGGAGTATAAAAATCATGGAGGTTAAAGCGTGATGCTGCCTTTCATACTTTCTGATCTGGTTTAGTATGAACTGATAGGGTGGTAGGTCAACCCATGGTTTGCATATGTTGGCTTGGAGGTTACAGGTGGAACACACGGTTAGTTTATCGGATTGGGCTGTGAAAACCATTTCTTCTTGCGTTTTAAGCTTGCAGCATCGTGAGCATTGCTCCAAGTTGTTCTTCATCAACTTCTCCTTGACTCGTTTCATTCTATTGGTTACGCCTTGGTTGCAATCTTCGTTGCGTATATGTTCGAGGAATAAACCTCTGATGATCTTTTCCAGACCTTTATAAGCATTTTTGTTGATGTTCCTGGCGGCCATTATGCTGACTCTATTTATTAATCTGGTGATTTCCATGCCCTCTATGCAACGGTGGCTATCCAATTCTGTCTTGATGTCTGCGTATATTTTAAGGCGTTCTTCTATGCTGGTGTCTTCATATAGAACCTTGTATTTCTCGAAGAAGGCTCTGCCTTGTTGTGTTTCTATGGTATCCATCTCTAGTAGCAACATTTTATAGTCACTGTGCCACTTAATTGGCATTCCTATGCTGCGAAAAAATTGCACAACTTTCTGCGTTTCTATATCGTCTTTCACGCGTTGGTTCATTTTGTGTATCTCCGACATAATCTGTATTTCTTTCTCCAACAAATTTTTCTCTTCGACCATCCTAGCCGGCCCACAGTAATCTCTCACAATGCGTTTGTATTCGCTTGTTTTCCAGGCGTCTAGCACTGTGTACAACACAGCAAAATCGTTACTGGTTAACGGGAAAACCTTCTTTATTAAACCCAGCTTGCGTCGCAACTCGTCCTCGCGTATTTCTTCCAACTTCCGTTCGTGTTCCAACCGTTTCCTCTTCTGATACTCCTCGCAAACCAACTTCAGTTTGCGTCGTATCATCATGGCTCTGTAACATTTCTGTATGTACTTTAACTTCCCCATCACGCCCAGTCTTTTTTCACGGTCATCTGCAGTTTCGTAAGGTTGTGAGGTTTTGATCACATCTCCAGTGTTATCAATGTAGTGATCGTTTCTCGCCATCTGAGTACAACGGCTGTAAGCTTGTACGACTTTGCGGTTCCGTATGAAGACGGTCTGGGTATCCCTGTGGTTTTTCTTCCACGGTGGTGGGTTACCCAATGGGGGCCCGGTTTGGGAGTAACCATGGACGTAGTTTATACCACTACAAACATTGTAAAACCCACCCAGGTTAGGTTTGTGTATCACCTTACTTATAACAAGTACTGTAACGGTGTACTCAGGCCCCTTATTCGTATTTGGTACCATTATTTTTCGACCACACTCATCTAGTGCCTCTACGTAATCTTCTCCCTTCTGAACCCTAACCTCCAACTCGTACGGTGGAGGATTGTGTGTGCAAACACAACCATCGTCTTCATCAGCAAAGTTGTCTTTATAATCATAAGAAAAAGGCAGACTGGTGATTAAATCCAAGTAATTATTTTTTAAATTCAAATCTATCAACCTTAAGTTGTTGTCCAAGTTGGTATTTTGATACACCAAATTCACTGTGGACTGATTGGGGCTGTAGTTCAACAGTAAATCTTCTTTTATATCTTCCACAGCAATGTCGTGCTCGTAATTTTGTATATACAGGATAAACCGTTGGGTTTCATCCAAAAATTTAACACAAATTGGTTCTTGTGCGTAATATTTATCATATAAATAAGTGCTTTCTTCCTCCATATTAAGAAAAAATTACATAAAATGGGGAATAGACAAAAATGTCATGTGTATAAAATGACATCCAGGATGCCAACTGCTAACACAAAAGATAATTAACCCTGCTATAAAATAATACTTACTCCAAGTAGTCTTGTTGACACTTTCCTTAATTTTCTCCAAATTCTTTTTCAAATTGTGCACCAATATATTAATGTTATTTTTAAAGTAGGTATCATTTCTAACACTCAAATTTTCGTATCTCTTATCCAGTTGGTTGAAATCGTTAATGAATTCTGGATATCCAATCATATCGGAAATAGCATCAGCTTTTGCAATAGCCAAATTTCTTGTCTCTTCATCCATCCACTCTAAGTTGATAAAGTTGTTTTTAAACGCGTTTCGTACGTTATTAATCATCTCTTCAGCGTGGATTTTGGACTCCTGATGGAAGACTTCGCGCACGAAAATTGATCCCACTGGAAAACCTGGAAGAAAGAAGATGGCTAAAGAACGGCAGAAGATATAGGAAATTTGATGAAGGCATTGAAAAGCTGAGCAAATATTTCATTGTATGCATATATCGTATTTATAAAAAACAATATTTATTACATAAAACGTGGGTAGTATAAAATAAAGGTGTGGTTGGAATGGAAACAATTATTTTGAACTCTTATGTCAAATTAAAAATCCATATCATATTTTTAAAATTACAACTTAGTAGTATTTTCAGTCAGGTTCCAGCGCTTGAGAAGGCACCACGCGTGAGTGAAAGCTCTTAAAACGTAAAAGTTGTTACGGTGTTCGTAGCAAGGAGACTTGAAGAAGCCTGGGTTGCTCCGGTGGCTCAATGGAGAAGGGGGTGGGTACAATTAGTACTAAAATTTTAAACGATAAGAGGGCGCCATGCAATTTACCCCGGCGAAAAATATAGGCTTGGACAAATTGCAAAAATCCGTGTCTAATGGCTAAGGTTGATAAGTATCAAAAAATAAACGTTTAACGCTATTGAGTAAGTATATTCGGTGTAAAATGATAAATGAATATAAAATATTTAAAATAAAACAATAAAGAAAATGTAAATTAATTTAGAGCGCAAATTAGCTAATTTGTCTTTACACGTATGTATCTTAACTTAAACTTAAGATGTAAAGTGAATAAAACAAAAGAACAATAATAATACTCCGGGCAATTTCCGGTACGCGCTGTGGAATATACTCGCAGCCCAAACTTAAAATTATGGTACTTATCAGTGTCCAGGTTCCCAAACGAATCCAAAATCCAGAATATGTGCTAAGGCTAAATTATTCAATCTTCAAGGGTTCCAGCCTCGTACAAATGGACTGGGGGTGTACCAGCAGCCTTGCACACTTCTTGTGGCTTCAACCCTTACAAGGAAAATATACTGTCTTTGGAAATTTATATAAACCTCATGGATTTATCCAGCGTACAGATTAAGTACAGGAACTAAGAATATAAACAACAAAATTAGAAATATACAAGACAAAAGACAAAAGACTTACCGATTACATGAAAAATGAGGGTGAAATGGTTCTTTCCAACATCCGGAATAAATCCGTTAACATCCCGTAATACAAACTACCTTCTACCAAAATAATTCACTACAACCACTTTACAGGATGTAAATGGCACAGGAAGAAATATTAAAATCCGTTACCAACAACGATGGCACTAAATACAGCCAAACTTATATTTCTGTCCAGAAGAACCAACATGGAGAGTCACCAACAGAGTGTTAAAAAACCGAATCTCAAGAAGCGGGAAAATCAGACTACGGGTAATACTTAGGGAAGTTTTGTATAGATGGCCAATAAAATATTTAAGAAATTAGAAATTTTAGGTACTGACTTAAAATTACTTAGTAACAAGAACGAATATTATTTAATAAACTTTGCTTATGCTTGTTAACAATTTAGATGTTATAAAATGTAAATAGATTTTAATTAAAATAAAAAGACCAGTTAATAATTACAGATTTCATTATTTATAAAATTTACGGTAAGTAAAGAGAATAACAATAAATGCGTTTATTTCTTTTGTTTATAAACACCTGCAAATCAACAAATCGTTTTTACTGATTTCTTTTAAGTAAATTTAAAATATTCACTAATTATGGTAAGATGTCGCTAGCTTTACAAAATTGTTATAAATTTTACGTCTAATAAAAATTAAAATATTACTTAATATTAAGCCCTAATTTGGACCGTAACAACTCCCCCCTTACTTCCGAGATTTTTTTTTCTTTTAACCAAGTCTTCCCAAAATCCCCACAACATAACATAGACAAAACAAAAAAAAAAAATCTTAACACCTAACCTTCATCCTCAAACCCCGAATCATTATAAGGTTTCATATCCTTTACGTGCCAATTTCCCTTGCTAACTCCGTCCAAATCCTCTAACTCATACACACAATGACCTAATTTTTTACGAACTCTAAATGGTCCACAGAATTTCTCTGCAAGTTTTGCCGCATAATAATTACCTCCATCCGATAACTTAAAATTCCTTTTTAAAACTAAATCGCCAATGTCGAAGAAAACAGGTCTACGTCTTAAGTTATACTGTCTACTAGTTTTCTCTTGACTATTTTTTAATCGTTTATAAACAAATTCCCTTAATTTGCTTAAACCATCTTTATCCTTTTCCTTCAATGCTAACTTTCCCTCAACTATACCATCTTTTGTATATTCGCTCCCGTGCAAAACCATTTCTTGTCCAAAATTTACAAAATACGGAGTTTTATTTGTAACTTCGTGACGAGCAGAACGAACAGCACAAGCCAAATGCTGCAAATTATTATCCCACGATCTGTGATTTCCATTAACATAGGCTGTTAACATAGTTTTTAACACGCGATTCAGCCTTTCGGTTGGATTAACTTCTGGAGTATAGGTCGGGTTGAAAATAGTTTTTATTCCGTAAGTATCCGTCAGTTTTTTAAATTCTTTACTTTTAAATTGAACACCATTATCACATAAAATAAACTTAGGGATTCCAAACATCATAAAAACATTTTCTTCCAACAACTTAGTAACATTTACAGCATTTGCTCTGCGTATTGGGAAAAATAGGCAATATTTACTAAAACTATCGGACACTACCAGAATGTGTATATACCCATGAGTGCTTTTAGGAAGAGGCCCTACAAGATCTGTACTTATGATTTCCCAACAACGTTTCGCGATAGGTTTATTGCCCATTAAACCTGCTTTACATTTCTGTTCAGGTTTAGTCTTTTGACAGACTTTACAACAGTTTATATATCGAGTGATATCTTTTTTCATAAAAGGCCAATAGTACAGTCTTGAAACTCGGTGGAAAGTTTTATAAATTCCTAAATGACCTGAAATAGGAATATTGTGACACTTATAAATTACATCCCGGCGTTTACCTTTTGGCAAAACTAATTTCCAATATTCTTCATCATTACGTAATTCAGGAAAATCACACTCTACATATTTATACAACCTATTCCCAGACACTCGCCATTTAGGATAGTTTAATGGGTCATTTAAGACTTTGACTCGTAAATCTAGGTACCATTTATCGCTCACATCGTCAAAATCATCATTCACACCAACATTCTCACTAAGTACAATATTTTCGCAAACTGGGACGCTTCTAGACAATGCGTCTGGAACAAGATGTTCCTTACCTTTCCTGTGGATAATGGTATATTTGAATTGTTGTAATCTCAAAGCCCATCTACCAAGCCTACCTTGAGGATCCTTTAAGTTATTTAGCCACAAAAGCGAATGGTGGTCTGTAACAACCACAAATTCCGAACCCTCCAAATAACAACGGAGCTTCTCTATAGACCAAAGCACAGATAAACATTCCCGTTCTGTAGTGGAGAACTTACGTTCATTTTTCGTCAGGGATCTTGAAAGATAACAAATAACATGCTCAGCACCATCATATTTTTGTGACAAAACAGATCCAATTCCAAATCCAGATGCGTCACATTGAAGAATAAAAGGCTTTTCGAAATTTGGACACGACAAAATTGGGGCACTTACTAATGCATCTTTAATATCTAACAATGCCTTTTCACAACTTTCGGACCAAATAAACTTTACACCCTTTTTCAATAACTTTGACAAAGGAGCTATCATATCAGAGTAGTTTTTAATAAATTTTCTATACCAACTAGCCATACCTATTATAGACCTTACTTCAGAAATATTTTTGGGAGCAGTAATATTAACAATAGCTGAAACCTTGTCCGGATCAACGTGCAACCCTTTACGATTAACAACATATCCTAAATACTTTAACTCTGATCTACAAAAATTACACTTTTCCTTGTTAAGAGTAAGATTAGCCTGTAAAAGACGCTTAAATATCTCCCCAAGTACCTCAAAATGTTTCTCTAGGGTTGGTGTTACCACAATTATGTCATCCAAATAGACGAATACAAAGGGTTTTAGTTCGGGCCCAAAAATTGTATCAACGAGTCTCTGAAAGGTAGCACCAGCACTATGAAGACCAAAGGGCATACGAGTGAATTGGAATAGACCACGTCCTGGGATTGAAATTGCAGTCAAAGGTTTACTCTGTTCTTCCAACTCTACTTGCATATAAGCACTCCTTATATCTAAAGAACTGATATATTTAGCGTTACCTAATTTACTTAAGATTGAATTTAAAAATGGTAAGGGATAAACATCTCGTTCAGAAACTGCGTTAAGTTTCCGAAAGTCGACGCAAAAGCGCCAAGAGCCATCTTTTTTAGGTACTAACAAAATAGGATTTGACCAGCTACTGTTACTCTTTTCCAAAATACCTTGTTTTAAAAGTTTGTCTACCTCTTCATCTATAACCTTTTGCTTATAGGGAGACACCGGGTACGGACGTTGTCTTATCGGTTTGCTACTAGTGACTATTTTATGCTTAACTACATTTGTACACCCTAACTCTGATTCATCTATGTTACTAAAATATTCATCAATTAAACCATTTAAAGTCTTTAACTCATTCTCACTTAAATCATTCATAGATTCTACAGAATTAACTTCAGGAGCAACCATTTCGTTTGGTGAAAAATGCCATTCACCTTTTCTAACATCTGGCACTATACCCATTCGACTCCAAAAATCAATGCCTAAGTACAAACTATGTCGCAACTGAGGTATAATGTAGACGTCAATAACTTTAATTACATGCTTTAATTGGATAGGAACACTTACAACACCAATACATTTACATATCTCATCATTCGCAACCTTACACTCCAGATCAGTCTTCTCCAACTTAAACCCTAAACCCTTTAATAATTCCCAACCTTTACGATTAGCAAATGTCCTACTTGCGCCTGAGTCTAATAATCCATAAACTTTATGACCTAAAATATTTACCAAAACATAAGGACATTCGTCGGCACTAGCTTGAGCTAAAATGTACTGCAAAACAAGAGAATTTGGATTTAAAATAGGGGCCGATTGACTATTAGCGACCAGACCACGGCCTACGTCTGACGCCTTTGCCCGTTTCCCGAATTATGTTGGCTAGAACCAAAATTGCATTGAGGGCATGTACGTTTAGTAAAATTAATTTTCCCACATCCAAAACATTTTATATCTGATTTAACTGTACAGTACCTAGCAATATGATTCGGTTTATTACAACGCCAACAAAGTTTTTCACTATTATTACCTTGTGATTGTATATTTTCGGACCTATTTACTCTTTGAAAATTATCAACTAAGTTTAACTGCGCGTCTGATTTGCCTTGATAAGCTAGTTGTGGCTCTAAACTTAAATCGCTTAAATTAGGAGGTTTAAAAGATTGTACTGATACTCTAGTGGTTTCTATTTTCCGACAAAGTTCAATCAATTCAAAAGGGGTGCTTATTTCCACTAATGCTAGTCGTTCTTGATAAAAGGGTATAATATTCTTACGTAGAACCTGCAGTCGTAATGAATCGGGTACCTGAACTGGCATTCTATCAAATAGTTCAGTCATAGTTGCAACATAAATACCTATAGATTCATCACCACCTTGGGTTCTAGCTAAAATTTGTTTCCATAGTTGATCTGCGCAAAAGGGTGGCATAAACTCCTCTTTCATTAAACGAACTAAGTGATCCCAATCAGTTACATATTTACTAACAATTCTATACCAAGCTAGCGCATCACCTTCAAATAAATCAGTAGCCGATAAAAATAACTGATCTTTAGTAACATTGCGAGACTTACACATGTCGTTCACTTGCTGTAAGAATGAATTTAAGCTTAACTGTGCTCCAGACTTCCCAGAAAATTTCAAATTCCATTTATATACTGGAACAGACTTAAAACTATTTAAACTATTATTTAAACTATTATCATTACTATTATTTGCATTAACATTATCATTTTGGACAGTATTAGAGCGTTGAGGTGTAGAAGTGCCAACCGGCTGCATATTATTAGGGTTTGGTTCAACAAAATGGGGATCTAAAGGAGGTGCTGCAGGGTCTGTTCTTGTTAGCGCAATATTTTTTGTTTTATTGTTATATTCCGCAACTAATTCCATAAATTCACTTAATAATTTAGACAGTTTACTATTTAAATCATCATTAGATGGTTTAATTCTATATAACCTATTGCAAATATGATTTAATTTTGTTTCAAATTTTTTAATTTGAGAGGATGTACCTGTAAAAGAATTAAGTGAATCGCTAATCTCATTTATTTTATCTTCGCAAATTTGTAGCTCAGTTTTTTCATCAAATACAAATGAAGAATGCAAAATTTTACCCTGCTTTTCTAATTGAATTGCACTACGCAGCCGTTTGCGCAGCGTATCTACTGTGCCCTCCTCAATAATACCTCGGACTTTTAGTTCGTACTCAAGTTCATCTTTATTGTACCTTTCTATATCAACAATGAACGACATGTCTAAATATTATTTTAATATACAACAACAAAAAAATATACAAAAAAAACAATAACAAATTCAATTATATACTTCAAATATATAAACTAACAACTTTATACTTTCAAATAATCGTTCCTGTACACCGCAGTTTATTTGAAATTCCAAACAAATAAAAAAAAAAAATTATTCAATTTGTAAATAAACAAAAATTTTTTTTTTATATACAACCAACAATAAAACTTAAAGAAAACGTTGGGCGCCAAATTTGTTACGGTGTTCGTAGCAAGGAGACTTGAAGAAGCCTGGGTTGCTCCGGTGGCTCAATGGAGAAGGGGGTGGGTACAATTAGTACTAAAATTTTAAACGATAAGAGGGCGCCATGCAATTTACCCCGGCGAAAAATATAGGCTTGGACAAATTGCAAAATCCGTGTCTAATGGCTAAGGTTGATAAGTATCAAAAAATAAACGTTTAACGCTATTGAGTAAGTATATTCGGTGTAAAATGATAAATGAATATAAAATATTTAAAATAAAACAATAAAGAAAATGTAAATTAATTTAGAGCGCAAATTAGCTAATTTGTCTTTACACGTATGTATCTTAACTTAAACTTAAGATGTAAAGTGAATAAAACAAAAGAACAATAATAATACTCCGGGCAATTTCCGGTACGCGCTGTGGAATATACTCGCAGCCCAAACTTAAAATTATGGTACTTATCAGTGTCCAGGTTCCCAAACGAATCCAAAATCCAGAATATGTGCTAAGGCTAAATTATTCAATCTTCAAGGGTTCCAGCCTCGTACAAATGGACTGGGGGTGTACCAGCAGCCTTGCACACTTCTTGTGGCTTCAACCCTTACAAGGAAAATATACTGTCTTTGGAAATTTATATAAACCTCATGGATTTATCCAGCGTACAGATTAAGTACAGGAACTAAGAATATAAACAACAAAATTAGAAATATACAAGACAAAAGACAAAAGACTTACCGATTACAAGAAAAATGAGGGTGAAATGGTTCTTTCCAACATCCGGAATAAATCCGTTAACATCCCGTAATACAAACTACCTTCTACCAAAATAATTCACTACAACCACTTTACAGGATGTAAATGGCACAGGAAGAAATATTAAAATCCGTTACCAACAACGATGGCACTAAATACAGCCAAACTTATATTTCTGTCCAGAAGAACCAACATGGAGAGTCACCAACAGAGTGTTAAAAAACCGAATCTCAAGAAGCGGGAAAATCAGACTACGGGTAATACTTAGGGAAGTTTTGTATAGATGGCCAATAAAATATTTAAGAAATTAGAAATTTTAGGTACTGACTTAAAATTACTTAGTAACAAGAACGAATATTATTTAATAAACTTTGCTTATGCTTGTTAACAATTTAGATGTTATAAAATGTAAATAGATTTTAATTAAAATAAAAAGACCAGTTAATAATTACAGATTTCATTATTTATAAAATTTACGGTAAGTAAAGAGAATAACAATAAATGCGTTTATTTCTTTTGTTTATAAACACCTGCAAATCAACAAATCGTTTTTACTGATTTCTTTAAAGTAAATTTAAAATATTCACTAATTATGGTAAGATGTCGCTAGCTTTACAAAATTGTTATAAATTTTACGTCTAATAAAAATTAAAATATTACTTAATATTAAGCCCTAATTTGGACCGTAACAAAGTTTAAAGATTAAAACCAACAATAATTCTTAAAAAGTGCAAACCAATTATAGTGAATCAAACAATTTTCATAGAGTGCAAACTAAAATGGTGTAACGGTCAATGAGGAGTGAAGTGTTAAGTGATATGAATGAGTTAAGTGCCACCTGTCTTTGGACGCTTTTCACTGGACAAACAAAGGAGGTCAAACAAGAGGGGAGATGGCCATCCGCAAAAAAAATGATAAGTAACCTTAAGAATATGCATGACCTAATACAAAATCTGCAAATTAAACACGGCAGATATATTTAAAACCCTAAGAAAGGCACAGGCGTAGGGCAATAAATCTGTCAACAACAAATGCGTAATGCAAACCTAAACGAGACCGAAAATAAACACTAGACTCACAGAATAAACTAACACATTAATCATTATAACCCTAACATAGTAAAAAAAAGCATAATAACCAAACTCTACTGGATTTGTAAACATTAGATAACAGAATAAATGCGCTTGTCATTTGTTTAACTAATAAATAAATGCAATACTTAATTTTGAAATTTAAGAAAAAAAGACAAAACTCTACCACAAAACGTGCTTGGGACAAAATTTACGCAAACTTGAACGGAAGATCATTACACTACTAACGACAGACTTACCCTTACTACCATCACCAACATCCCCGCGACCTGCTAATGGGCAAAACCATTACCAAAAGAGTAAGAGTATCCCAATTAAAATACTGGGCCCACGTCACGCAACAACATACTACAAGCCACCCTTAAACTAGACCTTACAGACAAAAAAGTCGGGAGACCATGCTTCACATATCATGACACGTTAGCACAAAATATGCACTTCTCACAAATTAACAAGACCAGTTGGGAGCAACTAAGCAACAATAAAAATAAAATAACTTTACCAAGTGCAGGAACTATCTGACCAGGACACGGACAATGACAATAACGAACAAGACGAAGACCTCGACTAGGAAACTACACCCCTGCAGCGAAATAACAACTCCCCAACTCCAAATAGTAATCCCAAATGTTTGGAGTAATACTAATCGACTGGTCTAGGGGGATTCCGCGTCGTACTTAGTTTTAAGTCGGCGTAATTGTCCCCCAAAAAGCAACAAACGTCTATCCCTCCCGTCCCTCCTCCTCTATACCCCACTGAGCGTATAGCATAGGCTCGGCGAACCCGGGAATGGCTATTAAAACTATTCGCCTCTCGCTCTCGAGCCCCAAATAGGGGACAGTACGGAACGCAATGGACATTCGCACCCAGCAAACACGGGTGAAGCCGTGCAGTTGCTGGGGGCGAACAAAAATCGGCGTAAGTAAACATAGGCCTGTACGGGGTCCGGGAGTGATGAGGCAATGGGGCTGGTTATACGTCTCTTATACTCATACTCATACAACTTAGTAGTATTAAAAAATTGAAAAGCGATTTTCAACCAAACTCACCTAATTGGTTGGTGGTATCCTCAACGCAGAAGCGCCATTGGGCCTCATCTCCGCTGTCAGGTCCTGTCATTGCAGTTCTTAGGATCTTGTAAGCATCTCTGAAGTTTTTGGATAAATATACGGTAAAAAATCGGACGAATTGCCATACCATGTAGTTATTTAGGGTGCTACAAATAATTTTGTTAATATTTTTTTTAATTTGCTATATTGAGTAGGTTACTTTTTTCCCTGTGGTGTTTTTTGGTACTTGTCTATGAGTAGAGTTAGGTTTGATAGGTATTCAACAGCATAAACCACAATTGGTTCCTTGGAACTCACTTTTTTATTAACTATCTTCATGGCGTCTTCAAAAAATTTTCTCCAATCAATCTATAAAAATTATACTGTTAATTGAAAAAAAACTCTGGGTATGATTACTTACAAAACCAGCCTTAGTATTTAGCTCTTGAATCGTCATGTTATGATAAAAAGTACTTTCATCCCTTCTCATATCACTTGGTGTCGTTATATTGGCCAATTCCGTTTCAAATTCTATTACTTCCTTCATTTGTTGTTTTGTTATGTTTTCTTCGCCACCAAGCAGCACACCAACCTAAGAAAACAATCACCAAAATTTTAATTATTAGAGTTTGTTACACTGTTTAAAATATCTGTGGTGTAAAAAGTAATCTTAAACTGGTGTCAAAATCCAACACCAAGTGGTGTTAATATAACACCAAAACGGTGCTTATCTAAAAATATTTGAAAAGTACACCTACACAGAAAAAAAGGAATAGTTAGTTCATTTAACTATATTAATTTAGTTGACCCATAAGTATTTATTTCCGGTTGCATATTGTGTACCGATTGCGGCAAAGGCGGTGTGGATCACGTGATGTTCTTAAATCTCGCCTCTGTTGACTTACATGAAGAGTATATAAGCTCAGGTAGTCCTTTGCTTCCTGTTTCCTTTTTTTCCTTTTTTCTGTGTAGTATGATTTAATTTGACCACAAACACATAATATTTAACACTGAAAAGGAGTTCAATTTACACCAGGTACAATTTATTTTAATACTGTGTGAAAGTTAAATTAACACTATTTTAGTATTTGAATTTACACCGAACCAACGAACCATATTTAACACAATTTTGGTTTGTATCGATATAGACCATGTATGGTGTTTATTTGGTGTTAAAATGGTCATGCAATTTTGAACAGTGTATTTGCAAAATTGTTCATGGGCTGGGATAAATCAATAATTATGACCATGGTGATCAAATGAGGATAAAAAGTGTTTATATGTTCCTACTGTGCTACATTAAGGAACATATAAGGAACAGCGCAGCATGGAGCAGTCAGTTAAGCTTTGGTACTCGCGACGAAATAAAATAAATATACGTGCAAATACATAAACGCTTGTACAGTAGTGATATATAAATAATTATTGGTTAAGTGTTTAGTTAGTTTATAGTTTCTTAGTGTTTTAATTGTAAATTAAAAATAAACCTTTAGTTCATTAATAAACCAGGTCTTGTTTTTATTCACACTACGAACAGTAAAAACGTTACAATACCTTTGTCATATATTCCAAATAAGCATCCAGAACCTTCTGATGCTCAGCTGTTTTGTTCAAATAACTGTCTCTGGTAGGTAATGTAAGCCCGCTTTGATCAATCTGTATTATATATCTGGATGAGTTCTTGTCATCTTCACCAACCGCGTATGAAAATAAACCTCCTATGTTGTATCGGTTTTGAACTGTCTGGATGATTTGCTGTAGTGACCATTTGGAAATATTAAAGTTCTTGTCGCTGATATTCCAACCCCCGATAACTTTTAACTCGTCTAATAAAGGCTGAGCCCCCAATTTCTCCACTGTATCGTTAACATCTAAACAAGACTCGTAGTAGAGCTTCGCTTTTTGCTGCGCTTTTGACTTAAAGTTTTTTATGGGTTGTTCTAAAATATAAAATCTGTTAATTTACCTATTTCTGCACCAAAATCAACAAACAATACACCAAAATAACCCCCAAACAACCCTTTACAAACCCCCTCTTACAAAACGACCCCACCATGACCCCTTAACCCCACCACGACCCCTTTCCCAACTCACCTAATCCATGTTTGATCACCAACTGATTCTGCTGCCCCAGCTTGGAAAATGTACCCCACTGGGGTTTACCATCGGGTGCAGGGTTGGCTTTAACCCATCCATTACACGCATAAGCGTAAAAATCATCGCATGGATCCACGGTGCTATCCATGGCTAGTAGCAAATTGTTCGCTATGTGGATGCAAGATTGATTTAAGCAGGGTTGTTCATTTTGGGTTTTTAGTTCGTTTATCTGAAATGTTTTGAAGAGAATGTTTTATGGGTTTAATAGAGAATTAAATTCTCTACAATTTTGATAATTATAGTTTTTTTGTAAGGTTTATGGTTTTTGAGATATTTGGAGTTAAGGTTAGGATTACATAAGGGATTGTTTTTAAAGCTGTATGGTACAGGGTGGTCCACGTAAGGTGACCCATATACTTATCTCAGAAACTACTGGAGTCACAAAAAATTTGTAAGAAACAAATATTCACGAATTAAAAAATATTTTTAAAATATTATATTTTCATTTATACAGGGTGTTCGGTTTTCCTTGGGACGATACCAACTTTCTTATTTTCAATGGAACACCCTGTATTTTTTTGCATTTTTGGATTCTACCCACTCTTTTAGGTATACTTTGTAAATATATTAATTAAGAAAATGTTAATACTTTTTGAGTAAAATTAAGATTTATTAAAATTTCTCTAAATGTAGACACTCGCTAAAAGTTAAAAATAATCAACTAAAAGTTATTATTTTTTATATTATGTAGTATCCATCTCTTTATTAATAAGTAAGCTATAAGTTAATTATTATATTTTTTGGAAAATATCATACAGGGTGTTTCCTATGTCCCGTTGAAAATAGCGATTTTAAAAGTTTAAAATCTTGTTTTTCTTCAATGGAACACCCTATATATTTTTGCATAATTGGATAGAATAAGTAATTACCTTTCATTTTATATATATATATGTCCTATACCTAAACCTAACAGAAACGAAAATATTCGCATTTTTCACAATTAGTAGCTTTTTTCCAATTAATTTAGTTAAATTTTCATTATTCAAATAAATAAATTTCAATAACAACAAATAAAAATGCTTTTATATATAAATATATATTACTATAATAATTACCTTACGCGCAAAGCTACTAATTTTGTAAAATGCAAATATTTTTTTTAGGTGATCCACGTAAGGTGACCCATATACTTATCTCAGAAACTACTGGAGTCACAAAAAATTTGTAAGAAACAAATATTCACGAAGTAAAAAATATTTTTAAAATATTATATTTTCATTTATACAGGGTGTTCGGTTTTCCTTGGGACGATACCAACTTTCTTATTTTCAATGGAACACCCTATATTTTTTTGCATTTTTGGATTCTACACACTCTTTTAGGTATACTTTGTAAATATATTAATTAAGAAAATGTTAATACTTTTTGAATAAAATGAGGATTTATTAAAATTTCTCTAAATGTAGACATTCGCTAAAAGTTAAAAATATCCAACTAAAAGTTATTATTTTTTATATTATGTAGCATTCATCTCTTTAATAATAAGTAAGCTATAAGTTAATTAATTTATTTTTTGGAAAATATTATACAGGGTGTTTTCTTTGAATAATGAAAATTTAACTAAGGTAATTGGAAAAAAGCTACTAATTGTGAAAAATGCGAATATTTTTTTTTCTGTTAGGTTTAGGTATAGGGCATATATATATAAAATGAAAGGTAATTACTTATTCTATCCAATTATGCAAAAATATATAGGGTGTTCCATTGAAGAAAAACAAGATTTTAAACTTTTAAAATCGCTATTTTCACCGGGACATAGAAAACACCCTGTATGATATTTTCCAAAAATTATAATAATTAACTTATAGCTTACTTATTATTAAAGAGATGGATACTACATAATATAAAAAATAATAACTTTTAGTTGGTTATTTTTAACTTTTAGCGAGTGTCTACATTTAGAGAAATTTTAATAAATCTTAATTTTACTCAAAAAGTATTAACATTTTCCCATTTAATATATTTACAAAGTATACCTAAAAGAGTGGGAAGAATCCAAAAATGCAAAAAATACAGGGTGTTCCATTGAAAATAAGAAAGTTGGTATCGTCCCAAGGAAAACCGAACACCCTGTATAAATGAAAATATAATATTTTAAAAATATTTTTTAATTCGTGAATATTTGTTTCTTACAAATTTTTTGTCACTGCAGTAGTTTCTGAGATAAGTATATGGGTCACCTTACGTGGACCACCCTGTACATTATTGGTGATATTTTGGTTAATAATTTACTTATCCTAGTGTTTTGCATGTCAAATCAAAGGTAAATAAATTATGTTTAAGTTTAATAGTGCAAAATATGTATCTAACAAAAAAACAGAATGTTATAGCAAATTTAAGATGCTTCTAGGAAAGTGAACATTTTTTCTTCGTGAACTTAACAATCTTTAAACCAAAATATTTCCAAAACTACAAAGGCTAAGGAAAACTAAAATACACCAAAATGTAGAAAATTGAATTCTCTATAATATTGTTTTATAACATTTCCTTCCAAATTTTACCACATACGAGGTACTTACCTTATTGTCTAACAATCTATGTTCAGCTATATGCAGGATAACAGCTAGTACAAATATCACAAAAAATAACATTCCTATAAGTAGTAAAAGAATTTTTTCTAGGGGAGATCGTTGTTTCCACATGGTACTACCGGTGTGATACCTAATATGGGTGGCACTGGTACTAATACCTGAAAAAGAGCACTTGTTAAATAAATGGTGAAAAATGTAATTTTTCTTACCTTCAGTTAATTGAACACTATTAACACTATCATCATCGTTGAAGTCGGCATTTGTATACCGGGTCATCTAAAAAAAATAAAAAATATGTACAGGGTGTTGCTGAAAAATGTATAGGTACCGTATAGACTGGCAGAGTATAAACACCATTATTATTAGAATTGCTTATATTCTCGTTTACGATAAACATTTTAATTGTCGACTCAATAGAAGTAAATTGAAAGCATATGAAACAAATTTCCGTAACGTTTTTTTAATTCGATTAGCTCCCTATGACTTTAATGGAATCCAATTAGTAAATTTTATTAAGAAAAACCATTATATAAGTCCTATACAGGGTTTTATTTTTTTTATATACATTACATTTACGAAAAGTGTTAACAAATAATTACAGAAACAAAGATAGCGCTGTATTTGACGTTTGTTAAAAACAAAAGCCGCACATAAACACTTACTTGGTCGCCACGGCAACTATCAAAGAAATTCATTGTTTTCAGATTGTAAAAGATGTTAAATTAAAAAATCTGAAAGAGGTAGAGATAATATAGAGTAAATATGTGTAATTTGTAAATAAGTAAATTACTAGAGATGGGATTTTAAGTTGCAAAATATATAAAAATAGGTACCTAAATACCTATAACAAGGAAAAACTTGACCTATTTAGTAAATAGGTCAAGTTTTTCCTTGTTATAGGTGAGAAAATTCTTAGTACTGGGAAGCAACTTTTAGGTGGTGAAATAATTAAATTTATTATTGTATAAAATTGCATTGAACAAGATTACAATTTAAAATGTTTTTAATACACAGTTAAAAATTTATAAACTTCCTAGTGTTTATAACATAAATGATATACGAGGTATGTTCAGAAAATATCGGGAATTTTCGTTTTTTGAAACAAATACTTATTTATTTGTCTACATTAATGTTGTCGCCTTCAAAATAGTCCCCATTGGATATTATGCACATGTGCCAGCTCTTCTTCCAATACTCGAAACACTTCTAAAAGTCGATCTTTGGGATAGCCTTTGGTTCTTTCAGCGATGCGCTTTTAATGTCATCTATGCTTGCAAAACGACAGCCCTTTAAGGTTCTCTTTATTTTTGGGAATAGGAAAAAGTCAGACAGAGGCATGTCTGGCGAATATGGAGGCTGGGGCATCATTACAGTATTGTTTTTGGCCAAAAATTTTGTACAAAATTTAACAATTTTGGAACAAATTTTGCTGCCACGCGTTTCATACCCAAAACATTCGAAAAAATTTCATGAGATACCAACATCATCAGCGACTTCTCTGATGGTTTATAACCATTTCTTCCACTTTTTCCATGTTTTTATCGGTTGTTAATGTGCTTGTGCGTTCGGGGCGTTCGTCATCTTCAACGTCTTCACGGCCATCTTGGAAACTCTTATACCACTTGTAAACTCTTGTTTTACTTATAGCAGACTCACTATAGGCCTTTGTTAACATTTCACAGAATTTATTTAATTTTTTAAGCAAAATTGGATACAAATTCTTTGATCCACTTCTTTTAACGAACGAAAAATCGCCGAGCTCATAAAACACGTCTAACCTTAGCGGCTGCCACAGACAAAGTAAACAATGAAAACAGCTAAAGTTTTTATCATACTTCGGGGGCATGTGTACCAATATAATGAAGACAATTTTATGACAACCGGACCCTCCGAACCCGCGAAAGTTAACAATTCCCGTTATTTTCTGAACACACCTTGTAGATTGTAAAATTACAACTTATCTTGGTAGATTTCCCAACATGTCTTGGAAGATTACTCAAATTGTATTATAATTTTGTATTGGTATACACTGATTTGTAATTTTACTCATCCTTTGTTTTGCAAAACAATTGTAATTTTACAAAAAAATGTAACAGTGTAGGTACATGGTTAAAATGACATAAAGTAAAAATGCAAACGGAAGTTGTATAAAATAAATAATGATTTGTATATTTCCAAACACTTATTGAAATAGCAAATTTTGGTTGGTAATTTTATTGATTATCCTTATTCGATGCTTATCAATAAGGAAAAATGATTTTAAAAAAATCCTTATCGATAAGGAAACATTTTTCTTAGTTATATATTTTTTTTGTCTTCATTTTTAAAAATCAGTGATTTATAGTTTATGCAAGGTTTTTTATGTTTTTTAAGAAATAAATTAAACATTAAGTAGATATTTTATGCCTAATAGAATACGCGATTTGGAGTTATAAATAAACCTATAACCTGGGGTTATTTATAACTAAAAAGTTACAGAATAGAATATAATAGGGGTGAAAATAACAGAGCAAGACTAAGTGGCTAAATAGAAAAAGGTAGAGACTATATTTTCTTAGGAATTTTAAGATTTTCTTCTTTATTAAAATAAAAGAACTTAAAACATCGTTTACGTATTCTATTATACAGGGTGTCTCAAAAATAGTGTGCAATAATCCACAAGTGATTTTTAGGGCCAAAAAAGATGTTTTATTATTATTATTTCTGAAACTGTTTCAGATAAAATAATGTATTTTCAGGAAATATATGTTTTTTATTTAATTAGTTTTATTCGAAAATGGTGAATTTTATCGAGGTAACAAGAGTATACTCTGTATACAGGGTGATCCCCTATAATGTCGCCCCCTTTAACTTTTTTATTTTAAGTGTCCCAAAAAATTTAAAAGTGTGGTTATGTAGGAACTAAAAATACTTTTTTTCTACGTATAAAGAAAATTGGAAAATTGATCAGTATACAGGGAAAAACAAAAAGTTTATTTTTTTTCAATGGATCACCCTATATTTAAATTTATTTTTCGATTCCTTGTAAAATTCTGAGCATAATTTATATACAAACCATATACCTAAATTCAACTGTTTCTGAAATATTTAAATTATTTTTAAGATAATAAGTTGAAATAGTTTGTCTTTCTCTGTCTGAGTACGCCATTTTTACTTATTTAACAACACTTATTGACATAATGGCACTATAGTAATTTATTTTTAATAAAAATTTTGGTATACCGAGGCTTCTTGATTTTTAACAGTTGAAAAAAACATTTAATGATGACATTTCGAATGCGAATATTTCAGAAACGGTTGAGTTTAGGTATATAGTTTGTATATAAATTATGCTCAGAATTTTACAAGGAATCGAAAAATAAATTCAAATATAGGGTGATCCATTGAAAAAAAATAAACTTTTTGTTTTTCCCTGTATACTGATCAATTTTCCAATTTTCTTTATACGTAGAAAAAAAGTATTTTTTAGTTCCTACATAACCACACTTTTAATTTTTTTGGGACACTTAAAATAAAAAAGTTAAAGGGGGGCGACATTATAGGGGATCACCCTGTACATTTTGTACGTAAAAAACTCTAAATTTTTATTTTCTGCAGCCAAAAAATGCACATAATAAAATTTGGGGCTAAAAATAACCTATTTAATACAAAAATAAAAATATTAAAATTTTCTTGTATTTTTAACATAAAAGTTCAGTATTTTATCTCAAACTGTTTCTCAAATAATAATACTAAAACTAATACCAATAACTACCAATTAATTTTGGAGGCCTGATTTTACTTTTAAGTACTTTTTTTAATCAGCTCTCCAAAATTGGTAGGGTTGGCTCAGAAGCCATCTAAAATATGCAAATATTAGCTAATTATAAAGAACTTTCATTGTTAAAATGTACAAAAATATGTTTTTACAATAACTAATGAAAACTCACTTACATTTTATGTTGCCAATAGATGTTGTCTAAATGACACTGTAACCCTACAGAATTACACCGCAATAAAACTTACTTTAACAAGTAAAACCTTCACTGAAAGAAATATATACTAAAGTTAAATAAAAAAATAATTAGGGCAAATATATTTTATGTTTCATATATTGACTACCACATACATTGCTAAAACAAATATATTCGTTTGGTTAGCAGCCTATTGCTGCCCTAGCAATATAAATGTGTTTCTAACAATATTTTTTTGCTGTAATTCACTTTTATAGTAAGGGTAAGTTTATTTTTATTTAGATCTAACATATCTTCTTTACAATAAATATATTACAAAATTTAACATACATTCATAATAAACAGTAGTATAAATGTGTAAAGAACTAGTATAAAATTTTTAGTATAAATTTGTATTTACTTTTAGCAACAAATTTCTTTCAGTGTTTTGAGTTGTATCGGTTTTTATTAAAAAAAAAATACAAGAACACTGGCAATAAAAAAATGCGATTGCTGTCGAACAAAAGGCTTGAAATAACGCAATACTAAATACTAACGCAATATATATTTAAACCATCTCCTGTAGGATATCATATATGATAAGGTTTGTATATATTATTAATATTAAAATATTCAAACCTTATCGTATGATAAGGTTTGAATATATTAATTAATATTATTAAAATATTCAAACCTCAATATTTAGATGTTTTTGATATTATAATAACGAAACATAAATTAAAACATATTTGGTATGGAAATACAAATAATTGAGATTATACGCTAAAATAGTATCGGATTTTCGCAATTGCATTGCGTGAATTTAATAATTGTCAACAATACATTTAAAGCATACGAACTGTACATCATTTTTAAATAAATAGGTAGTTTATCACAAAAAAAGAAAGTCTTACTCGACAAATTTTGTTCAATTGCACATCTAAATCGCGCACGTTATTTGTGTTTTACGTTGCAAGAAAAAAAATAAAAAACTTTTTTAGTAGGTACTCGATTTTGATTGATTATTCCATATATCATTGATTAAGAAACTCAACGGTTAAATGCTTATATAGTTACGTTAGTGTGTGTATTTTATCATGGTAAATTATTGTGTTTTTAATTGTAAATAAAATGCAACAACTAAATCGTTGCATTTTCATGTTTTGCCAAAAAACCAATTCGGTAAGTACATTTGTTGGTGCAGAATTAACCAATGATAAATTTACCTAATATAATTTATATTTAAATTTGGACTTGAAATTGGTAAAAAATAATTTTTGCACAAACATAACCTTAAAATCAACCATTTTTATATTTAAGATCTCTAAAAACGCATTTTATTTTATGATTTGAGAAACTATCAGAAGGTGGTATTTTCAGCACTAGGTTTTCCACTGCGTATAAGCATGGTTAGATCAAAATTAATACTGTATATTAAACATTTTATATCGATTTTGGGCATATGGTTGATAATTTCAGTAGAGGCAATTAATTAATTGTAGTTTTTGATTATAAAAATCTATTTTCGTTACCTTTTATGTTATTTTGTTGTTGTGGCACTCACTGGCATCATTTTTACGCGCATTTGCGACGTTCAATGATATTTTTTGTTAATTTTAAATTTCGCTACATTTTGTTTGTGTGTGGATGTTAACACACTGGCTTCCAATCTAAACAGCGAGATAACATGTCTAAATATTTAATTAAATAATAAATGTTAACCAGCGACTCTAAACATTCAAGTTTATATATCTACTATTTCCGTATTAAAAATATTACATTAGTTGTTGGTAATATGGGGCCCGAAGTTTTATACACATTTATATAGTTATTCCCTTTAAATAGTACATTAAAGACCTAAAAAATAAAGCAAGCCGAGACAGATTTTTTTTCTTCAAGCATTTAATTAAAGAATTTTTTAAGATTCCTTCCATTATTTCTAGGTTAGGTTTAACTGACATGATGACATTTTACCTTTATTTATGTACGGAGTTTAATAAAAATTTGATTTTTGAACTAGTATTAAAATGAAGTATTTTTATATAGACTTAAGAGTCTTATAATATAAAAATTATTGTACACTTGAAAAAAAATTAAGGGAATAGTTAAGCATGTATTTTATTTGACATCTGACAACAGTTAAGCGGTTTTAACCTCACTTTTTACCCGTCTGACATGTCAGACGGGTTTAACCTTACTTTTCCAATCTGGCATCTGTCAAACGGTTTTAACCCCAATTAAATGCATTTAGTAGGAATATATAAATTTATTTATGTTTAAAAAGTCTACTTTTCTTGCCCTTTGATTTTCAAGCAATAAAATTATTTTACGTAGGTCTAACTTAGATACTGATACTTTTATCGATAGAAAATCATCTGTATCTTTGGCTGTAACTTTGGTAAATTTGACCCCAATTCTAATGTGAGTGACAGATTCCTAACCTCAATTCTACAGAAACTGACAGATGCCAAACCTCAATTATATTGTCAGTGACAGATACCTAACCTCAATTCTTCTGTGTCAGGTTACAATTCAAAATATGTGTCAAACTTATTATTATTAAATTTTTTTATCTAATCCTACATTGACAAGCTGTGACTTTATGGCGTTTTAGTCACGGGCTGAAGTTAGCAACAGTAGCTTTGGAGCATTTTAGTCACGGGCTGAAGTTAGCTTTATTATAAATTTAGAAAGAGTGACAGATGTCAAATGTTTAAGAAATAAAATCTCTAGACACTTATTTTTATTAAACACACGCTAGCAAGCTTCGCTCGTGCCTAATAAAACTCGCAACTAAAATGGCTAAAGGAGTTTTATATAATTTTTATATAATAAGCATCTATTCTCATCCAACTTAACTATTAGAGGCTAAATTTTGATTTACCCTTTGACCATAAACAATAATTTATAAATATATATAAATATATATATATATCTATATATATATTTACATAAAATATCAAAATCATGTATTTTTCTGGGCAAAAAAATACATAAAAAACATTTTGACAACTACTGCATCAACGAAGATGCTAGTAATGACGTAAATAGTAAAATAAATAAACAATATATTTTTAGTTCTGTTTGTTTATTCATTTTCGGTAATTTATCGATGGCCGTGCTTATTATTTTAAGGTTATGTCGTCTTTGACGTTACTTTGACGTCTACATGACAGATCAAACAAAAAAGCATACTTGATTTTTGGAAAAACCAAAAAATATCTAAGCATCTTATAAAAACAATAAAACCACTAAAAATAAAAATGTTTTCTGGTATTTTATGGTTGAAAATGTTAAATGTCAAAAGTATATACAGAAATAATCGTTTAAAAATCCTGAAAAACCACTGAAAGCACAGAAAACTTACCTTGGCAGTCATATTCTTAGCTCTATTTTAAACACTTTAACACGTATGCGAATAAAATCGTGGAAAACCTTGGAAATTTTGTTTTCGCCGGTTTCCAGTTAATGAAAAGCGACGCCCTTGCGTCGAGACGGCGATTTTATTGATTTGGTCGTTCGACGTAAAGCGCATTACGTAAAATATCCGTGACACACTGCGACTAAGGGATTTTTACGTAAAACTCTATAATGATGGTTTTACATTTTCAGAATGTTTTTTTTTTGCAATTATATTATTTTTTATTGATTGTAGGTCTGCAAATTATCAAAATAAAATGCACCGCGCATTTTTCAAGCCGATCGAGATGGCTCCAGTAAAACATTTGTTAGAGTATATAAATAAAAAATGTTTATTTTTAAAAGTCATCATTATTTTTCTTCATTACTTGGGCTTCTTCATAGGTTGGTACACATGTTTCATTATTTGTTGGTATATCAATGACGTAATTTGATGAACTGTCAATAATTGCAGTGGTCTTGTCAGGTTTTGGCATTTTAAGGGCGTCTACATATTTTGGGGGAGAATCTACGACGTTTATATGTATTTGATGTCGACTTTCAAAACCTGTGAATACTATTATTTAATTATTAATGTAGAGGGTGTTCCAAAAAACATGTACAGAATTAAAAAATTTGGCCTGATTAATATACAAATCTACACTCAAAATGTGAGTGGGGTACATATTTTTTGAAACATTATTTTTGTTTTTTTTACGGTTTGTATAAGTGTTTATGAGTCTTTCCAAAAAGTTATCTACATTGTTTGGATCATTTCCAATATTTAGTCTTTCTTGTCTGTACCTAAGCCTCTGCATTCGTATCCTCCTTTTTTCCAATCTTTTGCAATACTCAGCCAGGGCGTAAAATATTAATATCAATAAAATGATACCTAACCTAAAAGCATTGTTTTGTAACCAACGAATCAAGCCGTTCATGGTTTGTACAAGGTCACAACTTTTATAATTATTAAATGGTATTACTTTCACAATACAATAATTTTGACAGTTTTTGACACTTTTATAACCTAAAACTTGGCAAAGGGTGTATAGGGTGTCCCAAAAAAGATAAATTTTTCTTTACCATTTTTTACAATTCGAAAAATTGAAGGAGTTTATTAATTTTTTATCATTGGGAAAAACTTATTGGCCGCCTTAAAAATTAAATCACGCAATATTGCGAATTCGAAAAAATGGAAAAATTGTCTTTAAATTTTTGGAGAAATTCACTTTACCTTTTAAGGCCCCAATTTTGGTATACCCTGTATATACAGTAGGTATGTCATCGGATTGATTTTATAAGAGAACAAAATATTTTTTTAAATAAAAGTTTTGTTTGTCAACATTGTAATAAAAAAATTGTAGTTAAAATTCCAAATCAATAAATTTCATGAAATATACTCATAAATAAAACCATTTGCATTTTGGAAGCGCTTTTTGGTAAACCTTGTAAAAATCAGAATTTCATCTTTTGTTAATTTTACCAAAAGTACCAATTGTTCACATAATTAACGACTTTTTTAGGACAACACCCTGTAGTACAGCAAACTTCACTATTATAACATACATAAATACTACTTGAGTGAAAGGAGGGGTCAAAGGTACAATAGTGTTCTTTGGGCTGAAATTACAGTATTTTAAATGAAGAAAGCTAAAGAAATATACTTACTATGGCCGTTGACATTCTATATATTTTACAAAGAAGAAATTTTGTGGTAAAATGACAGTGTCAAAAAAACACTGACTTTTTGTAAACCGTTTTATTTCTTATTAAATTATGTTTGTATTCTTACAAAATAAATAAAATTAATTCTCTATTCTTCTGGTTGCATAACCTTCAATGGTATGAAGATTCGAATTTTTAAAGGCAACTGTTATATCACCTTTGATAAGGTGTTTGTACGATTTTTTAGGCCCAATTTGGTTGTTAAAGTAACTTATACTTTTTCCAAAAGACGCCCTGTAGAATTTCAGCTTTGTTCCCTCTGCGGTTTTTTCGTGTTTCCCTGTATTATCACCATTCACATCCCCCACCATGATATCCTCCAACTCTATAGTCTTCAATTTTTCTTCATTTATGGAATTATCGATTTCAGCTTGAAAATTATCCATGGTTTTTGCCATTTCACTTATGTTTTCTTCTATGCTATAATCCTCATTGAAAGCCTCGTTTTGCAAGCCTTTCTTCTTTTTCTTGGGTTGCTCGTAAAAACTAAGCCTATCAATTGAAGACATATCAAACGAATCTTCATTTCCGCCATTTTCTTTCAACCCATTCGATATAACCCTGGTATTTATATCAAACAATTCGTTCCTTTCTTCCATCATCTGCAATTCTTCTTTGTTTGGTATAATACGCTCTTCATTTACATCGCTAAACCTCACGCTTTTTCTTCTTTTTACTGTGCCACTTCTTTCATATTTAGGTTTACTTTCTTCCTTTTTTATTATGGGTGTAACAACTACATTTAAAATAAGATCGCATACTGGCATATTTTCCTTAATTTCTTCGATTTTTGCTTCTTTTATCTTCCCTTTCTTCTTTTTACCCACTTTCACCTCATACGGATTTTCATTTTCTTTACTTATTTCAGGACTTTCTTCAGAGGCTTGTACACTAAAATTTGGATTATCAACGCCGTTTTCTTCAACTTTCTTGCCCTTATTTTTCTTGTCTTTCTTCTTTTTGATTTTCACTTCATATGGATTTTCTTCAATTTGTTCAGTTTCTTCAATAACCACAGAATCCTCAAGGGCCAAATTTGGGTTGTCAAAACCGGTTTCTTCAATTTTACGCTTCTTTTTGTTTTTCTTTGGTTTAACTTCATATGGATTTTCTTCAATTTGCACAGAATCTTCATTATTTTCGTTGAAGGCAGTGTTTTCAAAACAACTTTCCTCATTTTTTGACTTTAATTTCTTCTTTTTGGGTTTTTGTGGGGCTTCTTCCTCGATTTCTTCTTTTGACTTCTTTGTAGTTTCTTCTGTGCCTTCTAAAGATTTGTTCTTCTTTTTTTTCTTTTTTTCCTCTGGTACTGCTTCAAACTCTTCATTGTTATTCTGGGATTTTTTCTTCTTTTTCTTGGGTTTCTCACTGGGTTCTTCAACTTGAGTTTCATTGACTTCCTCTTGACTTTCTTCAATTATTTCAAGACTGTGTTTTTCGATTTTTATGTTGTTGTACAGGGGGTCAAACGCGGGGTTGGCCAAACCTAAATTTTCTTCAATTTGAAGTGATTTTTTGTTTTTCTTCTTTTTTTCTTTAGGGGTATCTTCACGTTCAACCTTCAATTTTTTCTTTGGAGTGGATTCTTCAGTGTTGTTGAATTTACGTTTTTTTGTTGAGGGTTCTTCTTCTTCTTCTTCTGTTGATTTGACATATGAAACAAAGGTCATTTTCTTCTTTGATTTTGTTGATTCTTCTTCTTTTTCTTGTGTTGTATTGTTATCTTCATTTGTGTTAAAGCCAAAACCAAAAGATGGCTTACAATCTTCTTCTTCTTCATTTTTGTCGTATTTTAGTACTCCGTTGTTGCCGACAACAAGTTGGTTCGTTTTTCCAAAATTTGGCATTTTTTTCTTGAAATAATCCGCCATGGAACCTCTATTAAAATGAAATGAAGAATTTTCTTCAATCTTCGATGTATTGTTTTCTTCCACTGGTTCTTCAGTTTTCTTGATTTTCTTCTCTTTTAGCGTTCTTTTGCCGAAAATATTTGCCAAATCTTTCTCTGAGTAGCGACTCAAATCTTTACCTCTTGTAAATTTGTGGTAATGTACACGAGCTTTTGAAGATTGCGATTTTTTCTCCAAAGATGTCTCGACTGGTTTTTCAACTTTTGAAATGTCTGCATCTTGACCTGATAGAGACTCCAAAAGCGCGCTAAAGTTGGTTTCGTGTTCTGTCCATTGGTCGTTACATTCTTTGTATCCCATACCTAAAAACAAGGCAACAAATAAAATTAAATAAGTTGTTTTTTAATATTTAAGGTTTGTAATGTCATAAATAAATCCACTATACACTGATAAGTGGTTTTGAAAACTTTTTAACCAAAGAAAAAATGTTTACCTTTACTGTCATTCTTATATGACACCTTAATATGTTCAGTTATACCATTTTCTTTCGCCCCTAAGCCTTTACCAGACGACCAACCCATTTTTTCCAGCATTTTTTGTCCAAATTTGTTGGGATCTAAAAATAAATAAAAACATAACCTCAAAAACATAAACTGTCAAAATAATTTAAAAAACCTTGTCAAACCAAATTTAAGGTTCTAAGTAGTGATTTTTTGTATAATTTTTACTATAATAATTCTTATAAGTCAACATACCTTCTACCCAATCTTTCCCACGAGGGTTCAGGGACCACTTTTGCTTTCTTTTACGTTCCGCTAACATTGCCATTTTCACTTTTTGCACTTAAAACTACAATTATTTTATTATTTCACAATTTTCACTTAATTTTAAACGAAATAAAACGGTTTTTTAACGACAAATAGCCATGTGCTCGCACCTGTCACTAACTGACGTTTGAAAGGAACCACAGCGACCTACTTTACCGACATCATTAAAGTTCGTTTAGTTAACTTTCTTTATCATAGATTTCGTTGATTTTTTAAATTCTTTTGAGGTTTAAAAGATGTTTTACAGTTAAAAATTATTGTTTTTTAAAAATTTATTTGACTTTATTTGAGTATTAACTTAAATTGTAGGTTTAAAAATGCCAAATAGTACACACACTTCCAATTAAAAGTATGTAAAATAGAGACATCTATTGGACGATAGCCAAAGTATAGCATTAGTATATATTTTGAACAGTTGGCAGTATATCCTTTTTCTATGGTTGGCAGAAGTGTGCATCAAATTACGTCAATTTGCTGTCATTTTAAATAATTTTGCAAGTTGTTGTTATATTGCAATTAATTCGTGTTTTATTAAAGTTTTAAATAGAAAATAAGATAAAATGGTGAGTTTTTTACAATGTTAAATAATACGGTTTAGAATATATTGTGTATTTTCACCACAAGTATAAAAGTTTGCAATATTTGAGGTTATGTTTAAATGACAAAGCGGTTTATATGTTGTATTTCTATGTTTTAGTCGATTTTGGGGTACAATGGGGGTGCCATGGTGGCGATGAAGGGGGATAAGTGCGTGTCCATAGCCGCTGACAAAAGATTCGGTATTCAAGCCCAAACGATTACTTGCGATTTTAAAAAGGTTTTTGATATGGGGCCTAGGCTTTATGTTGGTTTACCAGGGCTTGCAACCGATGTACAGACTGTCATGGAGAAGCTTAGATTCCGTAAAAATCTCTACGAGCTCAAAGAAAACAGGACGATGACTCCAGAGGTGTTTGGAGCAATGTTATCGAGTATGCTCTATGAGAAGCGTTTCGGGCCCTTTTTCGTCGAGCCTGTGATAGCAGGGTTGCATCCGACGACCCATGAACCGTTTATTTGCAACATGGATTTAATTGGGTGTATTAATCAACCTGATGATTTCGTAGTTGGTGGTACAGCTTCGGCGCAACTTTACGGTATGTGTGAAGCCCTGTGGGAGCCTAATTTAGGCCCTGAAGATTTATTTGAAACGACTGCACAGGCTTTAATTAATGCTTTCGATAGAGATGCTATTTCAGGTTGGGGAGCAACAGTTTATATCATGTAAGTATAAATTGATTTAAAAAAAAAAATTTGGGAATTTTTTTAAATTATTTTTAGTGAAAAAGACAAGGTGACTGTAAGAGATATCAAAACACGTATGGATTAAGAAAAAAACGTATTTTTTATACCTACAATTCTATTTATAAGATTAAAAAAAAACAATTTTTTCTTTTGTTAAATAAGGTCAAAATAATAAAAAATACAAAATATTTATGGATTTTATTTCTAATGGAAGACGTTTGGAAGAACACGGTACATATAACATAAAAAAAACAACGAAAATATCACAGAAAATAACCAATATACAGTGTTTTTACATTAAATAAACTTTTTGTTAAATTTTCTCTTAATAGGTACTACAGATTATGAAACAAAAATTTATGGACGATTACTAGACATAATTTGGCACAAAATATCAATGAAATTAATAAGGTGTGTATACAGGGTGTTTCAAAATCAATACCAATATTTATTTTCTTTTGAACACCCTATATATTTTTTTATAAATCGAGTTTTACAAAGAAAATTAGATAAAAATAAGATTGTTTATACCTATTTATTTTAACAACCAAAAGAGTTATTTACAAAAAACTAAGCAGTATACACCCCAAACTGTGTATTTTTAAAAATACCTACATATATAGTGTTACATATCAATGTAATCAATCGCCTTGAAAAGAACTATCATAATATGTAAAAATATACAGGGTGTTTTGTGACGCTCACTGTATTTTTAAAATCTTAAAGCTACCATATTTGTAATCTTTGGCATATCTAATATACATGTAATCGCTAATTTATCTCAAACAGTTTTCAAGTTATATCTGAAAAATAACACTACAAGCATAGGGGTTGCCTAAAACCTAACCTTAAAAGCATAGAAAAAGACCCACCCAATATCTAGCTTATTAAACCGTAAGGAATATACTCTCGTTGAGGGTACACATCTGAATTCTTATGATCTGGATGGCCGTGTAGCAATTCTGACATAAAACTTATGTAGGTTATTGCCAACCGAAGGGTTTCGATGCGAGATAGACGTTTTTCGTATGCGAAGGTTGGTACCTAAAAACAAAATGGTTTATGTTTAAATTTGTCTTGGTTTTTTCTTTTAAGAAATTTGTGGATATTTCGGTAAACCCCAATTGGTAAGTCTTCTAGAAACATGCGATAGATACCTAGATTCAAAATATATATTTTTGAAGAACTGTATCTTCTACAAATATTACAGGATTTTAACAAAATTTTAGGGATGGACAAACAAAAATATATTTTTTTAAATGACATTGACTTTTCGTTTTAGTTTTCTTGCCCGCATATCTAATATTACCTATAGTAAATTTAAAAGTAAACTACGTACACGTCATCAATAAAACAAAAATTTTACGCATTGGTACCAACACTAAATGACTAAATCGAAGTCTGTAATTGAATATTTGAATGCATTTTAAACATCCTCAGTTGGCACCAATTAAGATGTTGTCATATTTACATTCAAATATTTCATATTTAAATGACACATAAAAAAGAATTTGACGTTTTAGAATTTCGAAGCTGTCAGTTGTGTTTTTGAATATTTCGTTTAATTCGTGTATTATTTCGTTTATTTTGTTTGTTGTTTGTGTTATTTTATATCGTTTAAGTTTTCATTGCCGTTTTTGTGTTTGTTATATATCGTTTTTTTGTGTTTCCTATATTTAAAGGGACTGTCTACGTGTCCTACTAGTAGGATTTATAGCCTGTTTGCTAAATATCCGACTATCCGTTTATATAATAGGACAAATAGTAGTAAGGCTAAATATCCTACTATTATTCAGAATTCGGCAAAAACAACACTCAAAAGTGAGGTTAGTTTAGATTTTTACACCATTTGTTTGACTGCAATAATTAAATTATAATGGATTGCAACGTTGGAGAGAAATTCAATTCCTTTTTCGAGATACAGACATTTATAAAGAAGTATGAAGATCAAAACTTTGTCAATTATTATTTGTACGTTGTACGTGAAAAATCCTATTTCCACGTCTGAGGCGGACGTTGCCCTGCGTTTTTTTTCATTAGTTTTATGGGTGTGGGGCTGTTTTGTGCTTTTATTTACTTTTTAATGTAACTGTGGTTACGCAGGTACACTGCATGTGCCATACCAAACCAACCCAAACTTAACAACCTAACCCAACTGACCCTGCCCTTAAATATATTATACCTATATTGCTCAATGGGGAGGGAGGGCCCAATGGGGCGGGGTCGGTTGGGTTGGGTTGTTAAGTTTGGGTTGGTTTGGTATGGCACAATGTAGTGTACCTGCATAACCAAGATGACAGCTAATCATCATAACCTTGGCAATACAATTTTTTCCCCAATTTTTCCGGTTTTTTTTCGACACTTTAAAATCCTAATCTCTATAATGGAATTAAATGACCACTGATTGATGATTTATTATTAATTAAATTAAGAGTGGATGTGTTATTTTACATTCAATATATATTTAAATAAAAGATTTTGTCCCTCTGTTCTAATATGTTAGAACATATAGAATATAAATGTTTTCATTTATTTAAATAATATTAAGGATGATTAAAATAATGTTTAAATTACAAATTATTTGGTAAAAAACCCAATGTGAATAATCAAAGAAATACGCTGAATGGTAGGATATTTAGCTTTGGTACTATTTGTCCTATTAGTAGGATATTTAGCGAACTGGCTATACATCCTACTAGTAGGATACGTAGACAGTCCCATATTTAAAATGCCGAAGCATTTAAATAGTCGGAGTCAAGAGTTGGTGTCATCCTTAATAGGCTATTTTGAGGCAGAACGGGATAATAATGGACCTTTGTTACCTTTAACAGCTGAGAGAGGTAAATAGGATTATTATTAATTATACAGGGTGGCCGATTTATCTGAAGACATTGAAATATTTCGAAAACTACGCATCGGATCAAAAAAAGTTTTGAATAAAATTTGTTCGCCTGGAAGGGGGACATCCAATGATACCAAAGTCGACCCCTCACCACCACCCCATGGGGTGGGGGTGGGGGGCAACTTTAATATTCTAAATAGGAACCCCCATTTTTTATTGCAGATTCGGATTAACTATTAAAAAATAAGTAACTTTTATGGAAAAACTTTTTTTAAATTCCTGATAGATGGCGCTGTAATCGCAAGAAACCCGATTTTTGGGAATATCTTAAAAAATTACACATCGGATCGAAAAAAAGAAAAACTTGTTTAATTTTTGGATTTTATTCGTATATCAATAAGTTAACATCTATTTTTAAAATTACCCAAGAATGGGAAATCCGAATCTGCAATTTTTCAAGATATTCCCAAAAATTGCGATTACAGCGCCATCTATCAGGAATTTAAAAAAAAGTTTTTCCATAAAAGTTACTTATTTTTTAATAGTAAATCCGAATCTGCAATAAAAAATGGGGGTTCCTATTTAGAATATTAAAGTTGCCCCCACCCCCACCCCATGGGGTGGTGGTGAGGGGGTCGACTTTGGTATCATTGGATGTCCCCCTTCCAGGCGAACAAATTTTATTCAAAACTTTTTTTGATCCGATGCATAGTTTTCGAAATATTTCAATGTCTTCAGATAAATCGGCCACCCTGTATATTAAAATATTTAACAAAATATATGTTGGATACATAAAATAATAATATATATACCAGAGACTGACTTTAGATGGCAAAATTTTTGGGTTTTATATCAGAAAATGTCTTTAAAAATGGCTAAAAACATACTTTTGGCGGTGCATCATATAGGTTATAAAAACTAAGACTTTTGACATTTTGGTATTATTCATGTAAACGCCATCTATCGCCCTGTAGTTGCACTACCACTTTCCCTTGATGCAAGGATTTTAGCATCACATTGACAACCGTGCCCGATCAGCTGATTGATGACGTGTACGTAGTTTACTTTTAAATTTACTATACTTTTCAACCAATATTTTATTTTAAAAAACTTGGACAAAGATAAAATGGAAAAAAACAAACAAAAACTTGTCAAGTTTGAGGTTTTGACAATGACAAAGACGTCGGGACATTTTTAAAATCAGTTAAACTAGGCCAGATTACTCACTACTGTTAGAAAATAAAAGTTTCTAAAACTATCATAGTGAAATTGACAAAAAAAATTGTCATTTGGGTCAGTCCACGTCAAATCAAACACAATAATAAGAAAAGTTCACCACACCGACTCAGATTTTGCTCAAATTTTGTGCAGATGATACATAGGCTAGAATAACCACAAATCTCAATTTTGAAGGTTCTTTGATAATTAATTACCGATAAATTAATTATTGGAATTTTAAACATTTCAGCAAGATGTGATTTATGTTTTTTTTTATTTTCTTAAATAACTCCCCACCTGCCCAAGTTATTTAAGTGACAGTTTGTTTCTAGAGGTAACTTTTAAAGCTGATTTTAAAAAATTAATCAGAATTTGTGTATTTTCTATTGTTTTTGAATAAGAAATTGCAATGTTGCATTTGTTAAAAAAAAATATTAATTTTTTTTCGGCATGTTTGATCAGGATCACACGTTTTAAATTTTTATGAGTTGTTGAGATGGTATACCACTACTTCCAGAAAAAAAATCATCTTGGCTTTCCACCTAATAGCTGAGAAAAAAATTATTGTACTTTCATGTGACAAAAAACTTAAGTTTAGTTTTTATTTCAAGGCCAAGAAAACTTTGACAACTCTCCTTGACAAAGGACTGAATTTTTTTTAGATAAGGTTCAAATGACAGATTGACATTTTATACATTTCAGCTCCGCCGTACAATAATAATGACATTTTCATTATTGTACGGCGCGCCGCCGGTGTATTATAATTATTATTATTTTTATCACTATTATATAATATTAACAATAATTACTTGTTCAAATATCGTAAATACAAATACTGAAAATTAAGTAAAAATAATAAAACAAAATAAAAAATATCAACAAACCAACAATAACATTAAACAAAATAGTGTTGCGTTGATCCATCATTTATTCTTTAGTGCGATAATAAAACTTTGGTACTAACAAGCAATATAACAATGTCATATACACTGTCAAATTGCATATTTGCAAATGCATGGTGACATATTGCAGACTGAATGTCACGTAACCAGTTATTCACGACAAACTGGATTTTTTGAATGGAATAGTTTTACAGAGGAGCAAAAAGAAATCATTGCACTTAGGTCTGAAATTTCAAGAAAACAACTTGATAATAATACAACCATTTGTATTCACCATGAAAAAATGTTGCTTTCGACATATGAGCAACTTCAAAGATACTGTTGTGATCCATTTCAGGTCACATACTAGAGGCATTAAGAAAAGTTTGAGATCTGTGTCATTGGAATTTGCAAAAAAACACACTAATCTTAACCAGGGCAAAAGTTATGTCCTCAGTGTCGAACTCGGATGGCAGAAACTGAAGCTTTGAACAATGAGACTATTTCTAAAGAGGATATTGAGAATGAAAGTGAACCAGAGGCATTTTTTGATTCAGATGGCACTGAAGCTTTGAATCAAAGTATCACAAATCTTGGATGCACACCTGTCAAGTTGCATGGTGTAAATAAAAAACAACGACTAAGTTATGCAAAAAGAAAATCAGCAGAGGCAATTTCTTTATTGCAGGAGAAATTTTCAACATCGCTAAATGTTCCTCTAGAGACTCTGGCTCAAACCAACGAAAAGCAGTGTACCAGCTGTAAAGATTTAAACTGTCTGATTGAACTCTTAAAAGAAAAATGTAAAATTTCTTGTGGACAAGAAGTTCTAAAATTACTAACTCTTGTACCGAGTAGCTGGAGCATTCAGAAGACCGCTAATGAATTTGGTGTCTCAACATACATGGTCAATAAGGCTAGAAAACTTAAAAAGGATTACGGTATTTTGGCAGAACCAGAAAAGCTGAAAGGAAAATCAATTTCCAATGAGGTATCTAAAAAAGTAAGGCAATTCTATGAAGATGATGAATTTTCCAGAATGTGCCCTGGAAAGAAAGAATTTGTGTCAGTCAGAGATTCGGAAACTGGTAAAAGAACTCACATGCAAAAGCGACTGCTTTTTGTAAATTTAAAGGAACTGCATTTGGCTTTTCAAGAAAGATATCCACAGCTAAAAATCGGTTTGTCAAAATTCTCTTCTTTACGACCACCTTGGTGCGTTACAGTCAGTGCCCGAGGAGTTCATTCAGTATGTGTTTGCGAGACCCACCAAAACTTGAAGCTACTGACAGCAGCATTACCCAAGAAAATTGAATACAAAAATATCCTCTCCACTATAGTATGTTCTGTGGACTCAAGAAATTGTATGCTTCACAGATGTGAGAATTGCCCAGGGTCTGAAGCTTTGGAGCAGCTTATGCTGGATATATTTAGTGAAAATGATTTGGAAACTGATGACAATATTGCCTATAAGCAGTGGGTCCACAAAGGACAATCAACACTAGTGAATATGACATCAACTATTGAAGATTTTGTGAAAGACTTGTCTAAGGCAGCAGATCAAGCAACAACACATCATTTTACTGCAAAATCACAAGCATCCTACTTAAGAAATCTTAAAGAAAATATTCCAGCTGAAACAGAAGTAATCGTTTTACTAGACTTTGCAGAAAATTATTCTTTTGTTTGCCAAGATGCCATTCAAGGTTTCCATTGGGATACGACACAAGCCACACTTCACCCATTCGTAATTTACTTCAGGAGTAAAAACCAGACAGATTTAAAATGCTTTAGTATATGTGTTATTAGTGATGAACGTGAACACATTACCTCCACAGTTCATTACTTTCTTAAAGTAATTATACAACATATTAAAGAAGAATTACCAGATTTACAATACATTCATTATTTTAGTGACGGTTCAAGTGCACAATATAAAAACTATAAAAACTTCATTAATTTATGCTTACATAAAAAAGATTTCAACGTCCCTGCTGAATGGAACTTCTTTGCCACTTCACATGGAAAAAGTCCATGTGATGGAATTGGCGGCACGGTAAAAAGACTTGCAGCTCGTGCAAGTTTGCAGGCCACACTGGACAACCACATTCTTACTCCTCTTGATTTAACTGGGCTAATTGTAACATACATAACATAAAGTTTTTCTTTGTGTCCCTTGCTGATGTTCAGCAACACGCCAAAAGCTTGGAAGCTCGTTTTCAGAGCGCGAAAACAGTGCCTGGAACTCGCAGTTATCACAGGTTTGTTCCAATAAATAATTATGAATTGATTCTGTATCGATTGTCGTCAGATGATGAAAATTCAGGATTTAAAGTTAGTCTTACTGTCAGAAAAAAACATGAAAAGAATATAGATATCGACGAATTGCAACCGGGAGTTTATGTAGCTGCAGTATACGATGATAACTGGTTCATTGGCTGTATTAAAGAAAGACATTTTGATGAAACAGACTTGCTTATAAATTTTATGCAAAGACATAAAGACACTAATGTGTTATCCTGGCCATCTAGAGAAGATAGTTGCTTCGTTCCTTTTGAGCACGTGTTATGTGTGATACCAGCACCTTCAGTGAAAGGTAGCACTGGACGACAATATGTTCTTGATAGCGATATGAGTAAAAGTATTACTCTTTTATTTAATAAGTTCAAATCAGCTGCAAAATAACTTTTTCCTTTAGTTGTGTTATATTTCTATTATGTTTGTTATATTTCTATTATGTTGTTTTATAATATATTATGGTTTCTTAAAAATAGAAAATGTTTACATTAATTTATTTTTTTATGATTTGAGTTAATGTTGTATGTATAATAAAGCTATTGGATATGAAAAAAAAACGCCCGCGGTTTTAGTCCCATGAAAGTTTTTAATTAATTTTTTTCTCAGCTCCTAGTTAGAAAGCCAATATGATTTTTTTTCTAAAAGTAGTAGTGTACCATCTTAATAACAAATAAAAAATTTCAAACATGTGCTCCTGATCAAACATGCCGAAATTTTTTTTTGAATTTTTTCAAGCAAATGCAACATTGCAATTTCTCTTGCTAAAACAATGGAAAAAATACAATTTTAAATTATTTTTTATAAATTAGCTTAAAAAGTTACCCCTGGAAACAAACTTTCACTTAAATAACTTGTGCATGTAAGGAGTTATTTAAGAAAATAAGAAAACAAAAATCGCATCTTGCTAAAATTTTTAAAATTAAAATATTTAATATCTCGGTAATTAGTTATCGTAGAACCTTCAAAATTAAGATTTAATGTATTCCTAGTCTATATATCATCTACACAACATTTGAGAAAAATCTGAGACGGTGTGGTGAACAACACTGTTTGATCTGACGTGGACTTACCCATTTATAATTTGCTATTTTAACTTACTTTTCTTCTCAATTTATCGAAAGCTTCATTTAAATTAAACATCCTTCTTCTTTCCCTTATATTGGCGGCCCTTCTTTGAGCAATGGTCGCAACCCTTCTTCGCGTTTTTTTGTTGGAATGACCGCTATTTTGTGAACCACTTCTGCTTAATCTACTGGATACCAGTCCTCCACATTGTTGCCTAGGCCACACTAAAAACATATGATTCTTGAAAAAGAAAATAGACCAATAGAAAATTTTTTGTAGTGTAGGTACTACAAAAACTATAGTTAAGTAGATACTTGTTTTTATTTATAAAGTTACAGTGGTTCTTTAGTGATTTTTTTAAACTAAGGTTTTTGATACCTAATTCGCTGTTAAAAGCAGTAAAAATGTCAGGGTACCCACTTAAAGCTGGATTCTGTCCCGCCAAACAATGATGAGGGTCCCACAGTGTCCCATAACCGTTCAATTCGCTGGGATATCCCGGAAATTCCGCTCCCTAGTCAAACAATCAAAAAAACATATTATTTGTGTGGATGTGGTCAGAAAAATAGCTGTAACTTTTTTGTAAATATTTTTTTTGAAAAAATAATTTTTCGAATGAAAAATGTATATTTGGGTTGCAGTGTCCTAAAAATTAAAAAAAAAAATCCCCCACAATTTTGGAAATCTGTTAAAAAATTGAAAACTTTGATAATCTGTAACTTTTAGAAAGTCTTTTCGATTTTGATGAAATTTTTAGGATATATTAAAAAAGGTGTCCTCTTTTCAGTGATGTTTAAATTTATTTTCTGCTTTTGAAATTTACACCAAAATTTACAATTTTGTAACCCACTGCAGAAAAGTACAAAAACTAAGACTAATAAAACTTAAAATATCAGGTTTTGTAAAAAAATTACAAATTCAATATTAACGTCATTCAAAAAGGCAAATTTAAAATTATATTTACTTAAAATTTTGTTAAAATCATTTACAATTTGTAAGAGTTAGTAAGTTACTAATAGTAACTACTAGTTACACTCAACTGTAAAATTATAAAATACACTGCCTGTCAAAATTAACGCCTAATAAGTAAAAAAATTGTAACTCTAAAACGCTTTTATCAATCCATATAAAATTTTGGATAAAAATACTTTAACTTATATCTCAGTTTACGTGTTCAAGAGTTTTTCGAAAAAATATCCCCAAAGCCCTTTTATTTAATATTAAAAAAAACGCTCGAAAAAAACTTTTATAGGGAATTATTTAAGTAAAAAAAAATATGCTGTTAAAGACCGTATTTTTGTTAGTATACCCTGAAAATTTTGTACAAATCAAACGAACAGTAACGAAGATACAGCGCTTCAAAGTCGGTAAAAATGACCACTTTTCAGCAAAATAATCAAAAATGGGTCATTTTTATCGACTTTGAAGCGGTGTATCTTCGTTACTTTTCGTTTGATTTGTACAAAATTTTCAGGGTATACTAACAAAAATACGGCCTTTAACAGCATATTTTTATTTACTTAAAAAAAATTCCCTATAAAAGTTTTTTTTCGAGCGTTTTTTTAATATTAAATAAAAGGGCTTTAAAATATTTTCTCGAAAAACCCTCAAACATGTAAACTGAGATATAAGTTGAAGTATTCTTATACAAAATTTCATAAAGATTGGTAAAGGCGTTTTAGAGTTAGATTTTTTTTACTTATTATGCGTTAATTTTGACGCGCAGTGTATATTTGATTTGTAAATTCATTATAAATCTTTCCAAAAGTAGGTAGGTATACGTTTTTAATAGAATTTTTAGGGTATATTAAATTAAATATGCCCTTTTATTTTGTGTAAGTTTTTTTATATTAAAAAAATAAAAAAGTTATGAGATATTGTATTACAATTAAGTCATTGTAATTTAAAGTAATTTTACCATAATTCTTACTTACATTATTTCCCTCCCAAGGCCCGTGGTCACTACTAGAAAACGACATTTTCATTGGTGATTTTTTATTAAAAATAAACACAACTTAAATACTAAAACCCCAAGGGATTTCACTCACACGGCTTATCAAAGCAAAGATCAAAATATAACTAAAATAATAATCAAAATTTGATTTTAATAATCAAGTAGCATAACAAAGGGGTGTCGAATGCTGCATTCTGATTGGTTCAAACTTACAGTGGGACGTTCCCAAGCGAGTTTAAGCCAATGAGGGAGAGAAGGAATGTTGCTAAGGGTTGAAAGTTAATTTAGCCTTTATGTGAGGTGTATTTAAGGGTGAGTATGGTTTATAAGGGTAGTATTGACTTTTGGTAACATGTTTTTGGAGATGTTGGAATATTAAATTTACGTAGTTTTGCTTGCTTTTTTAAAACATTTTAATGTTTTTTTACCTTTATGAAATATTTTTATAAAATATTTAGTGAATTATAATTGTTTCTTTTCGAACTGTGGATGAAAAGAGGGTGTCCTACGCCCCCTTTTTAGTATCTATTTTGACTTCTATTTGGTTAATTAAGCGCGTCAAAGCATGTAATACGATTTACACAGTGGTAAATTTAATAAAAACACCCTTGCTAGCTTTTATTAATTTTAAATGGGGATAGGTACATATTTCCATGTGTTCTATTATTGTATATACAATTGAAGAATCAAAAAGTTAATTTTACGTAAGTATACAAACTACGAAAAAGTATCTTTAATTTAAGTTTAATATTCAAACACATTTGAAAAATATCCTTAAAAACAGTTTTTCTTGATTATATCGTGATTATATCGTAAATTATTCGTTTTATCAAAACTTTAGTTATTGTAAAATATATTCCCCATGTAAATCTGCATAAAAATTTCCCTATGCATAAATTACGTAGGACTACAATAGTAGAAATATCTCGAGATATGTGGATGAGAAATAGTTTTCCTCGTTTATCTTGTAAATTAAAGATTAACGTGAATTTTGGTCAGTATAAATTTTATTCCCCATACGAATCTGCATAAAAATTGTCCTATGCATAATTTACGTAGGACTACTAGTTCTCGAGATGAGTATGAGAAAAAAGGCGAAATCAGTTTTTCTCGATTTTCTCGTAAACTATAGGTTAACGTGAATTTTGGTCGTTATAAAATGTATTCCTCATATAAATCTGCATATAAATTGTACCATGCATAATTTACGTAGGACTACTAGTTATCGAGATATGAGGATGAGAAAAAAGGCAAAAATCAGTTTTTCCCGATTATCTTGTAAACTAAAGGTTAACGTGAATTTTGGTCGTTATAAAATGTATTCCTCATATAAATCTGCATATAAATTGTACCATGCATAATTTACGTAGGACTACTAGTTCTCGAGATATGAGGATAAGAAAAAAGGCGAAAATCAGTGTTTCTTGATTATCTAAACGATAAATTAACAAACAAGACTTAAAATTATTATCAACGTCCAAAATTAATTATATTTAACCATTCGCAATCAAAAAGTCGCCCTTCCAAAATCTGTAATCCCTGTTTTTCCAGAATTTGTCATATACTAAAATTTAATCCTATTATAATAAGTATTAATTCAGATTCACTTGCCAAAAGGGCATATAATTCGTAACAAGTTAAAGTAAAGCAGTTATTAAATCTAACCCCTGTTTTGACACATCCCCCATTGTTATTTTGCACACGTGGTATATTACCGAGGGGTGAGCATACGTTAAAGAAATATGCCATATCCAAAACTAATTTGACGATAATTGATCAAATATTAAATGCGCATATCTGACTAAAAAAATGTCAAAGGTTTCAACAAAATTAAATACCCCAAACTATGCTGCCGTACTAAGCGCAGAAGCGGTAATTAACATAATGGCTGTCATGAGATATTGGTACTTTTATGTTAATAGCTCTGCCAACTCAGTTTGGTAACAGATACCGCTAAAAATAACTTGATATTTCAATTATTTACTGACAAAATACCGATTTAATACCTTATTAAAGTAGAGATTTTTAAGCCTAGTTTCATATTACGGGAAAATGTCAATTTCCTTTAAATGTGCAGTTACCGCTTCTGCGCTTAGTACGGCAGTATTGTTTACTTGTTTACTTTGTCTGTGGCAACCGCTAAGGTTAGACGTGTTTTATGAGCTCGGCGATTTTCGTTCGTTAAAAGAAATGAATCAAAGAATTTGTATCCAATTTTGCTTAAAAAATTAAATAAATTCTGTGTAATGTTAACAAAGGCATATAGTGAGTCTGCTATAAGTAAAACAAGAGTTTACAAGTGGTATAAGAGTTTCCAAGATGGCCATGAAAACGTTGAAGATGACGAACGCCCCGAGCGCACAATCACATTAACAACCGATAAAAACATGGAAAAAGTGGAAGAAATGGTTGTAAACCATCAGAGAAGTCGCTGATGATGTTGGTATATCCATTGGCTCATCCCATGAAGTTTTTTCGAATGTTTTGGGTATGAAACGCGTGGCAGAAAAATTTGTTCTAAAATTGTTAAATTTTGAACAAAATTTTTGGCTAAAAACAATACTGTAATGATGCCCCAGCCTCCATATTCGCCAGACATGCCTCTGTCTGACTTTTTCATATTCCCAAAAATAAAGAGAACCTTAAAGGGCCGTCGTTTTGCAAGCATAGATGACATTAAAAGCGCATCGCTGAAAGAACTAAAGATCGAGTTTTAGAAGTGTTTCGAGTATTGGAAGAAGAGCTGGCACATGTGCATAATATCCAATAGGGACTATTTTGAAGGCGACAACATTAATGTAGGCGAATAAATAAATATTCGTTTCAAGAAACTAAAATTCCCGATATTTTCTGAACACACCTCGTATTTACAAAGTTACATGACATTTTTGTCAATATTAAACCAAATTTACTAATTTTTACATTAAACTTTTATAAAATGGACACTCCTTTGGACATACAGGATGAGTTTCCGTTCGAAAACATTATTTTAGCTTATTTACAGAACCAACAAGTGAATGATGTGGAGGAATATATCCCTCCCAGTGAAAGTCCCTCCCAAAAATTTGTAAGGGAATTTTTGGAGGAATTAATATGGAAGGTTGAAAAGCAAACTGCTTGGAGGGAAAGATACAGGCAGCTTGAATCAGAGCACAACCAAAATTTTCTGTTCGAAATTATGGATTATATCCCAGAATTTTTTTTAGGTATTTTTTATAGTTAAAAAAACGCTTAATTCTTGGATATATGGTGTTTATTAATAGTATTACAGGCAGTAACAAAAAATAAAAATAAAATTACATAGTACATATCACTTTTTGCTTAATAATTAATATATTATATACAAATTTGTCCGTAATAGATAAAAAAACATGCAATACATATGTAGCTAAAATATAAAGCACATTAAATAGTTAATTATTATAATATAAGGCTTTAACATTAACTGTATTATTTATTTACAAATTTTTCGACTCAACATAAAATTTGCATTAAGCATAAAAACCCTGTTATTTGAAACCCCGCAACATATACTTTACCATTATAGTAACATAGCAACAAGAATAGTAACATCGTGCGAAGTATATGGTGCGACATATCATTGAAACGGATTTTTTCTCGACATTCCTAATAATAAAAATGTTTGTAGATGATACAGTAGTGCAAAAACTAACATTCAGAGAGAACTTGATAATATGTTCAATAGACCAGATCCCACTTTGCAAACAAGTGGGGACTCTAAACGCAGTAGGGGGCCTAGTTCTGGATATCCAATGGGCTGAAGGGAAAGTACCGAGAAATTTCGTACCTGACTGTGATACGTTCGAAAAACAATTATTGGAAACGTGCAAAAAAATAAAAGAATGTAAATCAAATATAACCCCTCACAGTTTAATTTTGTCTACATATAGGTAAGTCTTTTAGATGTTGCCAAAACTGAAGATAAGCAATCGGCACGCGAAGCATTGTTGAGTAAACAAGTTCAAGAGTTGGAAGATATGTTGAACGAAAAAATTAAAGCGAACCATTATAAATTTTTGGTTCACATCTCATCACATTTTAATTGTGGTTACGAGGCGGGTTCCGACATGACGTCATGGGTGAATCGCGATTTTCACACTGTGGAGGAGAAAAGAAAAGAGTTAGTATTATATGGAATATAAGCCCTATATGCTTATTTTTTTATTAGTTTATTGCAATCAGCACAAAAAATCCTTAAATTTGATATGCGACAAGCCATATGTCCGATAAGGTATACGCTTATATACTGGAGTATATAACGAAGTATATAGCAGCAAAGTATGCCTTGTGGGGTATGATTATGAAGGATTTTTCATGGCGATTCTAACAGTGTTATTATATAACACTCCTAAGGTATATTTTTGACGATGAAGACAGAAAGAGTTAGTATTATATGGAATATAAGCTCTATATGCTTATGTTTTTATTTCTTTATTGCAATCAGCACAAAAAATCCTTAAATTTGATATGCGACAAGCCATATGTCCGATGAGGTATACGCTTATATACTGCAGTATATAACGAAGTATATAGCAGCAATGTATGCCTTGTGGGGTACCATTATAAAGGATTTTTCATGGCGATTCTAACAATGTTATTATGTCACACATATAACACTCGTAAGGTATATTTTCGACGATAAAGACAAAAAAATGATTTAGTATTATATAGAATATAAGCTTTATATGCTTATGTTTTTATTAGTTTATTGCAATCAGCATAAAAAATCCTTAAATTTGATATGCGACAAGGCATATGTCCGATGAGGTATACGCTTATATACTGGAGTATATAACGAAGTATATAGCAACAAAGTATGCCTTGAGGGGTATCATTGTGAAGCATTTTTCATGGCGATTCTAACAATATTATTATAAGTCACACATATAACACTCCTAAGGTATATTTTCGACAATGAAGACAAAAAAATGATTTAGTATTATATAGAATATAAGCTTTATATGCATATGTTTTTATTAGTTTATTGCAATCAGCACAAAAAATCCTTAAATTTAATATGCGACTAGCCATATGTCCGATGAGGTATAGGCTTATATACTGAAGTATATAACAAAGTATATAGCAGCAAAGTATTAATAATAAAGGATTTTTTATGGCGATTCTAACAATGTTTTTATAAGTCACACATATAACACTCCTAAGGGATATTTTCGACAGAAAAACATTAGGGGCCGTTCATTAATTACGTGAGACAATTTTGGCGATTTTTCGACCCCCCCCCCTCCCCTTGGTGAGATGTCGTGAGATTTTGCTCGACCCCCTCTCCCCCCCTTAATCTCACGTGAGATTTTTTAAAATGCATGGTCTTAATGTAAATAAGTTAATAATAAGTCAATCTGTGCTTGATTCCATTAGATTTATTAAAAAAAACAATTTGCTTATAATTGTTTACTTAATTTAACCCAGTTTTCTCGCAATTTTACACTCTTTCTTTCTAAAAAAAAATTACGTGATATTTGCCGAGGACCCCCCTCCCCCCCACGTGAGATTTGGTGAGGTTTGGCTCGACCCCCTCCCCCCCCCTAAACACCTCACGTAATTAATGAACGGCCCCTTATATGCTTATGTTTTTATTATTTTTTTGCAATCAGCACAAAAAATCCTTAAATTTGATATGCGACAAGCCATATGTCCGATAGGGTATAGGCTTATATACTGGAGTATATAACAAAGTATATAGCAGCAAAGTATGCCTTGTGGGGTATCATTATGAAGGAATTTTCATGGTGATTCTAACAATGTTCTTAGACAGAAAAAGAGTTAGTATTATATGGAATATAAGCTTTATATGCTTATGTTTTTATTACTTTATTGCAATCAGCACAAAAAATCCTTAAATTTGATATGCGACAAGCCATGTGTCCGATGAGAATAGGCTTATATACTGGAGTATATAACGAAGTATATAGCAGCAAAGTATGCCTTGTGGGGTATCATTGTAAAGGATTTTTCATGGCGATTCTAAGAATGTTATTAAAAGTCATACATATAAAACTCCCAAGGTATATTTTTGACGATGAAGAGACAGGACGTCAAAAAACCTGCTACACTGGCATGCAACATAATAAATATTACGTCAGAAATACGTGTAGTCGTAACGAAATTGACAAAAGAAGATATTATAGCATGATTAAAATGAAAAACTATATTTCTGAAGGTGCAAATTTTGTAATGATGAGATATATGGTTATTGCACGATATATCGGTACTTTTGAGTTAAGTACCATGTATTTAAACGGTGATTTGTGTAGAAATATTTACGTGAGTGTTTTGTAATTGGAAAAATATACATTATTGTTAGTATTTTAGGAATCAAAGGGACCTAGGGTGGTTAAAATAGATGGTAATAATGTAGAGGCCTATAAGATACATAGAACGATAATAGAGGAGTGTGGAACAGTACATAGAATTGCAACTTTATTTTCAACACATGGTTAACTGCTAAAAATATGTTCATGCATTTATTTACTTATTTTTGCAGGAAGAATTATAACACAGGAATGGGAGGGAAATCCATTTGTTTTAAACATTAACCCAAAGCTTAAGTTGGATAATGCCGTGTTTTTACCCAGGTTCGAGTATGAAGAACTTGAAGAAAATTGGAAAAATGACTTGGGCTTACTTGCAAAATATACGGATATTAAGGTAGAAGGGGGGCAAAGTGATTTTTTTCTTTTTGTCAATCGATTTGAACAATTTTTAATATTTTAAGAACACTAAAAATAGTTTTAATTATTTTAGACAAATGCTGAATTAAAATGTAGAACATACATGCAGGACCACCCTGAAGTTAAAGAAGCCATTGCGGATTATATGCAACACGTTTTACTTCTAAAACCGTCAAAAATAATGGAATTTACTTGCGAATATTTTAAACGATATTTACCATTGCAATCCTATAGAGGAAACACTTTTTCGCCCGATGAAGATGATTTGGAATTTTACATGTCTCTTTGAAACAATAAATTATTCGATTTTGTTCTTAATTTTGCTTTATTGAAAATTTATTTTTATGGTAATGTCTTGTTGATTTTAGTTGGATCCTGACTATAAGCCTTATATGCTTATTGTTTTACTATTTTATTGTAATCAACACAAAAAATCCTTCAGTTTGATATGCGACAAGCCATACATCTGATAAGGTATATAGGCTTATATACTACTAGTACATAACAAAGTGTATAGTAGCAAAGTATGCCTTGTGGGGTATCATTTTAAAGGATTTTTAATTTTTATTTTAAAAATATTAATATTCATTAAGCAAACATTATCTCCCCGAATCGGCTTGCCAATAGGAAACACTTTTTTATTAGAATTTATTTTTGCATATCACTTTAAAACAATATTTAAAAAAAAAAATTCAGTTTCGCTCTTTTGATTTTTTTGGTAATGTGTTTATTTTGGTTGTATATTGACTACAAGCCTTATATGCTTATATTTTTAATATTTTATTGTAATCAGCACATAAAATCCGTCAATTTGATATGTGACAAGCCATATATCGGATAAGGTATATAGCTTATATACTACAAGTATATAACAAAGTGTTTAGTAGCAAAGTATGCCTTGTGGGGTATTATTTTAAAGGATTTTTAATGTTGATTATAAAAATAATAATATTTATTAAGGAAACACTATCTGAGCAATCGGCTTGCCAATAGGAAGAAACACTTTTTTGTTAGGATTTTATTTTTGCAAATCAATTTAAAACAATCTTTTTTTAATTTTTATTTCAGTTTTGCTCTCCTGATTTTTTTGGTAATGTCGTGTTTATTTTGATTGTATGTAGACTACAAGCCTTATATGCTTATATTTTTACTATTTTATTTTAATCAGCACATAAAATCCGGCAATTTGATATGCGACAAGCCATATATCGGATTAGGTATATAAGTATATAGCTTATATACTACCAGTATATAACAAAGTGTATAGTAGCAAAGTATGCCTTGTGGGGTATCATTTTAAAGGATTTTTTATGTTGATTATAAAAATATAAATATTGATTTAGGCAACACAATGTCCCCGAATCGGCTTGCCAATAGAAAACACTTTTTTGTTGAATTTTATTTTTGCAAATCAATTTAAAACAATATATATATTTTTTTTCAGTTTTGCCCTTTTTGATTTTTTTTTGAAATATCGTGTTTATTTTGATTGTATGTTGACTACAAGCCTTATATGCTTATATTTTTATTATTTTATTGTAATGAGCACATAAAATCCGTTAATTTGATATGCGACAAGCCATATGTATATCGGATAAGGTTTATAGCTTATATACTACAAGTATATAACAAAATGTTTAGTAGCAAAGTATGCCTTGTGGGGGTATCATTTTAAAGGATTTTTCATGTTGATTTTAAAAATATTAATATTTATTAATTAATAATAATAAATAATTAAATTAATTTAAAACAATATTTTTTTTTCAGTTTTGCCCTTTTTGATTTTTTTTGGAAATATCGTGTTTATTTTCATTTTATATTGACTACAAGCCTTATATGCTTATATTTTTAATATTTTATCGTAATGAGCACATAAAATCCGTTAATTTGATATGCGGCAAGGCATATATCGGATAAGTTCATTAAGCTTATATACCGAGTATATAACAAATTGTTTAGTAGCAAAGTATGCCATGTGGGGTATCATTTTAAAGGATTTTTTATGTTGATTTTAAAAATATAAATATTTATCAAGCATATAATACTCTGGAGATATATTTTAGTACATACCTTATTTTGCATCAGGAGGGTAACAAATTCCACAGTTTGTTCTATCTTTAAGACAATATGCATGAAAAGCATGTCGACAGTTGAACATCATTACATTTTTCAGTCTAGTGTAATCTAAAATAAATAATATACAGGGTTGTTTTCAGGGTCCACATGAACAGCGAACAAACCTATTAATGGGCGATGACAGGCCCCACAAACTACTTCCTCGTTCACGGAAATGCCCCTTTGTTGCGAACAAACCAATTTTTTTTGCAAATTAAAATAATCGGCGACAAGAATCTTCTTGCAGCCGTCCTGGACGGACACTTGCAAATTGTACTGGTTCAACATTGTGACCAGGGAATTTTTTAAACCAGGAATTTTCATGTCGTTCTTTATTTTTTCCACCAAGACTGTGGGGTCCACGTAAGTTCCTATGCTCTTCAGTAAAAACGTTATGAACTCAGGTTTGTCCACGCAATGGTTAATGAGGTCGTTCCATAGGTCGGGGTCGTCGTGTTCTTGGCAAAAAGATATCGCATGTTGCATGTCTTTTAGCTGGTTGATTATCAGTTCCAAAGCTTCCTAAAAACATATAATATGCACTTATTTATACGCCATTATAACATTTATTAAATATTTTTTTAATTTAAAATTTTATTGCTATTATGTTATGGTTGGTAACAACAGCGTTTTCAGATTCTGTCAAAAAAAGTTTGAATTATTTTTACATGAATTCACAACACAATAATGTATTTTACGCTTTAATTTTTACCACAACTTTCCATTTTAACGCTAAGGCAAAGACTAAACAGAAATAAGAAACTATAAACACGCATAGATCTAATTAATAAGCTTTGTTTACTAAAACATTCCACGCCCCGCCCAGTCTTTTACAATGGCTGATAAGCGAGCCGCACAGATCTCGGGACTGACTCTTCTGTCTTCCATATACTGTGGTACAAGCCCAACTTTGTGGGCCTCAATTTCTACAAAAATTCGCGTATTATAATTAAAGTTGGAAGGGGTGCGCGCTAAATTTAAAGGAAATATTTTAAAATTTGATGGTTATTCGATGTTTTGATACTTTTAATGACTGGAAATTAGTTTAAAAACGTTTTATATTTAAATAATGTAATGTATCTAACATTTCAAATTATATTATAATTTTAACATGTGAGGCCCGGCCTCAGTTGCTTTATACGACGAGCCGCCACTGCTTTGGTTGTAAAACCTTTTAATTTTTAAAAGAATTACGCAAAAAACAATTAGTTAGTTACAATAAATAGAAATGTTTAATATTGTTTTTCTTCAATTCTTTGAAAATCGACATAGGATAGTATTGCACCAAACCAGCGATATTCACATTACATTTAAATGTAGGTAAATAATTTTTAATTCACAAAGTGTAAACGCTGCTTTAGCAGACACTCTAGAAACAGACGTCTGCTAAAGCTACGTTTACACTTTGTAAATTAAAAATTATCGACTTACATAGTCATTTAAATGATGGTCGATAAATTTTTAATCCAAAAATTACCACTTTAAAATTTAAAACTTACACTTAAATATGTAATGTGAGCATTTTTGTATTAAAAATGTCATTTAAAAAATATTTAAACTAAAATTTTTAAAAATCAATATTTTTAAGCTTGAAGTATTTTATATTTAAAATATTTTTTGACTAACAATTGTTTAGGGTTTAAATTTTTTTTTGTTAAAGTTTAACCTTCAAACTATTATCTAATAAATGCTTAAACGGCGTGCAATACTTATTGGTATACCTATTCATTATAAGTAATAAAAAAAAATTAATAATTATTAATTTTCTTACCTTTGTATCGCCAATTCTGCCCAGCAAAAATACCATTTCAGGATAATATTTTTCTTCCTGACAAATATCCAGTGCTTCTTGAATTGGATAATGATTTGATTTTTTCAAAAACGGCAACAATTTTTCCCTATCAAATAGAGAATACAGCTTAACCAATTCCTTATGGTACTTGCCAGTGACGTTTTTTTTGTCAAAGGCATCCAAATACTAAAAACAATAATAAAACAATATTTGCTAAATAAATAATAGTTTATATTTTACCCTAAATAAATGTATCCTATGGTCCTTTAATTTGTCCACGATAACATCGGACGAAATAGTATTTTTCTCCAACAACAAGGCTATGGCCTTCTTGTGATCCAACTCCATTAAATCTATAAGCATATCCTGAATCACCCCGTACAAATTATGTTTTTGTATTAGTGTAAATACATCTTTGTGTTTTAACCTGCAAATACGCAATGAGCATAAAAAATCCTCTTTTTTGAGTACCCACAAGCTATACTTTGAACGCATAGCAACAATATAGCAACATGTTGCTATAACGTCAAAAACCATGTGGGTGCTCAAACTTCGCGATTTTTTACGTAGATTATCATAATGATACTCACTTTAGATACATTGATAGTGATTTGTCGTAGCGTTTTTCGTAGCTGTACAAAATAGCAAGGGCTTCAAGATAAACATTATTGTCGGTCTCGCAGTTTAATAAATGCTCCAAAACAGCATTTATAACGGCGCAAATGTTGTATAAACCCGAGTTCCACTCTTTGACTAAGTTTAGAAAACCCAGTGGATCAAGTTTAAGGTATTCATAGAGAATCATTTCGTATATATGAGGGTTTAATTTTGAATCCAACGTTCTTGGAATGTATGGGCTTACAGATCTAAGAATTAATTAATTTAGGGTAATATTTTTTAAGGTTTTAGTTTTTACCTTAGTTGGTGTACACTAGCAAATTTGTATATTTGATCTTCCCACAGTGACGGACTTTTTCCGAAAATTTTTAAGCCCAATCTTCCAGCACTGTCATACATTCCCCTGCTCAGTAAATGATCCAAAAATTCTATACCAACAGATTGCACTGTGTACCTATGTATGTCTCTGGTGTCATTATGTACAAATATCTCCAAAGCTTCTTCAAATTTACTAAAAATAAAATACATAAGCCTAAAGTAAACTTAAAATAATTACTAAACATACTTATGTTGAATAAACCATTGTATTCTGTCATCCAAATCATAAGGACTTGCTATAACAACATCTTTTGGAGCTACAATAAAAAACCTATTTTCCTCACTCAACACTTCCAAATGGTAGTCATTTGCGGAATATTCTTCATAACCTCTTAGAGACAGACTATCTGTACAAATCTCTGTATAGTCATTATCTCTATATTCAACAATGTAAAGCTGCGGCCTAAGCGATTTTTGATTTTCATCCAATATTTTCGAAAAACCTAATATTACCAACTGATGATCTAAAGGTGCTATCCCACTAATAAAAAACTCCGTTTGAAAAGTCGAAACCGGATCTACCAAATATTCAGGCAAATCCCTATTGGCCAACTCAATATTGCTTCTTTTACGTATAACACACACTCTAACTGTATCGACCCAACCGATAAGTAAAGTACGGCTGTCGGCCCATCGTAAATTACACCTGAACTTATCTATAGGTATCCTAAAATACATATAACGTTGATTTTTGTTATACACGTTAAAAATCACGAAGTTTGATACCCCACATGCCATACTTTCCTCATTTAGCAACTTTGTTGCTATTATTGATATAGCAACAATATTTCTATGCAAGCAAAGTAAGGCTTGTGGGGTATCAAATTAGAGGGAATTTGATGTAGATTATCAATATTAAAAACATACTTCCCTTATATAGCAATTTTGTTGCTATAATTGATATAGCAACAATATTTCTATTTAAGCATAGTAAGGCTTGTGGGGTATCAAATTAGAGGGAATTTGATGTGGATTATCAATATCAATAACATATTTCCCTCATATAGAACTTTGTTGCTATCACTGATATAGAAACAATATTTCCATGTAAGCAAAATAAGACTTGTGGGGTATCAAATTAGAGGGAATTTGATGTAGATTATCAATATCAATAACATACTTCCCTCATATAGCAACTTTTTTGCTATTATTGATATAGCAACAATATTTTTATGTAAGCAAAGGAAGGCTTGTGGGGTATCAAATTAGAGGTAATTTGAAGTAGAGTATCAATATCAATGACATAATTCCCTCATATAGCAACTTTGTTGTTATTATTGATATAGCAACAATATTTCTATGTAAGCAAAGTAAGGCTTGTGGGGTATCAAATTAGAGGTAATTTGATGTAGATTATCAATATCAATAACATACTTCCCTCATATAGCAACTTTGTTGCTATTATTGATATAGCAACAATATTTCTATGTAAGCAAAGTAAGGCTTGTGGGGTATCAAATTAGAGAGAATTTGATGTAGATTATCAATATCAATAACATAATTCCCTCATATAGCAACTTTGTTGCTATTATTGATATAGCAACAATATTTCTATGTAAGCAAAGTAAGGTTTGTGGGGTATCAAATCAGAGGGAATTTGATGTAGATTATCAATAACAAAAAATAATTTAAAAATGTTGCTTAAGGTTAAATCGTTACTATATTATGAGTTTGAAATTAAAGCAACATTCTTTATTTATTGTTATTATTATTATATTATAATTTACATCAGAAATCCTTTCATTTAATACCCCACAACCCCCATAGTAACAATATAGCAACATATGTTGCTATATCACCAAAAAACGATGTGGGTTCTCAAACTTTACGATTTTTCGCGTAGATTACTCACCCACTATTTTCATCCCACTTAATAAGCCCCAAAGAGCATCTAGCTGTCATATCATAGACTCTAACACCAATATTGCTAGACCAGGCTAGAAAATTATCTCCCCAAGAGAGACTTTTAACCAGACCTTCGCTTTCACAGAGAATTGTTGACTTAAGAGAACCCAAAAACGATTTTTCATACAAAGTTAGTTTGTCATCGCCTGTTATGAATCTTTTATTTGAGCTGTGTTTAAAATAGTATGGGTCTACAGATACTGTTTTGACTAGTCGTCCCAAGTTAAGCTGTATGTTGTTATCTTTGGAGAACAGACCATGTACATAGACTTTACCATCATCTGAACATGTTGCAATGAATTCTCCGCTGGTGTCAATTGAAATTTGGTTTATGCTGACGGTATGTGATTTTAGATCTACACCTTTAATGCAGTTACCTTGGTGGTCTAAAATGTGTATTACACCCCAATGTGAACCCAAACAAACAAACTAAAATAAAAATTAAGCCTTATAAGTGACTTGTCAATGATTATATTTATAGTTTACTTTTGGATGGACGGCTATACATGTAGCTGATGTTTTAAGTAATATGCTTTGTAAATCATTTGATAATCGTATATATTTCAATTTTGGTTCAATTTCATCCTCAGATGACTCGGTATCACTCATACAATCCTAAAAATCATGAAGTTACAACAACATAACCCTACTTTCTATTATGCTTATTGAAGCTTTAATATGAACGAAATAAGTTAAACTTGGTTGAAACTTACATTTAAATTTGAATTTGTATCAGACATCTTAACTAAATTACTTGAAAATTAACATTTTTTAATAACAAAATTATGGAATATTTTGACGTTTCATAGTTTTGACAACAACTGTTGCCAATAGTATCAATCTTTATATAATAACACCAATGTTGCCAACATAACATACATTACTAACCATAGAAAAATAAAACACATTTTGTATTTATTTGTGTTTATTCTTTACATGTTGATTCAGGTAAGACTTATCACTAAATTTTCTATCACATATATCGCAATTAAATGGTTTAACACCAGAATGACCACACAAATGCCGTTTTAGCTTGTTTTTATCATAAAAAGAACTTGGACAAATATGACAAACATGTTTTTTCACTTTTAAGACCATTTTTGAACACGTTGTGGCATGACTTTTGAACAAATGAATATCATGGTTTATTTTCTGTTTGAACCCTTTTTTGCACTGATTGCACTTGAATTGTTTTACATCTGAGTGGTATTTGGTGTGTTTTTTGAGTTCTGTTTTTGAAACAAATGATTTTTGACAGATCAGGCAGGAAAACTGTTTTTCACCTAAAACAAAATAATTGTTATTTTTATTATTTTTTATACAGTTTTATAATTATCTTCTCAACGGTTTCTTCTACATAAAATATGTATAAGACCTTTTTTGTAGAAAATGACCAATAATAAGCCAGATATTTACAAAAAACAAAACAAAAAATTAAAAACCAAAGTTTTTTTATAGGTACCTTTATGTCTTTTTAAATGTTCCTCATATCCAACCTTTAAGGGAAACCTTTTTAGGCATATTTTACATTCATACTTCCATTTTTCTGATTCTGTATGAACAACATATAAATGAGCTTTTAAATTTTTACTTGTATTAAAACTAGCTTGACAAAAACTACATTTATAACTTTTTTTATTAAAATGTATGTATTCATGAGTCACTAAATCACTTTTTGTTATAAATCCCTTGCCACAGAAACTACATATATTAGATCGGATACCCTCATGATATTTTTTGTGTTGATTAAAAGTAGCAGTGGATTTAAAAGTTTTAATGCATTTAAAGCAAGAGTAAGGCTTTATTTCACTTAAAATCATGCCATGTATACTTAAACAATGTTCTATTAACTCTTTTTTAAGTTTAAACGTAATTTTACACATTTTACAAATAAATGTGTTATTTTGCCTTTTTCTGCCGTTTTTATCGAATGTAGAGTGTACAGTATCTATATGCAAGTCGAATTCAGCGTTATTTGTAAAATTTACCATACATACATAGCAAACAAACTCATTTTTATCACTTTTTACAATGTTACTTTTTTCATAGACATCTACAATTTCTTGACTAGAAAATGATTGTGTACTGTTGCCACATTTATTTTCCACATTTTTGCAAATAATTAAATGATTTTTAAGGACTTTTTCATTCATAAAAAGGCCTTTACAGATGTTACAACTATGTTCTACATTAGGCAATAATTCTGTAGAAATATCATGATTTACGTCATTATTGCAATCTTTTATTTTACTTTTATGCTCTATAAGCAATTTATTGTAACTCTCAATACATAATCTTCGAAAATTATATACGTTTTCTAAGTTTAGAACACAATTTTCACAAATTTGATTATCAGTGTTCCAGGGAAGTTCAGGTACGATTTTTTGCAGTTTTGCCAGTAAGGAAACATTATTTACATCGATTTCATTTAAATTTGTGAGAATATTGGAGTTTTTTAAGCATATTTTGCAATAATTCAGTGACATTTTTAGGTTAGGTTTTGGTAAACGTCAAAAGTAGTTCAAATACACGTGTAGCTAACTTCACTATAATATTGATTTTCACTTAATTTTGTGAAATAAGAAGTTAATTTGGGTTTATTTTTATGAATTAAAACAATATAATGCGTAAGTAATTTTAATACAGTTTAGGGCTTGGTTTTTTCATTAATAAACTTTATTCGCAGCTAATCTCACACTGATAGTGGCTAACTTCATTTTAGTGTTGGGTTTTGTTTGATTTGCAGGTAAAGAGACAATTAAATTTAGTTTTGACAGATTATTGCGTTATAATGAATAAATGTCATTTGTGTTCTTTTATATGGAATTTAATCGTGTTTTTCGCGTTAATATTGTCGGCTTTATTTGTAGCTAACTTCGCCCTGAAGCCGTGAAGTGTCAAAGTGTGTTTTTGATGGAAAATACTGATTTTTAGAGGTGAAAATGAGTATTGAAAGGGAGCCGAACAAAAGGCGTGTAAAACCGTCCGAACAAGCCTGTATTTTGGATTTCGACGAGGAATCATCCGATGATTCGGACTTTCGTATCGAAGATCATCCCGAACACTCCGATGATGACGATTCGTTGGATTCAGAGGGTAACCATGGCAACGAGAGTGAATCAGACGAATCCGAAGAAGAGTCTGACATAGATGAGTTAAAACAACTGACCAACAATCTTGCGAACAGTAATGGTTACTCGATAGCAGATGTCTTGAGCCAGGCAGCCTCCCAGTCTGGTAAAAGTAGCAAATTGACGGAGAAAGACGCGCAAATTTTGATTTGTTGCGGCTGTTTGGGAGATCAGAGCGATGGTGTTAACGAAATCGTCGAATGTGACAGCTGTGGGGTGAGTAAAATTAGTTAGTTTTACTTTGACAGATTTTTGTGTTTACATATACTGCCTTCAAAATGTCAACTGAAGCTAAACAAATATCTGGACATTCTTAAGACAGTTACGTTCAGATCAGGTTAACATTCTTAAGAATACTAATTCAGATATAACTGTCTTGAAAATGTTAAGTTGACATTGTCAACTTAATCCAGATACAACTGTCTTGTGTTTATGAATGTAGGTAGGCAACCAAGATTAATTTAAATTTAAATAACTCCAGCAATTTTGAGAATTTGAAAAAATGGTTAAGGAAAATTTCAAGAGGTATTTTTCTTTACCCTTTGATTTATTATCTATGCCTTTGTGCCGCCAATTTCCGAGCTATCAAGTTGACATCGTCAACCTAGGCCAGGGTTGCCAACCATTCTGTTTTCCCAGTATACTTTGTTATTTTATTCGGAATTTGACACATTTGATTATGTCGGTAATATATCTCAATATACGGTATTTTTAATATTTAATATTGGTACTTGTGTTCAAGGCCTTAATTTTAAATATTTTGAAATTTATCATTTAATTGTCAGAATTATAATAATATTATAATTATACTATATACAGTGTGACCCATTTGTTTTGCGACTCACCCCTGTAAAATATTTATTTATTGTGTGATTTTAACCGGATTTGATAAACTGTATTTTTGGAGCAAAAAAACATAGTTTTACAAAATACAAAGCCTACTATGTCAGTTTTTAAGTGTACATTTTTAAGAATTCATATTAGTGATTTATAAAATAATCTATGCACGGCACTGGATTCACCACCCCTCAAAACGACCCTATACTAAATTTTATTGAAAAATTGTAAGTAGGAACGATTTTGTAGGCAAATTAAAAATGCACAATAATTACTATTTAGGTACAAAAATTTATTCTGTCAAGTTATCCATGAAAAAAACATTGAAATAAAATGAATTTAATAGTAACACGGTATAAATATTCCTATGAGAATACCAACAATTTTCTACAATTAAACTTTTGTCACCTCTAACTAATCCACCATTTATTTTAATACACTTAATAATTCTTAAAAATGAAGATTTTTAAATGGCATTTTTATACGTTATTTATTCTAAAAGTCAATTGACCTAAGGGAAAGTTATTAGTTTTTCTAGTGTAATAATAAAGATGAAAAATCTAACTTTAAGAGACAAAATAGAAATTGTAGGGCGAAACAGTCCTTTGATTGACTGTCCGCCGAGATCCCCGGATTTGACGCCACTCGATTTTCTTCTTTGGGGTTTACTAAAACAAAAGGTTTACAAATCAACACCACAAACTTTAAGCCTGTGCATCCATTACTCCAGAACAAACACGAAAGTTAACTACTAACCTAAGTAAAATAATTACTAAGTGTATTGAAATAAATGGTGGATTAGTAGAGGTGAAGAAAATCTAATTGTAGAGAATTTTTGGAATTCTCTATTTTTCGTTTCATTGTTGTTTTAAGTTTATATTGCGTTTTTTATTTTCAAAACCAATCATAAGAATTTATACCATGTTAATATAAGTTTAATTTTATTTCAATGTTTTTTTCATGGATAACTTGACAGAATAAATTTTTGTAAATGGTAATTATTGTGCATTTTTAATTTGGCTACAAAATCGTTACTACTTAAAAATTTTCAAAAAAATCTAGTATAGGGTCGTTTTAAAGGTTAAAAAATCGCTAGTATGAATTCTTAAAAATTTACTACCAAAAACAGACATAGTAGTCCATGTATTTTGTAAAATATCAAGATTTACACTTTAAAACAAATCCGGTTAAAATCACACAATAAATAAAGATTTTACAGGGGTGAGTCGCAAACAAATAAGTACCAATGCCAGAGAGAAGGAAAAGATTAACCATCTAAAATATCCTAGGGAAAAGATTATATAATGTAATAACATAACCACAATTATATTCTCTACTAAATTAGTTTGTTTTACTCAATGTAGCCAATTATAAATTTAGGGTCTTTAAAATTTCCCAACTATATAAACCCCTAAATTTTTTACCTTGTCAAATTCAGAAATAAAAAAAAGAAACTATACATGTCCTGCTTTTTGAGGAATAATTTTTAAGTAGATTTCTGAGGTTTTTAAAGCTATTATGTAGATATTGTTTATTTTATAATTTAATGGTGCATTAATTTAATTGAGAATACATACTTTCATAAAACATTATTATTGCTATTAGCCGAGTTTCATGATCCTGATTGTATATTACAACCATTATACTCCATCTAATTTTTAAACCACAATGTCCTGGTATTTCCACCTTCAAATCCTGCTGTTCAATATTTGGGGATGGCAACCCTACCAGAGCTGGGAGTATCTTGAAAAAAATATACTTGAAAGTAACTTGGATACTTAAAGTATCTAAGATACTTTTTATATTGGACAGAAAGTATCTTTAACTAAGTTACTTTGGAAAAGTATCTTGTAACTTTTATCTAAAAAAGTATCTAAGTAACTAATATACTTTTTAAAGTAACTAAGATACTTTTTAAAGTAACTAAGATACTTTTTAAAGTAAATTGGGGGAATTCCAGAATGAATCTACAACTTGATGAATTTTCATAATTTTATATTTTTTATTCATACCAAAAAGTAACTTAGTTACTCAAAAGTATCTTAGATACTTTCATATAGTATCTTAGAAACTTTCGGATAGTATCTTAGATACTTTTTAAATTATCTTGTAACTCAGGTAACCGTACACGAAGCTTGCTACGGAGTCTCCGACTCGAACAGCTTGGCTTCCACTGACTCCCTCTCCCCGACGGCGCCTTGGTTCTGCGAGTCGTGCAAAGCGGGCGTCATGCAGCCCACCTGCGAGCTGTGTCCCAATTCCGGCGGCATTTTCAAGGAAACCGACGTGGGCAAGTGGGTGCATCTCATTTGCGCCCTCTACGTGCCCGGCGTGGCGTTCGGCGAGGTGGACAAGCTCACCAGCGTCACCTTGTTCGAGATGCAGTACAGCAAGTGGGGCGCCAAGACGTGCAGTTTGTGCACCGACGATCGGTTTGCGAGGACCGGCGTTTGCATAGGTAAGTTTTTGTCTATTTATGGTGTATTGTTGCTAAATTAACTACTCCTCCTGCCAAACTACCCAAAGTTTTTGATTTGGGGTTGAATTTGGAAAGAGGTAATCCAGAAGTGTTTTTTTATAGGAATATCGGGTCTATAATCTCAGGGTGGGTTTGATGCAGTGTCTAATCACTAAATCAATGACTGCTCTTGCTAAACTATCAATACCTTTGTTTTTATTATAAAATATAGAAATAAATATTGTCATTTAGAGGATGCTTGGGTCTATAATCTCTAGGTTAGTTAAATATGATGTCTTCATACTAAATTATCTACTCCTCCTGCTAAACTGTCTAAAGTTTTCAATTTGGGATCGAATTTGGAAAAAGCTAATACTGAAGTGTTTTTTATAGGAGGGTCGGGTCTATAATCTCAGGATAGCTAAAATTTTGCGTCTTAATACTAAATCAACCACTCCTCTTGCTGAACCATCTATAATTTCGTTTTTATTAAAAAATAAAGAAATAAACATTGTTATTTTGAAGATGTTGGGGTCTATAATCTCAATGGGGGTTAAATTTAGGATGTTGATACTAAATTAACTACTTCTTCTGCTAAATTATCTAAAATTTGTGATTTGGGGTTGAATTTGGAAAGAGGTAATCCAGAAGTGTTTTTTTATAGGAATATCGAGTCTATAATCTCAGGGGGGGATAGATGCAGTCTCTAAACACTAAATCAATGACTGCTCTTGCTAAACTATCTATTCTTTTGTTTTTATTATAAAATATAGAAATAAACATTGTTATTTAGAGGATGCTGGGGTCTATAATCTCTAGGTTAGTTAAATGTGATGTCTTCATACTAAATTATCTACTCCTCTTGCTAAACTGTCTAAAGTTTGCAATTCAGTGTCGAATTTGGAAAAAGCTAATACTGAAATGTTTTTTATAGGAGGGTTGGGTCTATAATCTCAGGGTAGCTTAAATTTTGCGTCTTAATACTAAATCAACCACTCCTCTTGCTGAACTATCTATAATTTCGTTTTTATTAAAAAATAAAGAAATAAACATTGTTATTTTGAAGATGTTGGGGTCTATAATCTCAATGGGGGTTAAATTTAGGATGTTGATACTAAATTAACTACTTCTTCTGCTAAATTATCTAAAATTTGTGATTTGGGGTTGAATTTGGAAAGAGGTAATCCTGAAGTGTTTTTTCAAAGGAGGGTCGGGTCTATAATCTCAGGGTGGGTTAGATGCATTGTCTAAACACTAAATCAATGACTGCTCTTGCTGAACTATCTATTCTTTTGTTTTTATTATAAAATATAGAAATAAACATTGTTATTTAGAGGATGCTGGGGTCTATAATCTCTAGGTTAGTTAAATGTGATGTCTTTATACTAAATTATCTACTTCTCCTGCTAAACTGTCTAAAGTTTTAAATTTGGGGTCGAATTTGGAAAAAGCTAATACTGAAGTGTTTTTTATTGGAGGCTCGGGTCTATAATCTCAGGGTAGCTTAAATTTTGCGTCTTAATACTAAATCAACCACTCCTCTTGCTGAACTATCTATAATTTCGTTTTTATTAAAAATTTAGAAATAAACTGATATTTTAAGGATGTTGGGGTCTATAATCTCAGGGGGGGTTAAATTTAGGATGTTGATACTAAATTAACTACTCCTTCTGCTAAATTATCTAAAATTTGTGATTTGGGGTTGAATTTGGAAAGAGATAATCCTGAAGTGTTTTTTCAAAGGAGGGTCGGGTCTATAATCTCAGGGTGGATTAGTCTAAACACTAAATCAATGACTGCTCTTGCTAAACTATCTATTCTTTTGTTTTTATTATAAAATATAGAAATAAACATTGTTATTTAGAGGATGCTGGGGTCTATAATCTCTAGGTTAGTTAAATGTGATGTCTTTATACTAAATTATCTACTTCTCCTGCTAAACTGTCTAAAGTTTTAAATTTGGGGTCGAATTTGGAAAAAGCTAATACTGAAGTGTTTTTTATTGGAGGCTCGGGTCTATAATCTCAGGGTAGCTTAAATTTTGCGTCTTAATACTAAATCAACCACTCCTCTTGCTGAACTATCTATAATTTCGTTTTTATTAAAAATTTAGAAATAAACTGATATTTTAAGGATGTTGGGGTCTATAATCCCAGGGGGAGTTAAATTTAGGATGTTGATACTAAATTAACTACTTCTTCTGCTAAATTATCTAAAATTTGTGATTTGGGGTTGAATTTGCAAAGAGGTAATCCTGAAGTGTTTTTTACACAGGAGAGTCGGGTCTATAATCTTAGGGTGGGTTAGATACATTGTCTAAACACTTAATCAATGACTGCTCTTGCTAAACTATCAATTCCTTTGTTTTTATTATAAAATATAGAAATAAATATTGTTATTTAGAGGATGCTGGGGTCTATAATCTCTAGGTTAGTTAAATATGATGTCTCCATACTAAATTATCTACTCCTCCTGCTAAACTGTCTAAAGTTTGCAATTCAGTGTCGAATTTGGAAAAAGCTAATACTGAAGTGTTTTTTATAGGAATGTCGGGTCTATAATCTCAGGGTAGCTTAAATTTTGCGTCTTAATACTAAATCAACCACTCCTCTTGCTAAACCATCTATAATTTCGTTTTTATTAAAAAATATAGAAATAAACATTGCTATTTTGGAGGTGTGGTGGTCTATAATCTTAGGGGTGGTTAAATTTAGTATGTTGATACTAAATTAACTACTTCTTCTGCTAAATTATCTAAAATTTGTGATTTGGGTATGAATTTGAAAAGAGGTAATCCTGAAGTGTTTTTTCAAAGGAGGGTCGGGTCTATAATCTCAGGGTGGGTTAGATGCATTGTCTTAACACTAAATCAATGACTGCTCTTGCTAAACTATCTATTCTTTTGTTTTTATTATAAAATTTAGAAATAAACATTGTAATTTAGAGGATGCTGGGGTCTATAATCTTTGGGTTAGTTAAATGTGATGTCTTTATACTAAATTATCTACTTCTCCTGCTAAACTGTCTAAAGTTTGCAATTCAGTGTCGAATTTGGAAAAAGCTAATACTGAAGTGTTTTTTATAGGAGGGTTGGGTCTATAATCTCAGGGTAGCTTAAATTTTGCGTCTTAATACTAAATCAACCACTCCTCTTGCTGAACCATCTATAATTTCGTTTTTATTAAAAATTTAGAAATAAACTGATATTTTAAGGATGGGGTCTATAATCTCAGGGGGGGTTAAATTTAGGATGTTGATACTAAATTAACTACTTCTTCTGCTAAATTACCCAAAATTTGTGATTTGGGGTTGAATTTGGAAAGAGGTAATGCTGAAGTGTTTATTCAGAGGGTCGGGTCTATAATCTCAGGGTGGGTTAGATGCAGTGTCTAAACACTAAATCAATTACTGCTCTTGCTGAACTATCTATTCTTTTGTTTTTATTATAAAATTTAGAAATAAACATTGTTATTTAGAGGATGCTGGGGTCTATAATCTTTAGGTTAGTTAAATGTGATGTCTTTATACTAAATTATCTACTTCTCCTGCTAAACTGTCTAAAGTTTTAAATTTGGGGTCGAATTTGGAAAAAGCTAATACTGAAGTGTTTTTTATTGGAGGGTTGGGTCTATAATCTCAGGGTAGCTTAAATTGTGCGTCTTAACACCAAATCAACCACTCCTCTTGCTGAACCATCTATAATTTCGTTTTTATTAAAAAATATAGAAATAAACATTGTTATTTTGGAGGTGTTGGGGTCTATAATCTTAGGGGGGGTTAAATTTAGTATGTTGATACTAAATTAACTACTCTTTCTGCTAAATTACCTAAAATTTGTGATTTGGGGTTGAATTTGGAAAGAGGTAATCCTGAAGTGTTTTTTTTATAGGAGGGTCGGGTCTATAATCTCAGGGTGGGTTAGATGCAGTGTCTAAACACTAAATCAATGACTGCTCTTGCTGAACTATCTATGTCTATTAAAAATATAGAAATGTTTTGAGGATGGTGTGGTCTATAGCACAGTACGACAAAATTTGATTTTTTTTCCTCCCATAAAAAATTCCTATAGATTTTGAAAGTAGATAGAAATGATCGGCGTTTTTTCAGATCACGTCATTAATTTCGTGTTTAAGAAAAAATGTGAAAATGTGTATTTATAGTATCTTGGGGTCTATAATCTAAGGATATATTCTACATGCCCTCTAAAAGCTAAATCAGTCATTCCTCCTGCCAACTTATCTAAAATTCCAGCATTTGGTGCTATATCAAAGTAATTTTAGGCTGCGACGCGGGCATGTGCCGCACGTACTTTCACGTGACGTGCGCCCAACGCGAAGGCTTCCTCTCCGAAGCCCACTCGGAGGAAGTCGACCAAGCCGACCCCTTCTACGCCCATTGCAAACTGCACTCCGACAAAACGCTGGTGAAAAGGCGCAAGAGAAACTACATGGCGCTGCAGCTGAGAACGCACCTGCGGAAGGTGCAGTTCGACAAGGAGGGTCACAGCGAGACGCCCGAGCAGGTGAGCATAGGGTTGCAACTTTTCATGAAAAGTTGGGTTTTATTTTTCGGAAAAGTTCGGAAAAGTTGGAAAAGATGGTTTTGTAATGTAAACGTATAAAACATAATAGACCAGTGCAGAAGCCTTTAAAAATGGTAAAAAGAGAAAAAAAATAACAGTAGGATGAAACCCATTGGAAAAGGAGGGGAATATAATAAAAATTAAAGGAAAAATAAATTACGGGCAATCTGTGGGAGGGGTGGGTTTTAAGGGTAAAAAATGGTTTATCTCGATTTCCGGCAAAACTACAAGTCCTATGGAAAAAAGTTTAATGTCAAAGTTGTAGGTAATAAAAAGATCTACAACTTTTGTATTTACAATTTTTTCACATAACCTCAAAATTTATGTGAAAAATTCAAAAAACCAAGTTTTTGGTTTTTTATTTTTATCTTTTTAAAAAAAAAAATTTTTTCCACGAAATTTGGTGAAAACTTACCTTTTTATGTCCCAAATACACTGTAATTTATTTGATTTGAAATATTTATTATTTCGCCTTATTTTGACTTAATATCAAAAAAGCACCCTAATTTTCAATCGAAAATTCTCGCGTCAAAATATCAGCTTTTTTCAAAAAGTCGGTGTGCTTTTTGTTTGATGAACTCTCTACTTTCTGATGGTGTAAAAAAAATATACATTACTATTGTAAATGAAGGGGTTAGAATAAAAAGGGTATAAGTAACATTTTCATTTTTTGGAGATATTTGAAGTTAAAGTTATGTTACCATAAAAAAGTGAGGAATTTTGTTTAGTAATGTTTTTCTACTGGATAATAGAGGTCCCTAGAAGTATGAAAATTACTTAAATCCTTTTCATTTCGATACGTCGGAACCTTATCTTTCACAAAACGAACTTATCTCCTAAATTAAAGAAATTGCACTTATACCCTTTCTATTCTAACCCCTTCAAATGTTCTCAGAAAATACAAAAAATATTATAATGAATAACGTAATCAGAATGAAGTATCTAAATTCAATAGTATGATTTACATGTATTTTTATATTTTATGAGATTTTCTGACATAAATGTTATTAGAATTTAATAAAAAAACTTTTTAACTAAAAAAAATTGCAACAATCACATTTTTTTGATGAAATTGTACATAATGATTAAAATAAATTTTCGAATTCGAGTTTTTTTCGTTATTCATTATAATATTTTTTGCATTTTCTGAGAACATTTACCATAGTAATGTACATTTTTTTACACCATCAGAAAGTAGAGATTTCAACGAACAAAAAGCACACCGACTTTTTGAAAAAAGCTGATATTTTGACGCGAGAATTTTTGATGGAAAATTAGGGTGGTTTTTTGATATTAAGTCAAAATAAGGCGAAATAATAAATATTTCAAATCAAATAAATTACAGTGTATTTGGGACATAAAAAGGTAAGTTTTCACCAAATTTCGTGGAAAAAATTTTTTTTTTTGAAAAAGATAAAAATAAAAAACCAAAAACTTGGTTTTTTGAATTTTTCACATAAATTTTGAGGTTATGTGAAAAAATTGTAGATCTTTTTATTACCTACAACTTTGACATTTAACTTTTTTCCATAGGACTTGTAGTTTTGCCGGAAATCGAGATAAACCATTTTTTACCCTTAAACCCCCCCCCCCCTCCCACTTCCCGAAGTCAGATCGCCCGTAATTTATTTTTCCTTTCATTTTTATTATATTCTTCTCCTTTTCCAATGGGTTTCATCCTACTGTTATTTTTTTTGGTTTCAAAAATTATCGACCCTGGTCTATGTTTGCAACACTAGGTGAGGATACAAAGGAAGCTGAGGAAGCAGAAGGAGCATTACCTGGGACACAAGGCTCTGAAGCAGGCGCCTTGGGTACCGACGCAAAAGATGCCCAGGTTGCTCACTACCAGCGCTTCTGCGGTCAAAAAGCTGATGATGAAGGCGCAAATTATGGGCATCGACACCATGGTGTTGGAGATGCAGGAATCGCAGGCCATTGCTTTGGTGGACGTGAGGAAAAAGTGGCACATTTCGCCGGCTTTTACGGTGGAGTTTATCGCCTATTATTTGGATAGAAACGATAGGCTGAAGGAAATGAAGAACTCCTTGGAAGATTTTATGGTATGTAGATAGGGTTTTAAAGTGTCAAAAAATATTTTTTTTCCGTTTTTCCCAGGCCTTGAAAAAATTGTCTTTTTTGGGAAAATATACACATTTGAAAAAAATCAACAACTTAATATTTTAATTAAAAAAAAATATCCTTACAGAAAAAAAATAAAACTAAATATTGAATTAAATTAAATGGATTTAAGAAAATAATCGTAAACGATAAATATGCTGTCAGTTGGGTATTTTTTTTTGCAAAGAGGAGTCCTTTAAAAACAGCTGGGGGTATCTAGAAAAAAAGATACTTGAAAGTAACTTACATACTTAAAGTATCTAAGATACTTTATCTTAGATACTTTTTGCAGGGTTCGTAGCGACCGGGAAAACCGGGAAATCCGGGAAAAGTCAGGGAATATAAAATGAGTCTAAAAAGTCATGGAAAAGTCAGGGAATTATCTGTAAATAATACTAATACTTAAAATAATAATAATAATATAAAAGAAAATAATATTTACTTAATACCTACACAATCTACCTTATGATTTAATATAAATGAAATGCTTGGGCAATTTTAATGTAACTACCTAATCGTGTGTGGTGAAACGTTTGAGTTTTCACAGAGATATTCTCAGGGAGGTTCTTTAGGGTAGTGAAAGTCCAGATGAGGGAGACAGATTATTTATTGCTATATAAAATAAAGATAAGTGCTATGCCGCGTATTAATATAAAATTAGTTAAAGTTGATGACAATAAATATTACTAAAAATTACAAATTATGTTTTTATAATATAATGCAAACTTATTATATTATATTATGCAAACTTAAAAAACGACTTACCTATATAAAATGAGCAGGCACAGCTCAATTAACAATTATTATAATGTAAATGCATTAAAAGCCAGCAGCTCTTTTCTCCAGCAAGGTGGAATAAAATGACGCGGCGATATTGGTTTACCTATACCGGTAGGTTTCATATAAAAACGTTTAAGTAAAAACGCACGCGGCAGTTTCAAATGTTTAACTTAATAAACTAATGGTTAAATATTGCGCGAAAAATAACGGTTTTGTTACACGTGTAACTGTCAGTTTGTCTTTGACAAAAGTCAAAGTAACATTACAAGTCTTTCTCGTAATTGTGAAAAATTGTTTAATAACGAAAATCAAGGTTCTGGAAAACAAAAAACAAAAATTAAGGAACCAACCATGAAGTGGACAGTATCTATAGACGTCTACAAATATTGAGAGTAAAAGTTTAAAATAGTTATTTGACTTATTTTTGTATTTTGTTTTGTTTTTATTTACGAGAAATATGCTCTATGTTTTGTTATAACTTTTAAGTTAAATTTTAAAAGATCTAAAAAAGTTTTGTTTTTGAATTACATATGTGACCTGGACTATGGAAAGCTAGAAATCAAGTTTTCGAGAAAACAGCTGTTAAAGTTAACAAGTACTGTCCGTGCGTCGCGTTTGTATTTGCGCTTCTACCTCTTCTTTTTTCGTCTTACCCTTGGCTCTCTACATCTCTTTAGACTTCCATTATACAGTGGTGCTTTTACAATAAATATTTTTGTACCTTATTCAAGTGATTTCCCCTAAATACCTAATTTTGTGAACGTTGAAAAAGTTGGAATAATACGTGCTGCTTTTCTTATCATTATATTTTCGAGATCGTGGTTTTTCGTTGTTATGCAGCTAATTTAAAGTTGTTTTAGTTTGTGAAAGTGCATTTTTTGCGGATTGTGAATAAGATTACGAAGATCAAGGTGGAGGTGCAGGTGTTAGTGACATAGAAGATGACGTTGTACCAGATTCGTCTTTCGATATGTCTCTTCAGGATATTGACGAAAATAAAAGATCAAAAAAAGCAATTCTTGATATATTTATAACTTTTTTCGCGATTTTTATAATTCATGTTGAACTTTAAACTTAGGAGTCTGCGGTATGTTCCATTAAAAAATACGTTAATTTTTTTATAAATTTCTATCAAAAAACAAAAATTGATTCTTCCGACCATAGGTAGTCCAGGTCACATATAATATGAATTATGCTATATGTATTTATTTTTGTGTTTATGGTCTGTTATTAAAGCTGCAAAGTATAAATTCTATTTTATATTTTTTTCCTATGTGCCTGAATATCAATATCAATTTTTGACACCTTCCACAGTCTATGGAAAAAGCTTGAGAAAGTTCTGGAAAACCTGGAAAAGTCAGGGAATTTTATATGAATTCAATAGTATGAACCCTGTTTTATCACAATCCACAAAACAAGGTCTGTTCTATCTCATGCTAAAAATACTAAAAATCACTGCAACACTGCACAGAGTTTAACGGCGGCCATTTTTGTGCTTAGGGTTTGTGCTGTTTAATAATTGTTTTAAACGTTGTGTTTCTTACAGAGGCACTTGTAAGCCTCAAATAACGCCTTTAAGTGCTAAGAACAACCATTTTACTTACTTAAAACGATTATTAATCTGTACAAACCCAAAGCACAAGAATTGTAAACAACAAAAATGGCCGCCATCGTATGATGATGTGTAGATTGTGGGGAAACCTATTAATGTTAATAGCTCAAATTTGGTAAGCACTAGAGGTGTCTAAGAACCAATTTTTCAGTGTTGGAAGTAAAAATGCGTTTTATTTTTCAATCACAGGCAACTAATCGGGATCTTCTCGACGAGCAGCAACTGCTGCGCGCGAAGTACGACGAGCTGCTCAAAAAAAGCGCGGAAAACTCTACGAAAAACACGGAACTGAAGCAGATCGTGCACAAGTACCATTCGGCCATACTGAGCGCCTGCCCCACGAAAAACCTGCCCAACATCGACGAGCTGGGCAAGCCGCCGGTGGCGCGCGTGCCCACGCAGCCGATGATGGTGCCGACGGCGGCCGCCCTGAAAATGGGCGTCGGCTTTCCCCTGAAGAACATCCCGATCGGCAGGAACGACAGGATCTTGAGCAGCCACGCCAACAAGCAGCATCAAGGTAAGCGTTTTTGTTTCGTGGAAACTGCTATTAAATGTGTTGTTTTAATGCTAAACACTCGTTGAAGTTTATTATTTGTGGATGCATTTGGAAAAAGCTAATCCTGAAGTGTTTTTTTATAGGAGTGTATCTAGATCTTAAGATCTCCTGCAATCTTTAATTTTCTTTTTAAAAATAAAATGTTGAAAACGCTATTCGTGGTATCTTGTATTCAATAATCTATGGAACCCCATTTTAATATTTAATAAATAATTTTTTAATTAAAAATTTTATTGGTTTAAAATTTTCCCAACTAAAAATTTTAGTTTTACATTTATAAATTTAAAACTATAGTTATAGTTCACTTCTGTATTAAACAATATTATTATTTTTGAAAAAATTTCATTTTTTAATAATAATAATTCCTCAAGTATAATTTTGTAAATCCTAAATAAATATTTCATAAAATTATTGAGATTAAAATAAAAACACAAATATTACCAAAATAGTTTTAAAAAAATGTTTAAACTCAAAACATTTGACGATCAAAAATATTTTAAATATAAAAGTTTAAAAATATTGATTATTAAATATTTTGGTTTTAATATTTTAATCAACAAAATTATTGGTTTAAATTTGTAGTCATTTTAATGATGGTCAATAAATTTTTAAATGACTTTACAAATTTAAACCGATAATTTTATGGAATAAAATATTACCTACATATTAACTACAATTTTTAAAAATTATTATTTTTAAGTTTTTCAGTTGCATTTTATATTTAATTTCTGTTAAAACATATTTAAAGTGCAAAAATTTAATCTTAATAATAATAATAATTGCTTTTATTGGCAAACTGTTTTACATATACAAAATAATATTCTATAAATACTAAATAATAGATGATCAAAGGCAGAGTTCAGACTAAAGGGCTCTTCCACTTAACCATAAAAATTAACTAAAAAACAATTATATGCCCAAAAATAAAACATCTACTATTTTACACTATAAATACTAAAACGGCGTTCCATAATAATCTAAGGGTGTGTTCATCTAAATGTTAAATCGGTCTTTCTTAAATTAAATCCTTTGGTTTTATATAACTGCCATTTCAAGCATACGGACGGGACAAATCACAAAACTTTTTTGATAAAAAATTGTAGTTAATTTCTTATACAGGGTGCTATGTAATTAATGTAATATATCATAATAGATAGTTCTTTGGGAAGCACCTGAAACTTTTTTCTTAATTCTAAAAATAATTTATAATAACCTTTAGGCTAATCTGGTTGCCTAATTTAATTTATTACGTTATTGTTGGTAACAACCAAAGTTTCCAGATTCTGTCAAAAAAGTTGCCAAATTTTATTTAAATTTAGCTTAATTACTAAAATGACAAAATCAACAGTGCAACTTGTTAATTTGGCAATTTTATTAATCGTTGATTATGTCATTTTTGTAATCAAGGTAAATTCAAACAAAATCTGGCAACTTTCAGAATCTAGTGCATTTCTTTCAAATTTTAGGTTATGTGCTCAAATTGTAAATATCTTAACTAAGGGGATTTATTTACACAAATTAAATGTTTAAAGTTTAGCCTGTGAACTTGTCCTAATTTCATCTGAGTAAACAGAAAGAAAAAAACCGATGGAAAAATTAATTTTGTGGTTACGGAGTTTTTAAAATAGGTACTAATTTTTCTAATAATTGCTTAAGCTACATAATAGCTGGATGAGTAAATAAATACAGAAGGGTATTAGAGCTTTAAGGGTATAAAACTAGTATTTATTGAGTTTTTATTTATTTTTTGCAAGAAAAATTTTAAGGTACAAAGTATTTAATATTACATATTATATTACATTAATTACATAACTTAATATATTATTTTTGCATCAAAATTGTCAAATATATTCTTCTTATATTAGGCTACAAATTAAATTTAAAAAAACGCAAGAAATATTTATTAAAGTAGAGATAATTTTAATAACTGACAGGTGTGGACAGGACAAGATTTTTTTTGTTCCGTCCACACCTTTCAATTATTAAAATTATCTCTACTTTTATAAATTATTTCATGCGTTTTTTTATTTAATGTATAGCGCTTGAAATGGCCGATAACTAAATGTATCAAACAAAACAAACTTTTTGAGAACTAGATTTTGTAACTTTGTTTTAGATCCTCTGTTACTCAACGAATGCGGCATATGCAGGCAAAGAAAGGACCAACATTTGTTGGCCAAATGCGACACCTGCCACCTGTACTATCACTTGTACTGTTTAAACCCGCCGTTGAGTAGGTTACCGAAAAAATCCAAACTGTACGGCTGGCAGTGTTCCGAGTGCGACAAAACTTCGGATTCGGAGACGGAGGAGGTTAAAACTCCGCGGAGGAGTAGAAACAGGTTTTCCCGCGATTTGGATTCCAACACCTCCACGCCAAAGTTGAAGATAAAACCGTTGGATACTTTGGAGGTGTACGATTTGAGTCCAGATCAAAGTAAGACGTTGAACAAGACAAATGAAAGTTTTGGGCTTGATGAATCGTCGGAATTTACGAGTACGGATCTGCAGGTTATTTTGGAGAAAAACGGCACGGAGCCGCATAAAAGCAGCAAAAAACGTAGGAGAGAAAAACATAGGAATCGATATTCTCCTGATCTGGGCTTCTCTAGCAAGGAACACAAAAGGAAACGCAAGAAGAAATCGTTGGATTTGGATGAGCCAATTCCTCATCCCAGAATAACGATCAAAATTAAACCCATACCCCTCCCAGCGGGGGAGGTGGCGTCAGAATCTAACCCCCAATGTTTTTACGTCCCAAACGAGAACAACGACAACATCCCCCATTTCCCCGTCGTAAACGTCAAATCCCCGCGCCTGTCCCCCAAAAAGATCCAGGAGAAGCGCAGGTCGGCCCCCAAAAGCCCCCCCAAAGGGTTGGACCCCCTGGCGGTGAGTTTCGGCATCACGTGCGACGTGTGCCGGCTGGAGGGGGCCGCCAACTTGACGGTCAGGTGCGACGACTGTCAGAAATCTTACCACTTCACTTGCCTGGAGCCGCCGTTGAAGAAGACGCCCAAAAAGAGGGGGTACAGCTGGCACTGCGCGGATTGCGACCCCACGGGGTCGGAGTAGGAACGTAAAAGGTACGTTTTTTTTAGGTTAAGTTAAGTGTTGAAAAGTCATTCAATAAAATGCGATGTGAGGCGACTTTTGGGTTTTATTTTTTACATTTTTATCAAATCAGAATCAAGTTGGTCATATTTATCCTAAAAATCTTAATAAAAGCAAATACTTACATTTGCTGTGCAGTGGACTGTAATACACCCACACCTCCTATAACTCATAAAATTCATTAAAATTGAAAACTACTAAAATTGTCATTAATCTCCTAAAACTTAAATATAAAAAGATAGTTATGGGTGAATATATTGAGATGTTCCCCAAGTGAAAATGATTATTTTTTATTTTAGGTTGTTTCACTGTTAGTCTAGAATGGGGTTTTTGGGAAGCCACCAGGTCTAGTAATAACATAACATAAGTGGTTCTGCACTAATGCAAGAATTTTAAGAAATCGTACATTTTGAATATTAGAGCTTCACGGAAGATAGCTTCACGGATGTTAGGATTTCGTATGTTTTTTATAAAAAATCCCTTTGCGTATTTGAAATAAGTTGTATCTTTTGACACCTTAATATTTTTTTTCTACGACCACTATGTAAAAGTCACTTTTCATGATGGCATCGTTGCTTAGAAAATGAATCTTTTCATTGGCAAGGCAAAACACGAATGTAAAGTGACATTTCTGTGTGAAAAGTGACAGGTCTGTGTGAAAAGAACCGGAAAGCATCGTTTGACATTCAGCTGTCAAAAAAGTTTTAAGGTTATTTTCTTTTGTATTTAAAAATAATAAAAAATAAAAGGGTCGCAGAAAAAACATTGTGTTATACTTGTGAGAAAAGCTTTCTTCAAGCTCGTGTTAATGCACACTCGGCCTAACGGCCTCGTGGGCAACTTAAAAACTCGCATGAAAAAGTCGCTTTTCAACACTTGTAAAACAAATAACTATTATCTACTCCTACATTGACGAGCTGTAACTTTATGGCGTTTTATTGACAGTGGCTTTTCGACATTTTACGTCACGGGCTGAAGTTAGCTTTATTATAAATTGGGAAAAAGTGAGGTTAAATTCGGGTGACAGTTGACAGATGTCAAAATTTTAACAAATAAAATAGGCTTTAAATTCTGTTTTGTGTTCGTCGTAGATAATAGTTATTTACGATATAAGTGGGATAAGAGCTTTATTAACGTACGCATGCGAAATTTGCCCAACGAGTGCGTAGCACGAGTTGGGCAATCGCAAAAGTACGTTAATAAAGCGTTATCACACGTATATTGTACAAATTTTTATCTACGCCTCTAAATAGAAAAATAAACGGTAATTATTTTTGTCTAAGAGTTAATTTAGGGTTATTTTGACATTTTGACTTTTTTATTTGATTGGTTAAAAGCAGAGAAAAACGCGTGCGTTAATGAACTTCTTATCTCACTCAAAATGCATCTGTAATGTCGTAAACAGAGGTTTTTGCTTATTTAAAATGATTAAAGCGCCATCCGTTGCATAAAATTTAAAGCAAAAACAGATTCACGGAGGATAGAATCAATGTTAAGAGACTTTTTTTGTAGAACATTGATTTCCCATAAGAATGTTGTTTGCGATTCACCCCTGCAAAATCTTTATTTATTGTGCGATTTTATCGGATTTGTTTTAAAATGTAGCAAAAAACGCCATATTTTTACAAAATACAAGGCCTACTATGTCAGTTTTTAAGAGTAAATTTTTAAGAATTCATATTAGCGATTTTTTTAAACAAAATCTAAGCACGGCACTGGATTCACTTCCCTTTAAAACGACGATTGAAAAATTTTAAGTAGAAAAATGCACAATAATAACTACAAAAATTTATTCTGTTAAATAATCCATGAAAAAAACATTTAAATAAAATTAAACGTGTAGTAATAGTAGGTACCTAAATTTCAATAATATGCAATGGTTGTAGAAACTAGTATACGAGAGATAATGCGCATAATCTCGAGTGTAATACTATACTTTATCCACCCCAATAATTGTCAAATAGTTAACCTCACTTTTTACCAATTTTAAATGATATTATAGGTGCCTTCTCCCAATTTTCAACCCGTTTGGTTCAAATTACAATAAATATTGAAATTGGCAAATCACTTATGCCTAACAACGTAAATAATGAGTCTATTATTCATGTTACGCTCATGCAAAATTGCGACTATTAAATTTAAATAATATGGTAATACTAATCTTAAAATAACATAAAAATATATTTGGTTCTATAAAATGTATTTTTTACAATATAAATTCATTTATATCACATTTTTCCTTAAGATAGAAATTTATTTACAGTTAAATCTTAAATACTACTAAAATTAACAAATTATAAAATAAAATATCAAATATTTTTTGGTAACATTATTAAAATATATATTTATTTGAGTTAAAATCTACCATTATCTCGCCTCTCTGGAAGACTAACATCTAAATGAGACCTATAAATACATTTAAAAATTAAAAAAATTTTTAAAATATGTATGATAATAAAAAAGGCGAAAATTAGTTACTTACACCGTTTTTAAGCTTAGCAATGTTAGTAGTTCCAAATGGAATTATTTTTTTGTCTATTGACAGGCTACAGAAAATAATAAGAAAAGTTAGAATAATAGAAAAACCATGATAAAAACTACAAGACTACTGATAGAAAGTGTTTAAATAAATGCAATTTCGTTTTCCCCTAATTTGTAAGGAACAATTTTTTAGACCCCAGATAACTAACGGTTAAAAAAAAATCTACACTGGTACACCCTGTACAGTATATCTGTTATTTTATTACACCCTGTATAATACAAAGCTAACATGCATTACATTGTTTGAAGTATACCTTATTTATAATATCCGTTTAAGCATTTTCTTCACTGTAAAAAATGTGAATGTAGTATATTTATCCAGGTTAAATAACAAAAAGTATGTACAATTGCATGCATATCATAATATGTATAAAGAAAAAAGAAACCCACATAAAAATACACAACATTTTTACCTTGAATAGCTTATAGGATCCACTTGCAGGGTACCATCATTTGGACTCATAATATATTTTTCCACAATCTTATACCTACAAAAAATACATTTTCCAGTTATAGAGGTTATATCTAGATTAAATACACTAACCTCAGTAATCTAGTACTACCCATAGAAATAGCCATGTGTATGACCAAGTAGGCGCAGAATAGTAAGTATAGAACGCCCACTATAACCACCAATGTAATGGCGTACCAATGAAAATGCGAGTTGTTTAATAAATCCACTACCACGTAAGTATTTATGCTTATTACTAATATACTCAGCATGATTGATATGATTTTGGTTGTCCTGAAAATAAAAAATGTTACAAAACCCTTTAAAAAGTTTGAGGACATAATATCAAGCTTTAGTTGACATTCTTAAGCTTAATACAGTCCTATATCTAGCTTTAAGTTGGTCAAAACAATCAGTTGAACCCTTTTTTAAATGTGGGTGAGATTAACACGAAAAAAACATTTTTATCTTTTTCTACCCTATCAAAAACATTTTTCAGAATGCTTTCAAATTGTTTTACCCAACCCAAAAAAAGTTATGAAATAAAAAAAAATGGCTTATGGGAACGTTTTTTTCTTTTCAAAACAAATTTTTGTATGTACTTTTTAGAAAAAAATTATTCAGACCTATTTTCAGTTTTTTTTAATCTTCGGTAAAAAAAAAACAAAAATTTCCCGATGATTGCCATATTTTTAATTCTCTGAAATTTTCGAAGTGGCGTTTTTTCTTATTTATTTTTTTTCAATTGAAAAGATGCAGAGAAAAAATAATTCTAAATAATTTCTTTACATATTTTTGTTTAAAATTACATTTAAAAGCAAAGAAAATGAAAAAATATTGATATTTGGTTCATTATTGGTTTGTCCACAGGATAATTTGTGATGGAATTCGTTTAATGTTTTTTTAACACTTCACTTTCTTTCTGTTTAATTACTTAAAGAACATAGTTTATTAAATAATTTTTTCTACTCCCACCTTTAAAAAGCCCTTTATCGTACATGTTTCCATGACACTAAGTGACCTTTTAAATACACATTGACAAGTTGTGGCTTTATGGCGCTTTAGTCACGGGCTGAAGTTAGCAACAGGTTTTTAGTCACGGGCTGAAGTTAGTTTTAAGTTAGTTGACAGTTGTCAAATGTCATACAATCGTTAAAATAAAGTGCCTTACTTGTAAAATAATACTTAATGTGAAAATTATTTTATTATCTTAATACAAAAATACAAAAGTTTTAAATAGTTTCTCAACGCTAATATTTGAAAAGTTTATATGAACATTGTACTGCCGGCAGTAAACTATAACTTAAATTCGGGCACGGACTCATAAAACATTTTCTTTACTTTCACTGTGAAAAACTGTCAATTTTCAAGAAATACTTTTTTATTTATAACCTTTATAATCTGTGTCTGTATAAAATATAAAAATTTGACATTTGACGGTGACACACAGATTCCCCTATTGTTTCATAGATGGCGCTCTATACAAATTTTTGATTTAAAACATTTTAAGATAATAATAAGTATTTGTCGTAGAAAAAGTATAGTATGCACCTCGTTTATAAACTTTTCTATACACTCATTAATTTAAGCACTCGCTCGCAATCTCGCTCGTGTCTAAAATAAATTCGTGTATAAGATGGCGTTTATCAAACTTGATACATAATATACTATTATCTACTCCCACCTTTAAAACGCCCATTATCGTACGAGTTTCCATGACACTAAGTGACATTTTAAATACACATTGAAAAGTTGCGGCTTTATGGCGCTTTAGTCACGGGCTAAAGTAAGCAACAGGTTTTTAGTCACGGGCTGAAATTAGTTGACAGTTGTCAAATGTCTTACAATCGTTAAAATAAAGTGCCATTCTTGTAAAATAATACTAAATGTGAAAATTATTTTGATTTTCACAGAAAAATTTGAGATTTTAACGCAGGTAGATTCCCAAGTTAAAATTCTAACGGGAATTCCAATAAATACAACTGTCACTTTCTGTACCTTTTACACTTCCCGTGTAAGAATTTTTAATACTTTGAAAATTTAATAATATTTTGAAATTAAACTAATAAAAAAAATCAAAGAATAAAATATTTTCTTAACATATTCAAATTTTGAAGTTATTTTAATATTTTAATGTATTATTAATTTAATAATATTTTGCAATTATACTAATAAAAAAAATCAAAGAATAAAATATTTTCTTAACATATTCAAATTTTGAAGTTATTTTAATATTTGAATATACATATCATTAATTGTTAAGTTTAATTAAAATAATAACGGGCAATGTTAATGGTGAAAATTACGTCAAAAATGTTTATTGGGATGGTTATTTTTTTTCGTATAGATGTCGCTTTATAAAAATATTTAATTTAAATCATTTTTTAGATAATATTAAGTATTTGTCGTAGAAAAAGTATAATATCCAACTAGTATAAACTTTTCTAGGCACTCATTTAGTTAAACACTCGCCCGCAAGCTCGCTAAATTAAATTCGTGACTAAAATGGCGTTTATCAAACTTGATACATAATATACTATTATTTATTGTGTGTATAGCTATTGTACTTATATAAAATTATTTTTCATTTTCTTTGTTTTTAAATGTAGTTTAAAAACTATACACTGTGACCCATTTGTTTGCGACTCACCCCTGCAAAATCTTTATTTATTGTGCGATTTTAACAGAATTTGTTTTAATCTTGATAAACTATTTTTGGAGCAAAAAACGACATATTTTTACAAAATACACTGTATTTTTGAAGCAAAAGACGCCATATTTTTACAAAACACAAGGCCTACTATGTAAGTCAGTTTTTAAGAGTAAATTTTGAATATCGGTTTGAATAATTTTTTATATATTTTTCTGAAAAGTACATTTAAAATAAAAATTTAACAAAAAGTCCCAAAAAGTCAATTTTTAAAAAAGTTTTAGACATTTGAAAAATAGAGAGCCATTTTTGTAAAAATACATAATTTTTTTTGGTTGGGTAAATTTTTTTTTAAAAATTCTGAAAAATGTTTTTGATTGGATAGAAAAAGTTTAAAATGTTTCAGCCAAATCGAAAAGTGGTCGTTTTAAAAAACTTACAATCCATTAACGAACTCCCCCATAATTTGCGGGTTGCTGCTGAAAGCTACGCAAGGTATAGCTGCAAAAGGTAGCTGCAAACTCATTATAGCATTCAAAGAATCGTTCATTCCAGTCAAGTCGTCGATGTTACTGAAAAATGCCAACAAAAAGGTCGGAACAATAGCGATTGACCTGGTCAGCAAAACTCTACGCCACCTTGGCCATTGCAGATTAAGAAAACCCTCCATGGCAAACTGGCCAGCATACGTTCCTGAAGTTACACAGTTAGAGTTTTTTACGCGCATTTTTTGTTTGATTTACCAGTCATTGTAGAGCTCTGTCCGGCCGCTAATATCCCTATACCCCATATGTACATAGCGGCTATTCCATAGGTACAGCCCAAAAAAATGCCCCCTTTGTATAAATTCGCAGTTACCGTGGAATTGTCATTCGCTGGGAAAATTGTCGCATTTATTGAAGGATGTTTAAGGCATTGTGTATGCTTAAAATATAATTAATATTGTTTTGTAAAGACTTATTGACTTGGGTATCGTTTTAATTGTTAGTTTATAGCCTAAAAACAATTTTTTCATTTAACTTGGAGTTTTTACACTTTTTGGAAATTTTTTTTTTTGTTTATTATATTCAATAACTTACCAAATATTGTTGATTCTACTTCTATTATGATACCTTTGGATACAGACATTTTGATCAAAATTCATTTTTACCAATAATTTTGTTTAATTTACCAACTACTTAATATTTATTCTGTATGAAATATTAAATTTTTTATTATACGCTCTTAATAAGAATTCAGAAAATTAATAAAATTTTTAAACACAAATCATTATTTATTTTATTTTAATAACAGTTTTAATGATCAAAAATGTAAAAAAGTTTGATTTTTTTTCAATTATCTGCTTTTTGTTTACAATTATCATTTTATCTGAATAGTTTAAAATTAAATAATTATAATTATTAGCAAAATTATTTTTTATGGTTAAAAGCAAATGTTACAAATGTCAAATATATCTTCATGAAATTTTAAAGCCTGAATTATAGGTTGCCTTCCTTCCTTCCTTCCTCCCGTAGAAGATGAACAATACGAAACCCAATAAACATTTTTGACGTAATTGTCACCATTAACATTTCCCGTGTAAGAATTTTTAATACTTTGTGATAATATTTTGCAATTATAGTAATAAAAAAAATCAAAGGATAAAATATTTTCTTAACAAAATCATATTTTGAAGTTATTTTAATATTTTAAAGTATCAATAATTGTTAAGTTTAATTAAAATTAATAACGGGCAATGTTAATGGTGACAATTACGTCAAAAATGTTTATTTAAATCGTAGTGCCAGTTATAGATTCCCGTACCGTAAGGACGGCATTCCTTCCTCCCGTAGAAATTTTTAAGTTTTATCTTTCACCGTAAAGGTCTTTGACATGACCAATCAGAGTGCTTGCTATGGACATGCGCTGTAGGGTGACAGCGCGTAGGCACAAAATATTTAAAAAACATGATTGTTTAGTATTATTTAAGATACGTGTTCAGTTTATTAAATAATTTGTGTCTCTAAATAGGATATTTAGATATTGTTTATGATCAATGTCTTTCATTTTTAGAAACGTTGCTTTGTAAAACCCCGTAGTTTCCCGGTCTTGGTAAAGTTACTGCCCTACTATGGAGAAAGGCAGTAACTACAAAAAAATTCTAAATGCGTTTTCTTGTGCTATGATAAAGCTATGGACATTTTGTATCTTAATTCAACAAAGAAATGCAGTAAACTATCTTATAAGTTAAATAAATCAGTTAAACACCTACTGCTTTTTATAAAAATGTAGTTTATGCTAATTTCCCACAAATTTCTTGTTTAGCAGTTACTGCCTTTCTCCATAGTTGGGCAGTATACAACAAGCTGGGCAATTAAAATGCGATCACTGCACTAATATAATATATTAGTGCAGTGATCGCATATATTATAAATGTTTATCTTTCATATTTACACACAATGGGTAAAACGCAGAATATAAACAAAAACAAATGTCAACCATTTTAGGTGTCATCGCGCATGGTTACGGAATTTTACACGGAAATCTATAAATTGACTTTTTACAAGACGCACAAATCGTACGGGCACGACTACGGGAGGAAGGAAGGAAGGCAATCTATAATTCAGGCTTAAAATGTATAAAATAAAATTTAACATTAAATACAGAATAAATATTACATGGTCGGTAAATTAAACATAATTATTGGAAAAAACCGGTAAAAATTAATTTTGATCTCATCAAAATTTGCGCCAATATCAAAATTTCTTAATTCAAAGGGATCATAATAGAAGCAGAATCAACAATATTGATGAGTTATTGAAAATAATAAACAAGAAAAAAAAAAATTTCAAAAATTTTATTTTTTATTTTTTTTTTCAAAATTGTTATTAGGCTATAAACTAAAAATTTAAACAATACCCAAGTTAAAACAGTATTTTGCGCCATCTATAAAGCTTAAGTACTTACCACTTCAGCGTTGGTTTTTCCGAACAATCCATTGGCAAACACTGCCACAACAAAAACGTTAATAACGAAGCTTACAAACAACGCAATGCACGTTTCAATGAAATAATAAAAGTTGGCATCCCTGACTTTTTCCGGCTTCGACCTGTCAACGTCTCTGGATTTTACCAGGGCCGAATGCAGGTACAAATTGTGCGGCATAATGACGGCCCCTGAAGCAAAATAAAATGTTTACCTTGTTATTTGCTTATTAGGATCGCATTACCTATGATTCCAATTCCTTGCACCATGGCTCTCGAGTCGCAATTTTCGCACCACGGAATGAACATACCATCGACCATGCCCATGGCATCGGGGGAGGATTTAAAAAATTCGTAGCCAAAAGTTACGCCCATGACTGTGATGAGCACGCCAAAAAATGTTTCCAATTTTCTGAGACCGTATTTGTCCAGAAATAGGAAAGTAAAGGTGTCTATAATGGTCACCAAAACACCAACCCATATTGGTATACTATAAATAAAATATTTTTGATTTTTTTGAAACATTAAGCATATTTTTACAAAAATATAAAATATATATGGATGATTCTACAAAAGTTGGGCAATATCTGTGTTTTCTAAATTTGAATGCAATTAAATACATAATTTATTGGAAAATATAAGATTTATTGCAACTTTGAGCATTTTATACATTAAATATCTTAAAATAAAATAATACCACACATCAGTGGCGGCTGGTGGATTTTGGGTATACCGATATATCAATTATTAGATATGGGACCCACACCAAATTTATATGAGTTTATAATGACATTAAATAAACAAGTACTGCGCAAGCAGAATTTAAATTGAAGTTTGCAAAAAAAGATAACCGTAACATCGAACATGAAACTGACGACACTGTACTGATGAATGGGATACAAATTTGAGATTATAATTCAGAATTAAGAATTTTACTGATATTTTTTATTAGTGGATGCTACTTATCAACAAATCACATAGCCTTATATAAATTACAATTAAATATATATTCGTAAGAAAATAACTACTCACCACAGTACTGAAATTTTGACTGGAAATATACGTGCATTCACCACAACTTCGCCGCTTGCATTGTTTTCAAGATGACTGTCGTGCAAAGGGCGGACTCTGTAGGTAATTTTTTACCAACACTTGAGTTAAAACAAGGACTTGACGTTTAAACTTGAATATTTCGTAGGAATTTTGAATTTTAACGTTGGACACAGAACTGATGGGTAAAAGTGAGTACAAAGATTATCAATTTTTTAAAAATTACTATTATTCGAATCTATAATAAAATATGAAAAATAACTTATTTAATGTTTTATAGTTTGTAGTGAAATTGAAAAATTTAAGATAAATTGAATATATTTTAAAATAAAATCACTCAAATATTTGATTCAGGAGTTGTGACACGCCAAGGTACTGATGTTTTGAATAATCATTATGTTTTTCTACAAACGTGCTTTTGAAAAAATACATTAAAATTGGGTGGACAACTTAAAAAAACCTGGATCTTTTGTAATATACTAAAATATTTACAAAAAATATTAAAATACCTACTCTATTGACTGATGGCATCAAGTTGTCCAACTTTTGTGGAATCACCCATAAGTTTAACAAATTAAATATAAATTAAAATATCTTAAAATTAAAATATATATTTAAAAATAAGTTCACTAAATTTTTTTGGTAGATTGTCCTCTCTAAAAAAGAAAACCAGATTTTCTTTGCCATTATTAATTTCTTTTATTGGCAATTGTCTCAATTTAGACCTTATCAGTTAAACCTTTTACTAAATTCTTTGCCAGTATTTTGTCTGTAATAATACTAAAATATGTAAAATTAAAAATGCACCTACTTACTTATTTAAATTTAACAACCAATAGGTATAATTATTATTTTTATGTGGTATAACACACTATTAAAACTACAGGAATTACACTGGGCGTTATTTTCAAAATATGGCGTTGACTAAAGGATAATTAAAGGTTCATGTAAGTTTTATATATGTATACAGAAAACATTTGGCACTTCAATGGTTTTTTAAAGTACCATTGCTGAAAATTGCCATATATGGGTCTTTTATGGTAAAATATATCAAAACTAATATTTTTATTAAAACATTCCTATAAAGGCCATGAAACTATGTAATCAGATTTATGTGTTTGCTGGGAAGGATTTTAAGATAAAAAAATATATATATTTAAACATTTTTTATCTTAACACGAAGTAATCTCAAGGTTTAAAAAGTGCATTGTTTAAATATACTTGAGACTGAATCAAAACAATAAGGAAATACTTGATGATAATAAAATTAACTACTTAATTAGTGTTTAAATACCAGGGTAAGTCAATATGTTTATTTGACTTACCCTCGTATTTAATGCTGTAAAATTCGTAACAATCTTACCTTCTGTTGGATAATAAGTAAATAGCAACTGCTGTACCAATTACTTCCTGCATATCAGACCCAATGATCGCTATTTCAATCATGAACCATATAACCAATCTTGGAAGTTGTCTATATTGTCTATAGCAAAGTTCCGCCAAGTGAAGGCCTGTTACTACCCCTAGAAAATTTTCATATTTTTTTAAATTTGTGTTAAGTACCTATATTAGAAGCTGAAATACCAAACTTAAATTTTCCGATTCCGATATGTTTAGGTTATTTTCTTCGTCACCACACCTTTATAGCTTTATAGGCGAATACCACCCTGATAGCACACTTTATTCTAAAAATGTTTTTTAAACCTTCCAGTGAGAATATTCTTAGGATCATGCATATTTCTTCTAAAGAACATGCTTAAAAGACATATAGCATGATCCTAAGATTATTCTTACTGGCCTATAGGCAGGTTCTTAGAAGGTGCAAAGTTTTAGTGGTAAAAATTAGTCTACTCTAAACATATGCTTAGAATTTTAAGAAAGTAATTGCTATAGAAAGTTCATTTAGGAATATTTCTGTTAAGCATATTTGGTTCAGTTACCTATATAATAGTAAAATATACCATAAACTATGTATAAAGTTATATACCTATACTTAAGTACATAATTATTAATTAGTATTAAATACTAAGTAAAAAACACAATCCAAAATATTATTTTTATAGTTATTTTTCAAATTAAAACAATATTCGATAACAAAAATACTTTTAATATAGGTATTTTATTTTATGTTAAAATAAATATTTATTAATTTGTATACCGATTTTTTATTACTGAATTAACATTTTTTATGTATAATAATCCTAACTATCTTCAACTTTAATCTAATCTGACTTATCCCACAAAATTTTCCAATTTTACTTTTTATGATATAATGTCATACAACTTTAGAGGTCAAATTGTTTATTTAATATTTTTAAATTAATATGTCGCAATATTTTTTAAGGGGACGACAAATACATTTCACTGTCATATTATGACAGTGAAGCGTATTTGTCGTCTCCTGAAGAATTTTACGAATGTAGAATACAACATATTAGAACGTGGGTATCTGACATATTTGGAAATATTCTCAAAAGCTTCCTAGAAGCTCCATAAGAAACCTTCTAAGAACGTTCCAAAAACTTATTTTTAAAATGTTATTGGGATCCTTTTTAGGAAGGTTTTAAGAAGCTTTTAAGAATCTAATTGCATCATTAAAAGGGTATCTATTGAATGTTTTAAAAGTCCCTAAGAACATTCTTAGCAATAAGGAAAGGTTCTAAGAATATTCCATTATCCCGGGTCATATCTTCTTAGAAGATTCTTGTAATCAAATTTTGCTATCAGGGCAGGATTATTTTAAATGATACACAAACCTAATCAACGCTATTTCAAAGCGCCTTTGTATGAATTAATCCCATTTTACCAATCATTAATTTTAACAATGCCATAACAAGATATTTTGTGTCAAGCGCTACACCTTTATGTATTGAAATCCGGTTTTCTTCACTTCAAATAACTTACCTATTCTGGCGGACAGCCTTTGCATTAGTAAGCCCATAATGGTGGCGCTTAACAGTAACCATAGTAATTTATATTGCGCCACCGTTCCAGATTGCAAATCATTTTCAATGTTGCCTGGGTCCAGGTAAGCAATTGACATTAAAAATCCTGGACCGGTAAAAGCCCATAGTTTTTTTAAACTGAAGCCAGTCTAAAAAGTTCGACGTTTAGAAAAGTCGTTTATTGAGTCACACAGTACATTACTTACCGTTTCAGTTTCTGGGATCTGTATTTTTTCGTCCGCGAAGTATGTCTGAGCGGGGCTCAGAAGAGTAGTTTCGCTAGGGAATGACCCTATTCTCGATATATCGGCTGTAGATGTGGAATCTTCAGCGTTGGTATCATTTGAGGATACGGATTTTTCAGCCATCTGAAATAATACGGGTTATATTAGTTTTACCAGTATGTAAAACTATAATAAAGAAATAAAAAAGCGTATCTTGATAAATATCCACTAAACTAGATAAATAGTAAAATGCGTACCTAACAAAATATGTATTTCGTAATAATTGTTCAACAATGATTTAATTAAAATGCATGTAGATTAAACAAATATTTTCATAAGATATAACTAAATATAAACAGGTAGAATTATAATGTAAACCCGACAACATTGCATCGAGCGATAGTGGATTAACTGACATGAATAACAAAATATCTTAAAATTGAGGTTAGAATTAAGTATTTCAGTAGAATTGAGGTTATGTATCATGACAAAACATAAATGGCAATCATGTTCATGAAGTTATTCTCTCAATAATTGAAACGCTTTTTTTTAAAAGAAAGGAAAAATACAGATATTATTCAGTCGTCCGACTCCAAAAATTTCAGCATTATTCAAGAACTTTTCAAATATACATTTTCATTGCATAAAATTCTCATTGGAGAAAATTTCCCCTGGAGAAAATTCTCATTGGATAACATTTCCGCTGGAGAAAATTTCCACCGGAGAAAATTCTCATTGGAGAAAATTTCCACTGGATAAAATTCTCATTGGACAAAAAGTTTTGCTGGATAAAATATCCACGCGAGAACATTATCATTGGTTCAAATTCTCATTATATAAAATTCTCGTTGGATAAAATTCTCATCGAATAAAATTTGGATAAATTTCACATTAGATAAAATTTGCATTGGCTAAACTTTGCATTGGATTTTTTTTTATTTTGATTGGATTAGCATTAGATAAAAATGTATTTTTTTTATATTAAGCGAATTTCTATAAGTATCTATTAACCACCATGGCTTTTTATTAGGACGAAATCTAAATTCCTTCTGGTACTTTTTTAGCTTTTTTGTGTAAACACTAGCTTATAATGGCAATTACTGGTATCATTACCCTATACATTTTCATTGCATAAAATTCTCATTGGATAAAATTTCCGCTGGGGAAAATTCTCATTGGATAACATTTCCACTGGAGAAAATTTCCACCGGATAAAATTCTCATTGGATAAAAGTTTCGCTGGATAAAATGTCCACGCGAGAACATTATCATTCGTTCAAATTCTCATTATATAAAATTCTCGTTGGATAAAATTCTCATCGAATAAAATTTGGATAAATTTCACATTAGATAAAATTTGCATTGGCTAAACTTTGCATTGGATTTTTTTTATTTTGATTGGATTAGCATTAGATAAAAATGTATTTTTTTTTAAATTAAGCGAATTTAGTATTTAAGAATGTTTAAAAAATAAGTCAAAAGAAATTAAAGAAGGTTAAAGAGTACTTTAGTACAACAATAACAAATTTTAGAATGTTAAAACTATAAGATTTTCAAAAACATAATTAAGAATGTCAAAAACATGTTTCGAAGAATTTAAATACATTTTAGAATGTTAAAAAGTATGTTTAGGAAAGTCAACACATTAAAGAATAACAAAATATTAATTTAAGAATGTCACAAACCAAATTTAGTGTTTAAGAATGTTTAAAAAACAAGTCAAAACATATTAAAGAAGGTTAAAGAGTATTTTAGTACAAAACAATAACAAATTATAGAATGTTAAAACCATGATATTGTCAAAAACGTAATTAAGAATGTCAAAAACTTATTTTTGAAGATTTTAAATACAATTTAGAAAGTTAAAAACGAATGACAAAAGGTAATTTAAAAATGTCACAAACCAAATTTAGTAATTAAGAATGTTTAAAAATAACTCAAAACATTAAAGAAGAGTACTTTAGTACAAGAATAACAAATTTTAGACATGTCATAATAAAATATAAACGCCAAAAACATAATTTAGAATGCCGAAAAACTACTTTGGACGATTTTAAGTACATTTTATAATGTTAAAACACATTTAGGAAAGTCAAAACCCATTTTAGAAAGTGAAGGCTGATTTAAGAGGGTTAAAGCGTATTTTAGAACAAAAACAAATTTTAGAATGGTAAAACCATAAGATTGTCAAAAACATAATTTAGAATGTCACAAACCAAATTTAGTATTTAAGAATGTTTAAAAAAAAATAAGTAAAAAGAAATTAAAGAAGGTTAACGAGTAATTTAGCAGACATCAATAACAAATTTTAGAATTTTAAAAACATATTGGCAATTTATATCACGATATGTGATCATCGTGACGTCATACTGCGTTGTCAAATTATTATTTTAACAATAACTCGATAAGACCACGTTGCATTGAGCAATTTTTGTTTGCCATGATTTGCCAAAATATGCCTCTAATATACACTGAAAACTCAATTTCCCTATGAACATTTCCATACATTTATGATAAGAAATACATTAGGTAGATCATGAATGAAAATTACATTTAGTAGAATTTTTCAGAAAATCGCTTTCTCATGAATAACAGGATAAGACGGTGTTATTAATATATTGTTGGAAATTGCAAAATAGTTAGATAGTTATATTTTTGTTTAAATAAATTTACCATTTCTTTAATTTTTATTGGGTAGGTATTTTAGTCGAGAAAAAATTAACCACAAAATTTTAGAAGTTGTTCCAAATGACTTACGGATTGATATCTAAAGTGTTTTCCTTAACGCATTGGGGAAAACTATAGCTTATAAAATATTGTATTATTATTCCAAATAAACTTTATTTTAACGAAATTTTCCTATAATTAGTTTTTTGGGACAAATAGTCCATATCAAAATTAATAATAATAATCAAGATGATTGATTTATAAGCAAGAAACTTGTTTTTTTTTGCACCTTTCAAATTTCTACCATTTCTGCCAATGAAGTAAAAGAAGTTTAAGTGTAAAATTTAAATTGCCCAACTCATTTACTACCTACTCTTTAGGGGCCGTCCATAAATTACGTAACACCATTTTTGCCAATTTTTGACCCCCCCTCCCCCCTGTGTAACACTCTGTCACACTTGGGCAAACCCCCCCTAAAATTACGTAACACTTTGGCTTACCCCCCCTAAATTAAAAAAAAGGACAAAACATATATTTAGTTAATAACCAAAAAATAAAAAAAATATACTCGGTCAACAGAATCTTAATCTCAAATCAAACAAAAAACAAAATCTTAAAAATCTAAGCTTATAACAAACAGGTAGGTAACAAAATCTTACTATTAGGTTATTAAGAATCACTTAAGCAGTAGTATGGGTATTTTTCAGTCGTCAGAACTTTTCCATGGTGTTGAAATGGCATTTTCCATGGATATTACTTCTATGCTTGCGTTTTATATTCGGCAACAGCCACATTTTCTAAAACATCTTCATCAATCCACTGTAACTCCTGATATGTTTTATCAAGTTGCACCAAAAATTCCTTTTGTCTTTTAGCTGCCACCCTTTCTGGTCTAATTCTTTTAATATTTGCCTCTCGCCCGCAGTCTTTTTGGTGGCTGAGTATATATTTTAGCGAAGCCCCATAAAGCCCACATTTCTTGCAGATTCGTTTCTGCAAAGCTTCTTTTACTGAAGGACACATGATATCATATGGGACTTCTTTAAAATTCTTAAAGAATAAGGGTGCATTTAACCTGTCCTTTAGAGAAAGTACCAAACAAATTCAAGAAGTGTCCTTGTTCTTTAATAGTTAACGCATCTTCATTATACCCTACTGATACTGGAGGAGGCAAGAATCTATTCGGGAAAAGCTCTTTAAATTGGCTTCTAAAAGCCGAACAACGGCTGCGATCATCGCATTTCACAATTTGTAAAAAGTACTGGCTACTTCTCACATTTTATTTTATAATTTAAATGAAGGCTCAAAAGTGTTACGTAACAAAGTCGTAAACCCCCCCTCCCCGCCTCGTAACACTTTGTCACACTTTGAGCAACCCCTCCCCCCCCTTCGCGTGTTACGTAATTTATGGACGGCCCCTTATAAACTCAACTCAAGTTGGTTTCATAAAAAATTAAGTTACCAAAAATAATTAAAAATTGCACCAGACGTTCTTTTGGTAAAAATAAGACATTTTTATTCGTTCTGTTGTGTTCCAAATGGGGTTTGTGTAATTATAATTGTTTTGCTTGTTTAATTAGCGTAATCGCAAATACCGCAAAACACTTTTTGAATTGCACCAAAACAAATAATTTTTCTTATTTATTTACAGTATAGGTGGATTTAGCCATCATTTAATGTAAGGTAAAGTAACGTAACGTAATTTAATTTAAGAGATAAAACTATATAACCCTATGGACGCGTTTAGCCATCATATAATGTAACGTAATGTAAGGTAAAGTTGGACAACTTTTAATTTTCTTAAATTATGTTACATGAAAATCAATCTGCGCTTGCGTGGCGTAATACCAACCTTATTTGCAACAACAAAATTTCCCTTTGTCTCTGAAATTTCCTATCGAAAGTTTGGAGGTTAGCATCATTATTCCGTTATTGTGTTTTGTGTTTATAACCTGTGTCTGTAAAGTAAAGATTGTTTTGTCATAATGAACGATCAGGCATTAATTGAGTTGGTGTCGTCGTATCCCTGTTTGTACGATAAAAGCAATATAAATTTTAAACAAAAACAGTACAAAGAACAGGCGTGGAGCAGCATAGCTGCTATTTTGGAACAGAGTGGTAAGTTTTAAAGCCAACAATTAGGTAAAAATACATGAGATATGTTTGCAGTACTAGATGTCCAGCAACGATGGAATGTATGCAGGAATAGGTTTTCGGCTGAAAAAAAAAAAATTACAAGAGTTCCATCAGGGTCAGGAGCAACATCTGAGTGGCCCTTATTTAAAAACATGGCGTTTCTGGACACTCACGTTAAACAAAGAAAGTAAGTACAGTATACTATGTGGTGAAAGTTTGTTTCCTATTTTATGTAGACACAACTGAAAAAACTGTAATTTTATGTATATTAATACTATTATATATAATAAAAGTTAATTTGGGTTAAAAAAAGCCTAAACAAAATATTTTTAAGATTTTAAACAAAAAACCTTTTTTAAAATTTTTAGACCACATAATTTTATTTATTTTATTTATTTATTTATCATCCAGATACACGTGTACAGAAAAGTTATTTAAAAGCTCTTTAGGTGGTGGCATGACCAACATTTTTTTGACTCAAATTAACTGTTACCCTAAAGTACAGTAAAGGCATTCAAATAGCACGTGCTTAAACTTAGAGGCCTTTCTAACAAAATATTGCTTTTGCAGAACGAGTAGCAACTTTAATGCAGTGGAAAGTGGGGAATATGGACAGTCAATGATTTATGATGAAGTTCTTAATGATACTTTATTTTCACTTCCTGGATCTTCGTCTCAGGAGGAATCAGAGGCTGACTCGCTGTCTCGGCCAAGCAGCAGGCAGGCTGCATCAGGAGTGGCACCACGAGTGGCATCAGGAGTTGGATCAGCAATAGCACCACGAGTGGCATCAGCAGTGGCACCACGAGTGGCATCAGGAGTTGCATCAGGAGTGGCTACACCTTCATCTAGCAGGGTCCACCAGGATAAAAAACGGTGCAGAAAGAGTGATGCCTCTGCAGAAGTTTTCCAGGAGACTGTCAGTGGTGTTATGTCAAATTTAAATAATATTTTAAATAAAGTTGAGGAAGCACCGGAGGATGAAAGCATTCTCTTTGGAAAAATGGTAGGGCTAAGTATGAGGGATATAAAAAATAAAAAAAACTGGAGACGCGCTCGATTGGAAATTTTAGGTATTTTAGATAAATACGCTTCGGACGACAGCGATTAATTTATTAATAGAACAAAATTTTGTTATTATATATAATATTAATAAATGTTTTAAACTTTGGATGACCCAACCTTTTTTATTAATATTTTTAATTTTTTAACTGATTATTTTCATATGCAACTATTTCCATGCTTATATCCTTTTGTAATAAAAAAAATAAATGAATTCTGAAGTTGCAACAGTCATATTGGTGTGTTCTCATAATGTATTTGTAATCAGTAAAAAATTACTCGGAATTCCACCTACATGGGTATTAAAAACTTAGGGGGGACAATTATGGTCTTAAATATTCTTTTAGTCAGGGAATATTGAGATATTTTTTATTACAAAATATAAGGATCCTAAGCTTGTATAAAAATAATCAGTTAAAAATTAAAAATATATTTGCCGGGACCACCCTCCCCCCCGCGTGAGATTTGACTCGACCCCTCCCCCCATAAACCTAAATAAATTTTTGTATTAAATAAAAGACTAAACCAAAATTACAAGGCTATTTATTGGAAACAGGTGTAACAGCAAATTTATGAAAAAAACCACAAGACCTTTAAAGTTCAGGCAAGCCCCCTTCATATATACGGTCCCATTGCCACGGTAAAGCACCCTGGGGGGATATAAACCAATTGGCCAAACTGTCTCTTCGTTCTCGTACACTTCGCGCACTGTTATTTGAAGCCAAACGACCTATTGGTCGCAACGGTGCCAAATCCCTACGCCATAGTCCACGATGGTAAACTCCGTTTTGGTCTTCATAGTCAACAAATCCAGTGGGACAATATTGGCGATTAGCCTCCGGAATTTGTTCCTCTTTTTTTTGCACATAATTATGCAGCACAATCGTAGCTTTGATGAATGCCTCACAATTATCGACATTTGCAATAATCGTGCGACGTAGAATTCGCCATCTCTGCACTAATATTCCAAAAGTATTTTCAATTATACGTCTCGCGCGTGAAAGACGATAATTAAAAATACGTTGCATATCATCCAGATGATCACCAGGGTAAGGACGCATAAGGTTTGTATGTAGTGGAAAAGCTGCATCACCCACCAAAAAATAAGGAACATTTATATTGGTATTTGGTAATGGACAGGGATGTGGAAGGCCCAACTGGCCATTTAGCAATGCTTTTCCAAAGGCTGATTCACGAAAAACATAAGAGTCATGGTTTCCACCAGCTGCTCCCACATCTACCATTGTGAATCTATAGTAGGCATCACAAGCAGCCATCAACACAATACTAAAACAAAAAATATATAAATAAAACTATGCTACAATCAAAACTGTATTTATTGTTAATAATTACTAAAAAAATTTCTTACAAGTACTTTATACTTGTACTTGAAATAAAAGTAAAAATATTTGAGTACTTGGCAAGCTACAATCTGGCATACACACCTAAAATGTTTTTTATAATTAAAAAAAACAGAGCCTGAATTGGCTGGGGCTTCAATGGCTACATGTTTCCCATCAACCGCTCCAATACAGTTGGGAATATTCCAGCGGCTATAAAATTGATTTGATATCCTTTCCCATTCCATTTCATTATTTGGTGCTGGCAAATATATTGGCTGCAGTACATCCCATAAAACTCTGCATGTTTCATTTACTATTACATGTACTGTTGCATGTCCAATATAATAGTCCCATGCCAATTGCTGCATTGAGCAACCCTCTGAAAGAAAACTATTTGAGAATATACTAAATGAGTTCCTAATGTTATTCATACTGTATGGTGATTGCCAGACGTTCTGCAGGTGACAAGTGTAGTTTGTTTTTGTTGTAACGTCTCAGATGAGGTTCCACCAATTCCAGCAGGTTATCAAACTGGTCAGACGTCATCCTAGTGTATTTAAAAAATTGCTCAGGGTCTATTTCTTTCATGGCAGTAAAAAGGGTTCTAAAATGGCCCAATGTCCTGCGGGCCCTATTAATAGGTCTTACACCAAATCGTCGGATTCTTTTCTTCTTTCTTGCTTGAAGGTATTGAAAGCCTGCGACCAAAATACCCAAAATCCCCAAATGAAGGGCTACTAATTGCGTCCTTTTCAAAAGCATACTTAAAATCAAAATAACAAACAAAGAAACTTCACTTCACTAATGTCACTTATCACCCAGTCGTGCCAACATCGGTTTCAAAAAACACCAACACGTCCGCATTGCGCATGCTTACAACCTTATACTAAATGTTGTATAAATGGCACAATTTTTCGTTAAATTGCGTTACATTACGTTACGTTACATTACATTACATTAAATGATGGCTAAATCCACCTTATGTGTCTTTATCTTTTAAAATTAAAGTAGGTATGTGTTTTTATGTTAAAAAATTGTATGAGAGGCAATTAATATATAACTTTCACAAAATTTTAGTCATTAAAAGTTAATTTTTGCCCAATGTGAAAGTGATATTTTGTTTAAAAAACAATTAAGATTTACTTGGTATCAGTCGTTAATCTTTGGAATTATATTAAGTATACAAATAATGCACTCATAAAAACACAATGGAAAATAATATGCCGGTATAATACCAGTGGTATATTTCCTGGTAATAATAATACAAATTTTATTACACATATTTTATAGTTATATAATAATATGTATAAATCAAATTTGACTCACGTAGGAGTTTAAAGGTAAAAGATAAAAATAAATGACTTAAAAACCCTTAACAATCAAAGAAAATACCGTAATAATATCCTATAAAAACACCTACTTTTGAGGTTATCTTCCTGTCAAAAACTTGCACTGATTCTGCTAAATAAATAACACAAATTGGCACAAAAACACTCTCATTAATAAATAAACCGAATTACTAGATGAAAACCGTGAAATTATTGCACCTTCTGAGTCAGAAGTTCTGACACAGAAATATTATTTTTATGTTCTGACGTTTCTTCAAGTATTTTTTTTTCTGTTGGCTGAACTGGTTTAGCGTTGCCAGGTTTTACGAATTCGTCCCAAGATTTTTCACTGGGATTTTACCGAAAAATTGAGGTTGACAACGAAAACACGCCAGGAACAGGAGAAAAAACGTGTCAACAAATTGCACAAAACACGTTTTGTTATCGAAATAATTTTAAAATTTAAGTTAGCAGCGCCATCTATTCCAAAGAAGCTGAACTAATTATAAAAATACCTAAAATTTTGCAGTTTGACTTTAGCCATATTTTGATAGATAGCGCTGCTAACAATATTTGTAGGTAGGCAATTAATGTACCAGAATGTTTTATAAAAGTTGCCTACCTACACAACAAAATTTTATTTGCGCGCCATCTATCCAAGTTTGGCTGAACTAAAAACACAAAATTTTGGTGGCTTTATAATTAGTTCAGCCTTTTTCGAATAGATAGCGCTGCCTAATTTAATTTTGAAGTAGGCAAATTACTTCAAAAACGAATTTTAAAATACTATTTTGTGTATTTGTATATTTGTTTATGGTGTAATTTTATAAACGCGGTTTTTGTATAAATATTTGTTAACCTTTTCCCATCAACCATAGTGTGGTATCTACGGAGTTGTTCGTTAAATTTGTTTTGTGGTTATATGGCAATGTTCTCACATGTGCACAGAGAATTGAATTTTTCGGTGTAAAAAGACTGTCAAGGTAAGTAAATATAGTTTAATTCGTTGTTTGAGGGTTTATACAGGTTTTCTATTGATTTTTACAGCTTGTCAAGTATTTTGAAGTTACATGCATTATAAAAAGGAAATAGTCGATGATTCCCACTTGGTTTATCATAATTCATCGATTATCTCCTGGAATTTCAAAAGGTGATATTTCGATGAATTAAGATAAATCAAGTACCTTCCTCTGCTGAACAAGAAATCACAGATTATAAAGAAATGCTTTTAACCTCTGGTAATAGGTAAAGAGGTAAAAGAAAAATAAAAAACACCCACAGATAAAAAAGATTATTTTGATGGAGCTGAGCAAGTCAAAATGATATTTGAAGCATGACTAAGGGTGAGCATTGTTGCCATTTATTGCTTTATCACCATGGCAACAGTTTTTTGACAATTTACTTGTTGAAACATGCAACAAGTGACGTTGAAATTTTCAAGTTAAAAATTTACACAGCCAAAACAGTATATTACTCCATAATTATTATTACTATTAATAAACTTAAATCCAAGGTATTTTAAGCGTTTTTATGTAGACATTTTAATTCTCTTAATCTTAAATTTGATAAATAATTTTAAATAAGTTTACAAATTTGATATCTATGGTAATTTAAAAAAAATGTTTTAGTGAATATTTCTGATTTCACTAATTTAATCAAATTTGCAAATTTAGCTCCAATAATAACAAAGTTAACAATGGTGAGCAGATAACTTGTGTAATGTTAAGGGGAAGAAAATTAACAAAATTATAGTATAAAAATAGTAAACATATATTGTTTTATGTACAAAAAATATATTTAAGCATTAACTTGCATTGAACCATAACTAGACGTCCTAAAACAAAAAAAATCAACAAAAACTCCAAAATTACAACAAAACATACCCTTCCTCGTTTGTTTTAGGTTCCTCATAACACATTACATATTTTTTAATAAAACCTTTTGTTCTTAAACTCAAACCCATAGAGGCAATTAGGTGCAAAATCAAATACAAACAAAATAAAAGATAGAAAACGGCAAAAATTACCGCCAAAAGTATGTAGTACCAAGTTAATTCGATGCCAAGTAATAGGGTTACGACGAAGTATGTGTTTATTACTATGACAAATAGGCTCATCACTATGTTTATGAATTTATTGAATCTGAAAATAAAAGTGTTTTAAATTTGCTTTAATATGATGTATTATTTATTTATTTTTATATGGATTCACCTAAATCAAGAAAGTATATCAACTTCCGGCGAAACCGGAAGTTACACAACTGTCATTTTAACGTCAAACCAATCTTACTGTACAATAAACTCAATCATCACATTATATGAAGAGACAATTTAATAAAACTTGTAATTTTGACAGTTATAACTGTCAAAATAACAAGTTTTATTAAATACTTACATTCCATTAACGAATTCCCCCATTATTGTCGGGTCACTGGTGAAAGCAATGCACGGTATGGCTGCAAATGGCAGCTGCAAACTCATTACAGCGTTTAAAATATCGTTCATGCTAGTCAAATCGTCCAAATTTCTGTAAAATGCTATTATGAAAGTTGGCACTATTGCTATGGATCTAGTTAGTAAAACTCGGCGCCATCTTGGCCATTGGAGGTTTAGGAAGCCCTCCATTGAGAATTGACCGGCGTAAGTACCTATGTATGTAAATATAATTAAAAAAAAAACAAATAATTTTTTTTTTTTATAAAGTAACCTGTCATTGTAGAGCTCTGACCCGCGGCCAGAATCCCTACGGCCCATATGTACATTGCTGCCAAGCCGTACGTGCACCCCAAAAAAATTCCCCCTTTGTATAAGTCAGCTTCAACGTATTCATCATTCACCTATATAAAAATAATGATATGTTTTTTAATAAAAAAAAATTATGGTCATAAATCATACGGATATGATAGCAAGAGCGACATTATTATAATTTTCTACCCCGCTGTCAACTTTGTGTGGATAATAACGGCGGATAGTTGAACATTTATTATGATTTTGTGGAACACTTAAAAAATAGCTACATAAGCATCAATCGACGTAAAAAGTTCACTCACAGGCAAATTAATCGATGAATTTCAATCGCAAATAACTTTTTTATTTGATGTCGGATTTAAACGAATATTAAAGAATATTGTAGATAAATTAATGGACAATCGCTCACATTTTAAAAATTACTAAAAAATAGACTTACATTTATAATATACAGGTTTAAACAAAAAGATGTTTTTTACCATAAGTTTAAGACACTCTTTAGAGTGGCAAAACCGTATATTGTTCTAAATTAAGTTTTATTTATCAAGTCCCATCTATTCTTAACTGTTTTGTTTTTGGTTCGCCTCGATATATTTATTTTTGTTGAAAATATGGATATTTTTAAAAACATTGCGATTTCCAATATTTTTCTGTATGAAGAACTAAGGTTGCTATGGTCCACCCATAGGCTATGGAGAATGACAGTGACAGTTTTGTTGAATCATCCCATACTTGGACATGTCATACACGGCTTTCAAAAGCTATCAAATTGTTTTTTGCAAATTAATGTTTAAATTTTGAGGTGTCTTCTTACTTTAAAAAATGGATCTGTCTCCGACTGATGTTGCCAGAGCCATTAATTTAATCCAGGATGGACGGTCACAGTATTACGTGGCAAGTGTTTTAAACGTCACAAGAAGTAAAGTACAAAGAGCAACATCAGTCGGAGACATTTTTAAAAGTAAGAAGACACCTCAAAATTAACACAATCAAAAACAATTTGATACCTTTTGAAAGCTGTATATGACATGTTCAAGTATGGGATGATTCAACAAAACTGTCACTGTCATTCTCCATAGCCTATGGGTGGACCATAGCAACCTTAGTTCTTCATACAGAAAAATATTGGAAATTGCAATGTTTTTTTTTAAAATCCATATTTTCCACAAAAATAAATATATCAAGGTAAACCAAAAACAAAACTGTTAAAAATAGATGTGACTTAATAATTAAAACTTAATTTAGAACAATATACGGTTTTGCCACTCTACAGAGTGTCTTAAACTTATGGTAAAAAACATCTTTTTGTTTAAACCTGTATATTATAAACGTACGTGTATTTTTTAGTAATTTTTAAAATGTGACCTATTCTCCATTAATGTATCTACAATATTCTTTAATTTTTGTTTAAATCTGAAATCAAATAAAAAAGTTATTTGCGATTGAAATTCATCGAAAATTTGTGTGGATCGATTATTTTGCCTGTGAGTGTATTTTATTTTTGTTATGTTGGGACTACTTACAGGAAATATAGAAGCATTAATGGATGGATATTTGAGACACAAATCGTGCTAAAAAAAATAATCATCAATCATAAACACTCAAAACAATTTTTTGTACTCACAACTTCCCTATTTGTTTTTTGGTACATTCCTTTGGCAAATACAGATATTACAAACAAGTTTATTATAAAACTTATAAATACAGCTATACCGCATTCAATGAAATAATAAAAGTTGGCTTCACTGACTTTTTTCGGCTTTGTTCTGTCAATCTCTCTTGATTTTACTAGGGCTGAGTGTAAAAACAAATTATGCGGCATTATAATGGCCCCTAAAAATTATTTTATTATTTCAGTCGCGATTATCTTGTAAACCGTTAATTTTACGTACATTTTGGTAACCATAAAATTTGTTCCCCATACGAATCTGTACAAAAATTGCCCTATACAAAATTTACGTAGGACTAATGGTTTTCGAGATATATCTTATATATAAGGCTGAGAAAACTTTTTTGTCTCATATCTCAAAAACTATAAGTACTACGTACCATTTGTATAGGGCCATTTTTGTAGAGATTCACCTGGGGAACAAATTTACGTAAAACCAATAATTTACGAAATAATCAAAAAAAACTGTTTACCTATAATTCCTACCGCTTGTAGTAAAGCTCTATTGTCGCAATTTTTGCACCAAGGCACCACAACACCCTGTATAATAGATATTTCGTCCGGCTTTGACGCTACGTATTCATATCCAAAAGATATAGCCATAACAGTTATGAGAAATCCAAAGAATACTTCCAATTTTCTTAGACTGTAGTTTTCCAGAAATAGAAATGTGAAAGTGTCTATTATTGTTATAATAACGCCACCATATATAGGAATACTACAAAAAATCAACATATAAAAATAATTTATAATAACCTTCATCCTACTAAAAAGTACGCCACTGATCGACTAGGAACTTTAGGCTAATCTGGTTGCCTAATTTAATTTATTATATTACGGTTGGTAACAATTGTTTCCAGATTCTGTCAAAAAAAGTTGCCAGATTTTGTTTAAATTAAGCTTAATTACAAAAATGACAATGCAAATTGTTAATTTGGCATTTTTATTAATTGTTTATTATGTCATTTTTGTAATGAAGTTAAATTCAAACAAAATCTGACAACTTTTATGGCAGAATCTAGTGCATTTCTTTCAAATTTTAGGTTATGGGCCCAAATTGTAAATATCTTAACTAAGAAGTGCTTTTGGATTTATTTACACAAATTGAATGTGACCTGTGCACTTGTCCTAATTTCATCAACAGAAAGAAAAAAACCGATGAAAAAATTAATTTTTTAGTTATGGAGTTTTTAAAATAGGTACTAAATTTTCCAATCATTGCTAATAGCTGGATGAGTAAATAAATACAAAAGTGTATTAGATCTAAGGGCTTTATCTTTGTGAAAATATTTTTGTCAAAAGGTATTCAATATTTTAATATATTAAATTTATTACTTAACACCCTGTATATAAATTTTTTTAGTTTTACTTACTATCTATTAGACAACAGATAAATAGCAACTGCTGTTCCTATAACCTCTTGCATATCAGAACCAATAATAGCAATTTCTATCATAAGCCATATAATAAGCCTGGGCACCTTTTTGTATTTTTTATAGCACATTTCAGCCAGATGTAAACCTGTTACAACGCCTAAAAATAACAGGCAATTTTAAATATTTTTTCGCGCCCGTAACAAGATCAACTTACCCAGTCTAGCAGATAGCCTTTGGATTAGTAAGCCTAGGACTGTAGACCAAAGTAAAATCCACAATAGTTTGTAGCCCACTATAGACCCGCATTCCAAATCGCTCTCTATATTTCCTGGGTCCAGAAAAGCTATAGACATCAAGAAACCCGGTCCTGTGAATGCCCATAATTTTTTAAAGCTGAATTTGGTCTAAAAAAAAATTTGTTAATAAAAATTATTATTAGTTCCTTATGGGTATTTACCATTTTAAATTGAAGATAAATGTATTAAATGTTTATAAAACCTTTCTTATATTTGTTATAATTATTTTTTTTAATATTAGCAATCTAAGAACAAATATTTTGTAAGATAAGAAGAAGAATAATAAAATTTATCTAGAGAAAAAATAGGATGTACAATATTTTCTGAGAAAGGCATTTCTCATAAATATTCTTAATTAATGTTTTTGCCTGATTTCAGAACACCAGAGATTTCTACCTAGACTTTCAGAAAATTAAAATTGCAAATTAACCATAGACAATAAAAACTATACAGGGTACATAAAACATAACATTTTTACTTACATTATCATCATCCGGAACTACAATTCTATCATCGGCAAAATAGGTCTGATTGTTATCATTCAATAAACCAGTATTTTCATTGGGCTCCCAAGGGTTGGGATGTTCAGTGCCGTCGTCATTATCCTCCATCATCTAACAACATTACGTTACATTACTTTTGTCCATGACTGTACTTCGCAGGCGCATCACTTTTGTCCACGACTGTATATGTAAATATTTATAAGATCCTGTTTACATGTTTTTATTTTAAATTGTAAATCCCCTATAATCTGAATCATTTCGTTGTTTGATTTAAGATTAAATATAAATGAGGTTAAAACAAAGAAAATTTAGCAATAATTATTAGATTATAAGATATAAACAATCAAGTAGTAAACATTAATGTTAAATTGCTATGTAAATATTTTGTTGCATTTTATAGATCGTACTTTTGTTAGTATAGCATCCTCATTTTCTAAAAAAAATTCAGGGTGTTACAAATTACAAAAAGATTCGACAAGTTTTCGAGATATTAAGAGGGTTGTCATAGAAACTAAATAAACAAGGCAAAGTTGACGGATGTATTTTCAAAAAATGAAAACCTTCTTAATATTTTATTTTTATTTTTAAAAACCTTGGTAGTCAGAAATTTATATAATTTAATATATTTTCAGGACACCCTGTATTTTGTAGGAAAATATATCTACAGAGAATTGAAAAAAAAAACATTAAAAAATGCATAATATAAATAAAAATATTTAAAAAAATCTGAAAAATCGCACTTCTTAAAATCTCGGTATTTTCTGCAAAAGATAATATATGTTAACAAAAATTTAAAAAATGACCTATGTTGTTTTTACACTGACTCTGACTTACCGTCCGATTTCCTTCACTATGTCTAGAAACAGCCACTAAATGAGATATATTCATAAATAATTGTTTACTTTATATAAACCTTTACAAATTTGTAAGAGCGACTCTTTGTTACTCATAAACCGCTAAAAAACACTGTGAAACCCATTTAAAACAATTCACTTAATAGTCAGGAAAGAAAGATGATTCACATAAAAAAAGATAAAAATTCGTTTTCGTGGTAATAAAAAACTGTTCTACATATTCCACATAATTTTATTTTGGTTAATTTGGTTACATCCCTGTATCTTCCACAAAAAATAGCGAAATATAGATGTACTACACAGGGTGTCCCAATAAAACAGTTTGGCTAAAATGTTGTTTTTGAGATGCCCTGTATAAACTCTATTGATTCAAAAATGCATAACTTAATATACCCTGTATGCATTTGGTTTCTAAAATATTTATTTACAATTTAAAACGATAAAAACGCTATTTTTTCGATATTTTAAATAATACTTAATAAAATTTGGTTAAAGTGCTACGTTCCATAAAAAAATACTAAAAAACCTAAATATAATTTTTCGTTTGTGCTTTTAAAAATTAAACGCCCTGTATATTCAGGGTGTTTTTGGACACTGTAAATATCAATATAACAATATAAAATAGATTATTTTTAGTAAAAAAGTCAGAAAATTATTATATCTACAGATCACAGATAACAAAAAATAATAATTGCACAATTATAAATATGATATACAGGGTGTATGAGATACCCTAAAATAAAACAAAAAACCCTATAAATAATAATTTGACATATACATTTAATAATAATAAATTACTTATTACACCCACTCCAAATCTTCATTTGATTATGTTTAAAATAACTTGGCAAGGCTCTATAATGCCAAAATACGAAAATGTTCTTAGATTTGAAACAGGCTATATTTATCTTATCGACTATTTTTTTATGAATGAACTGTACAAAGCCTTTAAAAAATTACAGTATACGTTGTTTAAGCGACGTTGCCGTTCTTTGCATCTTCAGGTTTGCGTGAATTGATAACTGACAACACCTTGGTCTGAAAAAAAAAAATTGTTAAAAAAAATTGTTATTTTTGCATCTCCCTGTATATTGTTTATAATCACAAAGTTTGTTTAATTTAATAAACAGGAAATGCCAAAAAACACAAGTTTGATAATTTTAACCGCAAAACAATAATTGTTATCTTTATCATACCTCTCTTAAAATTTAATATAATCAATAAATGTTTAGTACAGTACAGTACAAAAAATGGCAAAAGATAAACCGACGCGTGTTAGGTGTTTTTTTTAATTAAAAAAACATTAAAACATACTTTTTTTGGTTTGGTAATTTTAAGTCTTGATTTTTTAAAATTTGTGCTACTGTGCGGATGTGTCCCATCTTCTTTTAAATTTATCCCACTGTGCAAATTTGTCCTACCATTTTTTAAATTTATCCCTCTGTGCAAATTTGTCCTACCATTTTTTAAATTTATCCTACTGTGCGAATTTGTCCTACCATTTTTTAAATTTATCCTACTGTGCGAATTTTTTTAATTTAAAATTATTTATCATAGGTACTTTTTTAAAGAGGTATAATAAAATAAACGATTTTTATTTGTTTTAATTTTTTTATAGAAAACATGCAAAAATATCAAAAAAATCATGCAGCTGGATCCAAAACTTTGTGCTGTATGAATGAATGATGATAAAAAAATAAATAATATAAAAAATAAATAAAAAACTTACCTTTTTCGAAAATACTTTGCAATTTTTTATGCAAAATTTTCTTTCATAGACCTATAGGTAACTTAAAACTGAAATAAAACTTGATGAATTAGTGAAAAAATCAAAAAAATCCCAAAAAAATAAAAGCCCAATAAAACAAGTGTCAAAATAAACATAATTTTTTTTATTAAAAAAAACATGCGCATGCTGATTATAATTTTTTTGCTATTGCACTAAATATACCTTTAAAATTTAAATGTATAAAAAACTATGTACTATTCTATTATATTATATACATTTTATATATAAAATATTTCGTTTTTAAAGCAATAGAATATTTAACATAAATATTATGGTAAATATAGACAAAACAGGCATATGTAAAATAACAACAAAATTTGTTAATATATTTTTTGTATGGCAGTAATATTAAGCATAGTTTGCTGATATTTTACCCAAAAGAAAAGAATTTAGGAAAAACAAATGAATATGCATATACAAAAAAGACATGAATTGCATTAAACTGTTTATATATTATAGTACGTAATAAGCCCCAAAAATTAAACTTGAATTATTTTTAGGATAAAAAATAAAGAAGTTAGTTGTACAATGGTAAGCCGCCATATTTAATTTATTTCTCAAAATATTTAACATCTGTAAAAAGTACGGAACACAGCGTTCAACTTTTAAAAAAATCATATAAAATATATAAAAAATAACCAAGGGTTTATTTTATAATTAAATGTTACTTTTGGTTAAGATATCTCAAAAACAAAAAATTGCACGAATTTTTTATAAAAACAGAATCTGTGCGGAATTTAATAATATTTAAAATAATTTCAACTTTGATAAAATCGGACAAACCATAACGCCAACAGTTTAAGAAAATGCATTCTGTGTTAACATCTTCAAATGAAGATATCTGAAAAAGTACAGATTGCACAAAAATTTTATAAATACCAAAATTGTGCAGAATTTAATAATATTTAAAATAATTTCAACTTTGATAAAATCGGACCAACCATAACGCCAATATGGCGTCCTAAAGCAAACTCCAACAGTTTAAGAAAATGCATTCTGTGTTAACATCTTCAAATGAAGATATCTGAAAAAGTACAGATTGCACAAAAATTTTATGAATACAAAAATTGTGCAGAATTTAATAATCTTTAAAATAATTTTAACTTTGATAAAATCGGACTAACCATAACGCCAATATGGCGTCCTAAAGCAAACTCCAACAGTTTAAGAAAATGCATTCTGTGTTAACATCTTCAAATGAAGATATCTGAAAAAGTGCAGATTGCACAAAAATTTTATAAATACAAAAATTGTGCAGAATTTAATAATATTTAAAATAATTTCGGACAAACCATAACGCCAATATGGAGTCCTAAAGTAAACCCCAATCGTTTTAGAAAATGCATTCTGTGTTAAAATCTTCAAATGAAGATATCTGAAAAAGTACAGATTGCACAAAATGTTTATGAATACAAAAATTGTGTAGAGTTTAATAATCTTTAAAATATTTTCAACTTTGATAAAATTGGAGCAACCATAACGCCAATATGGCGCCCTAAAGCAAACTTCAACAGTTTAAGAAAATGCATTCTGTGTTAACATCTTCAAATGAAGATATCTGAAAAAGTACAGATTGCACAAAATTTTTATGAATACAAAAATTGTGCAGAATTTAATAATCTTTAAAATATTTTTAACTTTGATAAAATTGGACCAATCATAACGCCAATATGGCGTCCTAAAGCAAACTCCAACAGTTTAAGAAAATGCAATCTGTGTTAACATCTTCAAATCAAGATATCTGAAAAAGTATATATCGCACAAAAATTTTATAAATACAAAAATTATGCAGAATTTAATAAATTTTGAATAAATTTTAACTTTGATAAAATCGGACAAACCATAACGCCAATATGGCGTCCTAAAGCAAACTCCAACAGTTTAAGAAAATGCAATCTGTGTTAACATCTTCAAATCAAGATATCTGAAAAAGTATATATCGCACAAAAATTTTATAAATACAAAAATTGTGCAGAATTTAATAATCTTTAAAATATTTTCAACTTTGATAAAATTGGACCAACCATAACGCCAATATGGCGTCCTAAAGCAAACTCCAACAGTTTAAGAAAATGCATTCTGTGTTAACATCTTCAAATGAAGATATCTGAAAAAGTACAGATTGCACAAAAATTTTATGAATACAAAAATTGTGCAGAATTTAATAATCTTTAAAATAATTTCAACTTTGATAAAATCGGACAAACCATAACGCCAATATGGCGACCTAAAGCAAACTCCAACAGTTTAAGAAAATGCATTCTGTGTTAACATTTTTAAATCAAGATATCTGAAAAAGTATATATCGCACAAAATTTTTATAAATACAAAAATTATGCAGAATTTAATAAACTTTAAATAAATCTAAAATTTGATAAAATCTGACCAACCATAACGCCAATATGGCGTCTTAAAGCAAACTCTAACCGTTAAATAAAAAGCATCTTTAAATCAAGATATCTTAAATATTATTAATCGTACAAAAATTTTGTAATAACAAAAAATATGCAAAATTGTATAATCTTTAACATGATCGCAACCAAAATAAAATCATTCCACGCATAACGCCAAAATGGAGGTCGAGAAAAATTTGTCAACAGTTTAACGCAATTCCGGCCAACTAAAGCTTACACACACGAACAAACAAACGACTACATAACATCGACAAACATTTCGCATGGGTTGCCCATGGCAATTTTAAAAGATTGTCTACTACCGGCAAGATCTTTGCTCTGCGCTCCGACTTGAGTCCCGCTGCTCTTATCCGAACCGTTCGAAGACCCATTTCCGTTTCCGCTGTTTATCGGAGGGCACATCGACCTCGGACCTAGTGAGGTTAGGTCACTATCGGAGGCGCTGCTGTGCCCGGCGGCGGCATCCTTCAAGTGCTCCGAGCCGTTGGAGGAACCGCCTGGAAGAAATAGGGTTGTAACTTTTTTGCGGTTGGTGGTACGTCAAAAGTTGGTTTTAGAATGTTGTAGAGTATTAAATTCTCTACAATTTTGATAGAATCACTTTTTTTGTAGGGGTTGTGGTTTTCTAGATATAGTCTTTTAAAGGTCATAGTAAGATTGTAGATTTTCGCAAAAAATTGTGAATTTTAAACTTTAAGCCTTCATATTTCCCATAACTTAAAATTTATAAAAAATTTCTGTGAATTATTTTAAAAAGTGTTTATTTGTCATCATTTTAATATAAAAAACACAAAAATATCTCTAAAATTACCCAAAATATCATTAAAAAACAATTCACTCTACAGCATGTGAAAACGACTCATTACAAATTGTCAACTTTAATAGGTTATATCTTAAAAACTATTAATGGTAGAGATATTTTTAATATGTTAATTTGTAGATAATTTTATATTCTACAATATTGCAAGAGATATTTTTTTGTATATCTCATACTAACTTTTTCACGGTGCTGTTCTGAGAGGTGATTTTTGGACTTTCTGTGAAACCTAATTTTTTTATATTCTTGTTAATCAGGTCATAACTAAAATTTTAAGAGCAAAATAAAAAAAAAATTGACGGTTAATTTTGTTTTAATTGGATATTTATTAAAAATATGTATGCACACTTTCAATTCTCCAATTAAAACTTGCGATTTTATTTAAATATCATCATAACTTTTTAAATCAGATTAAAGATTAGTTAATTTCCTAAAAAAAGGTCTATACATTTTTTATATCTTTTACTGTTTTGTTGTAATACACGTTTAAAGTTTTAATTTAAGGTTAAATGTATAGTATACATTTATTAAACAATAATTCTAATGGTGCCACATTTTATTTAGGGCCGATTTATTCATTTTTGATTTATTTGGCGAATAATTTCTTTGGATACTAGATATTGCCAAGACATGAAAGTTATCGGCTCGATAAACTTTACTAAAGACCGATCCTTAGTTAAATTTCATGAATTTCTTCGTAACTTTTACTACAATTTTTCATTTTTGTTTATAAAAAACACTTTAAAAAACTAAACAAAAATTATAGAATACGTATACTGAAAATGACAATTCAAACATCAAATAAATTTTTAATAGATCTAAGTTTCATGGCAACCTTTAAGGATATATTAATTAAGGGAACATAAATGTATACGTCAAAGGTTAGATTAAAAGTTTGAACGTTTATTGCAACAAAACAGTAAAATATATAAAAAAAATTGTAAAAACCTTTTTTTTAGTTATGCAAATATTAAATATTTAAATTAAATCACTAGTTTTAATTGGATAATTGAAAGAGTTCATAATATTTTTAATAAACAGCCAATTAAAACAATTCAAACCGTCAATTTTTTTTTTATTTTGCTCTAAAAATTTTAGTTATGACCTAATTAACAAGAATATAAAAAAAAATTAGGTTTTACAGAAAGTCCAAAAATCACCTCTCAGAACAGCACCGTGTTTTGCGGTTGGTGGTACGTCAAATGTTGGTTTTAGAATGTTGTAGAGTATTAAATTCTCTACAATTTTGATGAAATCACATTTTTTGTAGGGGTTGTGGTTTTCTAGATATAGTCTTTTAAAGGTCATAGTAAGATTGTAGATTTTCGCAAAAAATTGTGCATTTTAAACTTTAAGCCTTCATATTTCCCATAACTTAAAATTTATAAAAAACTTCTGTGAATTATTTTAAAAAGGGTTTATTTCTCATCATTTTAAAATATAAAACACAAACATATCTTCAAAATTACCCGAGATATCATTAAAAAACAATTCACTCTACGACATGTAAAAACGACTCATTACAAATTGTCAACTTTAATAGGTTAAATCTTAAAAATTATTAATGGTAGAGATATTTTTAATATGTTAATTTGTACATAATTTTATATCCTACAATATCGCAAGAGATAATTTTTTTGTAGATCTCATACTAACAACTTAATTTAAAAAACATTTAAGATGGTAGATTTTAGCAAACAAATTTTGTATGTTAAATTTTAAGTCTTCATATTTCTCATAATTTAAAATTGATAAAAAAATTCTGTGAATTATCTTAAAAAGTGTTTATTTTTAATCAATTTAAAATATAAATCAAAAAAATATCTTTAAAATTACCCGAGACATCTTTAAAAAACAATTCACTCCACATGTGAAAATGATTTGTTACAAATTGTCAACTTTAATAGGTTATATCTCAAAAATTATTACTGGTAGAGATATTTTTAATATGCCAATTTGTAGATAATTATATATTCTACAATATCGCAAGAGATAATTTTTTTGTAGATCGCTAACAACTTAATTTAAAAAACATTTAATATGTTAGATTTTAAATCAAATTTCCCATAATTTAAAATTTATAAAAAAAAATCTGTGAATTATCTTAAAAAGTGTTTATTTTTAATCAATTTAAAATTTAAAATACAAAAATATCTTCAAAATTAACCGAGATATCATTAAAAAACAATTTACTCTACAACATGTGAATTTTATACTCTACAATATCGCAAAAGATAATTTTTTTGTAGATCTCATACTAACAACTTAATTTAAAAAAGATTTAAAATGGTAGATTTTTGCAAAAACTTTAAGCCTTATATTGCCCATAATTTAATTTAAAAAAATCTGTTAATTATCTTAAAAAATGTTTATTTGTCATAAATTTAAAGTATTAAACAGAAAAATATCTTTAAAATTACCTGAGATATCTTTAAAAAATAATTCACTCTACAAACATGTGAAAATGACTCATTACAAATTGTCAACTTTAATAGGTTATATCTCCAAAATTATTAATGGTAGAGGTATTTTTAATATGCCAATTTGTAGATAATTTTATAGTCTACAATATCGCAAGAGATAATTTTTTTGTAGATCTCATACCAACAACTTAATTTAAAAAAACATTTAAGATGGTGTATTTACGCAAAAAAAAAATTGTATGTTAAACTTTAAAGTCTTCATATTTCCCATAATTTAAAATTTATAAAAAAATTGTTTATTAGACATCAATTTAAAATATAAAAAACAAAAATATCTTTAAAATTACCCGAGATATCTTTAAAAAACAATTCACTCTACAACATGTGAAAATGACTCGTTACAAATTGTCAACTTTAATAGGTTATATCTACAAAATTATTAATGGTAGAAATATTTTTAATATGTCAATTTGTAGATAATTTTATATTCCACAATATCGCAAGAAATAATTTTTTTGTAGATCCAATATTAACAATGTTATTTAAACAAGTGGCATACATTCAATTATATTTGTAAAAAAACAGTAAAAAAAATGGTATGCCACAAAAAGGGTAAAAAAAACAAAATAAAAAAATAAAATAATACTAAAAACTATTTATTTACAAATAAAATTAATTAATAATTAACAGAATTAAATAAAAAGTCCATGCAGGATTGTACAAAATAAAAATAAATATGAGTATTAAACTACTAAAAAATTGATAGGAAAATAATGTTAAAAATGGCACTAAAAATGGAAGACAAAATAAAAATTTTGAAAAAATGGTCCACAACATCGTTCATGAGGAGGATATTAACAGTATATCTGAAACAAATAGTTTTTGTATTGTTCTTCTGTTAATAAGTATGTTTCTACATATTCAACTACGTTTAAAATTATATTAAATTTAAACACGGGTTTTGTACTTTTATTTTGTGGCATACCAATTTTTTTTCAAGAAAATAATCAAAAAAAAATCTGAAAAATAAAAACACAACATAAAACTCACCACTTCCGCTCAAAACCGATTCCTCCTTATTATAACCGTATACAGTATTTTCACTGTAGAATGGCATCGGCATATACTCCAAAGGGTTATATGTCCCACTGTACGGCATGTAATTCGGGACGTTCGGCAACGGTCCCACCGAATCTGTATCGCTCTGTATCTTCATATTACTCATAGCCGAACACAGATCTCCAAATATGTAATAACACTGAAAGAGAAAAACGACCATAACTTTCTTGCCGAACCATATAAATTATTTTTGTGAAAAGTTTGTTAAAGTGGAATATTTCAGCTTCAATTCGACACAAAACCGACTAAAATCGGTTAAAAAACAAGCGAGATATGGCTCTTCAAAGTTAAGTGGGACATATCTCAGCACGATCCACTTTGATGGGTCGTATCTTTTAAACTTTACTTAATATCAAAAAAATGTTAAATACAAAGTTATAGAGAATTGAATCCTCTACAACTTTATATTAAACCATAATTTTCTACAACCAAAAATACCAGAGATATGGACTGTCAAAGTTAACTGGGACATCTTAAAAAACAAAATGGTGTTTCACTAACCTGTTCAGAAAAAGTAATCTTGTTGACGGTGTGTCGTATAAATCCAGCCTTAAGTAGGTGGGACGCGTATTTTCTGGCGTCCCGACGGTCCTGGAAACCCTCAACGTGGGACAGTAACCAATCTATCATGTCCGTCCCGATGAAAGCGTTCGGGATCGTTATTTTTAACCACATTCTGTCCCGTATTTCTAAACCGCTGTCGACTCTTTGCATTAGCTGCACTATCTGGGACATGGGGGAGTTTACGTTTAGGGGTTCATCGAGGTCTAAAAAATGTTATATTTACAATATTTTTTATTTATAACCACAAAAAAATGATGATAGTGGTATTTAAACATACAAAATCCGCAAATTATAATAAAAAGCGTGTTTTATAACGATGAAAATGTAGTGCATATACATACCAGGACCAAGTAGCAACTCACGTTCATTGGCTGGGATAGTACTAGCTATAGAAGTACTACTGACAGTTGAACTACTAGGAGGGCGTGCTACGGGATCCCCCCTTACTGCGGCTGTATGTGCCACCCAGGCCCCTTAAAAGAAATAAGAAAATAGTTTTTTGTCCATTTTTGATTTTTTTTTAAATTGACAAAAAATTATTCCTAGATATCTTTAGATAAACTTACCGGGATCTATGGGTCTAACAGGTTCAGTTCTGGGTATTGTGAAGTAACCCTTTGGGTTCGGATCCCAGCATTTTGCGACCACGAGTTTGATGGGGCTGAAAATGACGTGCTATTAGCACATACAGGTGGTATTTTGGTAATAGTTACCCTGGTTTTTGTACCACTTCGCGAAGTACTTTGACGGCTTCGTCGTTGGACATGTTTTCAAAGTTTACGTCGTTTACTTGTAGAATCATGTCGCCGGGTTCTATTCGGCCGTCGAGGGCCACCGCGCCACTGCAAAGTAATTTTTTGGTAATATTGTGGTAATAGTTATGAAGTTTTGTTATATTTTGGTTTTTTTTCAATTACAAGTTAATTTAGGTTTATTTGATTGCTATAAGTTTATTTCTAGGTAATGTTGCGGTTATGGTTACTTTGAAGTAATTTTTAGGTAATATTTTGGTTGTTTTTAAGAAAGATTAGGTTTTTCTCAATTACAAGATAAAATTAGGGTTTTTCGTTGCATTAAGGTTATTTTTAGGTTATATTGTGGCAATAGTTACTATAAAGTTATTTTTAGGTAGTATTTCGTTGCTACGCTATTTTTAGGTAATATTGAAGTAATAGTAAGTAATTTTCAGGGTAATATTTTGGTTATTTTAAAAAAATATAGTTTTTCTCAATTACAAGATTAAATTACAGGGGTTTGTGGCTTTAAATTATTTTTAAGAAAGTTAGATTTTTTCAATGGTTTATTTTGTTGCTGTGATTTATTTTTAGGTAAAAATCGTGGTAATGATTACTATAAATTAATTTTTAGGTGGTATTTGGTTGCTAAAAATAATTTTTAGGTAAAAATGTAATTATAGTTACTGTAAAGTAATTTTTGGGTAACTTACTGTTAATACTTTGGTTATGGGTTCCATTGCAAGATAAAATTCCTTTTACAAGATAAATTTAGGTTTATTTGGTTGCCATAAGTCCATATTTAGGTAAAATTGTGTTATAGTTACTATAAAGACATTTTTGGGTAGTATTTGGTTGCTAGGTCATTTTTGGTAATATTTTGGTTATTTATTGGAAATTTAGTTTTTCTCAATTGCAAGATAAAATTAGGGTTTTTGGTTGCTTTAAGGTTATTTTAGGTAACTTATGGTAATATTTATGTTATTTACTTTAGAAAGTTAGATTTTTTGATTGCAAGATAAATTTAGGTTTGCTTGGTTGCTATAATATAATTTATGTAATCTTTTGGTTATTTTTCAGAAAATTAGTTTTTTTTCCTTTAAAAGTAATAGTTACTATAAAGTAATTTTTAGGTTATATTATGGATATTTTTTAGAAAGTTATAGTTTTTTTCTTTACAAGATTGGTCTAGGTTGCTATAAGTTCATATTTAGATAATATTGTAGTCATAGTTACTAAAAAGTATTTTTTAGGCAATGTCAATGTTAGATAATTTGTAAAAATATTTATTATGAAATAATTTTTCGGTTATATTATGGTTATTTGGTTGCCAAAAGTTCATTTTACGGTAAAATTTTGGTTAATTTTTCTTTTGTAAGCCAAATTTAGGTTTATTTGGTTGCTAAAATGTCATTTTTAGGTAACATTATGTTGATATTGTGAAAATAGAAAAATAAGGTAATTTTAATGTAATCTAGGTTATTTTTTAGAGAATTGAATGTTTCCCATTACAAGATAGATTTAGGTTGATTTGATTGCCATAAGTTCATGTTTAGGTAATTTTGTGGTAGGTTATTTATTTTAGGTAATATTATGGTAATAGTTACTTTGAAGTATTTTTTTTTGATATTTTGTTTATATTTTGAAGAGTTAAAGTTTTTTCTCAATAACAAGATAAATTTCGTGTTATTTGGTTGCTATAAGGTCATTTTTCAGGTATTTTTATGGTAATATTTCTATAAAGTAATTTTTATGTAATTAGGTGATAATTCTTACCCTTTCATTATGGAGCCAACATATATACCCCCATCACCACCCTTATTGCTTTGTCCAACAATGGAAATGCCTAAAAAGTTCACCGTATCCATATTTAATGTAACTGTGATAATATTTAGTGACATTGTTGAGTCTGTAATGCTGGAATATGAGCTTGTTCGGGACATTGCCTGTATTCTTTGTTTTCTCCTTCTTTGAGGTCTTTTCCGACCAGCCACATGTAGTCTACTAACACTTGAGCATTCTGAAAGTGCAGTGTGTCTTCCAGTGGTCTCGGATTGGAAACTAGTTGTTTCCAAATCCGAACTAACTATAGAAGCAGTCTCGTAAACTCTAAAATAACAAAAAGCACCTTTTTAAATGTTCCTTTGTCTGTTTTATGGCAATTTTACCTCGGAAGGTGTCCATTAATCCTGCTGGAATATTTGTGATGTCTTCTGCCCTGTCTTGAACTTATTATGCTCTCAGTATCGGTACAAACAGACTCGGGGGCCTGTGGCGGCAATCTCGGCTCTGATTGGTGCGTTACGCTGTCTGTGCACTGCGAGCCGCCATCTGATTGGTTAGAACCGTCAGAGGACACCAACTGCAGGAAAAAGTATTAGCACACTCGCCATTTTGTTCGTTTTTTCGTTGTAATTTATTTGTTTAAAAAGGGGTTAATTTGGGGTAATCTAGGATTTCAAAGGAATATTTTGGTGAAGAAAACGTTAAAATCGGTAAAGTGGTTAAAAAGTTAAGGAGAGTTTAGGAAATGGTTTTCACCATTGTAAGGATTTTTTTTAAACCTTGAAACTTTTTTCTTTTTTTAATATAATTGAACAATAGAGATCAAAAAGCGGTAAAAACTGTAATAATCTAATATCTACCTCTATATTTTTCAAAATATTTTCATAAATTTTAATGATATTCACAAAAAAATTAAAAGACACATTAAATACATATAAATCAACAAATGACACTTAAAATCCCCCTGCATCTTGAATGAGAGTCATTTATAATTTACACAGAGTCATAAAAGTCAACATTTATGACTATTCTTAGAAATGGGATAATAAAATGTTCTATTATGTAAAATGTATTTCTTTTTAAACTTACCCATCCAACAACTCTCCCATTGAAGCAAGGCAAATGTGCTGAATCTTCAATTATTTCCTCTTTGACCACACTGTGTATTCAAAATAATAAAATGTGTTAAATTTAAATACCCTATGCATGTTATTAAAAAAACATGTAAACAAATTTAATGTAAACAATGCTGTATTGTAAAACGACTTTAAATTACTTAAATTATGGTAAATTACCCAATGGTTATTATGATAAATATTACTAATTAGCAATTGTTTTAATGACTATTTTTTAATTATTACCATGAAGTCAAGATTTTTAACAATGATATTTATATGTTTAAAATCAAAGATATCCACTATTTTATTTGGTTTAAATTGCCAAGAACACTTAAAATATCGTAAATACAGTCAATATTACTTTATAGTTATTATTAGTAAGTAAATATTACCCAAAATCATCGTCCATAGATTTAAAGAAAAACTTGTAGTTGGGCCTATTGAGAACATTTTTAAAGTCCAAAAGGGTAACTTTATCTGGCGAAATCGGTATTTTCACTAAATACGGTGTATCCTCGTCGTCTATATGATATATAACTTTTGTTTCTTCCATTTTTTAACACAATTTTCTTAAATTTACTTCATAACAAAACACTGCACTACAACATGGCTACCATTAGTTTCACCCCCCACTCTTTTACCATGCCCCAAGGTGGAGAAACTACTTTTACTTTATTAGATTTACGAAAAAACGCCCAAATGCATTTTTACAACATTTAAATTATGTTGAATATCGTTATCATTGTGTTTATAGTTATTTTAAAGGCCTATTTTGCTTTAAATCGCTGATTTTAAAGAACTTTCACATAAAGAGACATCTATGATTTAAGTTGTTAAACAAAAATTACAGAAATCTGTATTTAAATTACTAAATACGAGTTCATTATGCAAAATACTAAAATATAATAGTAAAAATATGTATAATACTATACATTTTATCAATAAATAATAATTTTTTAATTTTTGTCTTTACAATTCAAGCAAAAAGTGGAATATTTAGAGCGCCATCTACAGCGGACGAACCCAAGTGGGGTGGTTGAGTTTTCCGCCGCAAATGTCAAACTAACTGTCAAAAAGTAGGTCAAAAAATTCTTTGATTATTAATACGTGTTGGCCGTATGGAGTGATTTTTCGCAACGATTTTCGAAAAAATCGTGCTATAACCGTAACCGAAGGTGCCTAAACGGACAAATGGTGTTGAAAATGCAATCATTTTAAGGTTAAGATAAAAAAATCGATTTTAATCGAGAATGGTTTAAATTTTCCAAAATATGGCAGATAAATTGGGAATAGGCAACGAAGTGAGGGAATTACGGATAGGGCAGAGTTTTACGAACCCTAAATCCACCGCATTTCACTCCATTAGATGTAAGTATAGAATTTACAGGGTAAAAATTTGAGTTTTTAAAATTGTTTTTGTAATTTTTTTAGACGATTTTAAGCCTGCTTCTGTCGATACTAGCAAAAAGGCGAACGTAGATGTAGGAAATAATCGCCAGGTCACTATTACAGTGCCTCATTTAGGTATAAAAACAGTTAATTTTCTTAGGTTAAGGGGGTAAAATGTTTGAGATTTTTTTCTGAGGTTTATATAAATGATGGAAGGATCTGGTAAAAAACGTATTAAGTTGTATACTTTTAAGCATACAAAGACAAATTTTTAAACAAAAATATTGGAAATTATCAAAGATATAGTGGTTTATATGACCTCATGGAAAAACATTGATAATTACTATTTTTCCCAGAATTGTTACAAGGAAATGTTATTTATTGCAACATTTACTGTGTTTTTATGCTTGCAAATCATAAATAATAAACATTTTAGATGGTGCTGGGACTGCCCAAACAGTTTTCAGAGGCCCCCAACGGCCATATCAAAAAGAATGTGTTTTAATTATTGATAAAGTAACAGGGCAAATAACTATAGAAAAATTGTCTAGTAATATACAGGTTAAAAAAACTAGAAATGAAACTAAAGTGCCTGGTAATAATAATAAAAATTAAACACAAACATTTTTTTTAAATTTATTAATTTTTAGAACGTATTCAACCATCTGAAAGCAAATCTTCCTCCTCGGCCTCGAGTATGGGTGGTAGATCACAAACCCCCACATTAGGTCAAAGAATATCACATAAAACGAAAGTTACAAGTGGTAATCGTAGAGCAGATAGGCAGATTACACAGTTGATTCCTAAACATTCGCCTTTGAGAGCGAGCCCCAATTATAACTCGCCTGGACATCATGTCAGAAGTCCCAAAAATGACCCATCTCACTTGGTCACGGAGTAAGTAGTATTTCAATTTTTTTTTGTTTTAAGGTTTTATGTTTTTTCTCAAAAAATTAAAATCAGTTAAAAAATAAAAAAGCTATGGGGAAATAACCATTTTTTCAAATAAGTCATTTTTAGCGGTTGTGTGCCATTTTTTATCAAATGTTAATATTTTATTTCGTGCGTTTTTTTACAAGAATTTTAGTGGATTTCTCAAAAATAAAATTGGATAAAACATAATCAAGCTAGAGCCATTCTAACAAAAGCTAGGTTATGTTTCTTTCACTTTCACTTTTTACATAAAACCACAATCCACACAACAAGGTCTGTTCTATCTCATGCTAAAAATACTAAAAATCACTGCAACACTGCACAGAGTTTAACGGCGGCCATTTTTGTTGTTAACAATTCTTGTGCTTTGGGTTTGTGCTGTTTAATAATTGTTTTAAACGTTGGGTTTCTTACAGAGGCACTTGTAAGCCTCAAATAAGGCCTTTAAGTGCTAAGGACAACCATTTTATTCCTCTTTTATAATAAATATACCTTATTCTATCAGGGCTGTCAAATGACAATTTGCAGGTTAATTTGTGGGTTATAATTTACGCTGTGACTAGAGGCACGTTAACGTGCCGCGATTTGAAATGTTAAAGGCACGTTAGTTACGTCATAAACTCAAACCATCCCAAACTCAACAACACAACCCAACCGACCCCGCCCCATTGGCCCCCCCCGCCCATTGAACAAAAAACCCAACTAAAATGGGCAAATTTATGTTACGATAAAAATAAAACACTTTTTAACAAAGGAACAACATATTTATGAAATAAAAAAAGTTCGACAACTTCTAGTAGATTTTATGTTACGATAAAACTAAAACAAACCAACCAACCCAACCCTACCGAACACTGTTTAACAAAGAAACAACAAATTTATGAAATAAAAAAATAAAAAAAATTCGACAGCTTCTTGGTATCGAACCCCGGACCTCTCGCATGCCAAGCGAACGCCCTACCATATAAGCTATCTAGCTCGATGTCAAATATTAAATGGTCGGGGAACAAAAACGGATTATAATTATGACGTAACTAACGTGCCTTTAATATTTTCAATCGCGGTACGTTAGCGTGCCTCTAGTCACTGTGTATAATTTAACCTTGAAATTGACATTTGACAGTTTTATGACAGCCCTGATAGAATAAAGTTTAGTTTTTATTATAGAGGAGTAAAATGGTTGTTCTTAGCACTTTAAGGACTCTTTTAAGGCTTACTATGAGAAACACAACGTTTAAAACGATTATTAATCTGTATAAACAGAGCACAAACCCAAAGCCCAAAAATTGTAAACAACAGTGATTTTTTGTATTTTTAGTACGAGATAGAATAGACCTTGTTGTGTAGATTTTGGACATACCAAATTTATAGCATTTTCCGATGAAATGCGAAATCTATTTTTAAAATTTAAATAATACTAAAAACGTTTTTCGTTTTAGATCTAACCCAAGCACGCTTGCCAGTTTGCCTTTTATAAATTTGGACGATTTTTCGGACCGCCCTGCGCCGTCTGGCAACGTCGCCACCAACCATAATGTACAAAATATGCATAAAAGTCCCAACTTTCACATATCTCCGGAACACGAAACAAACAATGGGGTGGAAGAAATGTCAGGTGAGTTCATCAAAGAAAGTCGATCTTTTCAGTACACTAAACGAAAATAGTATATTATGTATCAAGTTTTATAAATGCAAATTTAGTTTTATTAAGCACAAGCAAAGCTTGCAAGCGAGTGTTTAATAAAAACGAATGTCTAGAGAAGTTTATAAAATAAGTTACATACTATACGCTAAAGAAGTATCGCTAGTAGCGCCACCACTCGGCTGTTATTGTAACAAAAGTACAACTTTTGATAATCAGCTGTCAAACGCTTATGTTACAAATGTTAAAAAATATCGAAAAAAAAACCGTGGCACGATTTGTTGTGTTGTTGGGTGTATTTCAAGAGGAAATCCTGGGTTGAGTTTTTACCGGTTTTCCAATAAACAGTGTTAATCTGAATGAATAAATAAATTACAGTCTCTGTAAATATAAATTGTACCTATTAGATACAATAAATACACATTTTGTAACGCGGAAAAATTAATAGTAATTTAATTCAAAAATATTTAAAAAGTAAACTAAAAGAAAAAAAAGAATGTTAAAAGTCAATTAACGATTTTAATAATTGTTTTTATTAACTCATTTAATGTTTAATGTAATTACCAAATAACTAACTAAATATACATTCAGATTACTAAAGAAAAAAAACTCAGTGATAAGCTCACCTGTTTAGCTTGTAGTCATTTTAAACCCACAAATATAAAGAGTCTTGCACTATAAAAAGTATTTGTATCAACTGAACTAAACAACAACTTCAACACACTGCCCATACATGAATGATTCAAATGATTTTACGTTACTTAAAACTTTTATATTTTAAAATCTATGTGTTGTTAATAATCATAAATCAAAGCCCTTTATCGTACTTATTTCAGAGATAACTTTTAGAGATATCTCTTATTTCAAGAGCGGCTAAAATTACATCAAGCAGTAAATATAAACAGTCGAGCGTGTGTTTATGTATTCCTCACGTTTATTTTTCGATAAAAAAGGTTTAATCGAATAATGACTTACAATTTTAGTAGTGATTAACGTGACAATTGTAAACATTTCAATTCAGTAAAAATGGTCAAACAAATAAGTCGTCTAAATTTAAACAGCATTTAGCATTATTAAAAGCGTTGATTGAGAATTCTCCACTCAACGGTAAAATACCATTATATTATGTGCCATGAGTTCGTTGGTATATTTTGTTGTTTAAAATGTAATTGTCGGCGTTTTTTAGAGAACTCAATTATAAAAATGGTTGATTTTAAGGTTATGTTTGTGCAAAAATTATGTTTTACTAATTTCTTAAAAATGTCCATACTTAAATTTAAATTTTATTAGGTTAAGTTATCATTAGTTAATTCTGTACCATGTACTTGCCGAATTGGATCCTTTGGCAAAACATGAAAATGCAACGATTTAGTTCTTCAATTTTATTTACAATTAAAAACACAATAATGGGGTAGTTAAATTTTTTCTGACCTATACTTTTTATGGTTTTATTCAAGGCGTTTTGTAATTTTAAACATTTCTGTGAAATCGGAATTTCAATTGAGTTTACCGTTTTCGAGATATTTACAAAAAAAATCTCCTAATTACGTCACTAGGCTATTGACAACGTTGCCAGCTTTTTCTATGGTTGCCAGTGTGTTTAGTTTAAGATTCTTACGATAGATGGCGCCACGTTATAATATTTTAGTTTTAAAACCACTTGATCTATAATTTTAGTTGAGAAGTTGATCTATAATTTTAGTTGATTTTTTGACGTTTCTTTTTTTCGGGTTATGTTTTTTTTTTTAAATTTAGATTATTGAAAATCAATGTTATTGTTATGTTATTTATAATGGATATTAGATAAGTGATTTATTAATAACGGACTCCAAAGCAGAGGAATCTTGTGGAATGGTTGGTTACATTGAACATTGGAGCTTTTAAACAAATAAAGAAAGTACCTATAATTATAACCATATTTTGTCGTAAATGCATTTCATTAGTATAATGCCTAGTTCTTTATATTCTTTTAGATATATCTTAAAATGTACTCTAGAGCGTAGTATCTTTGAACAGTCCAAAAGTTTGTCATACATTTTTTTAATCTTACAAAAGGTTTTGATGCTCATCATCAGGGATGCAAGTTTTATAAAAAACTATACACAAATATGATAAATACCATTGTTAACTTACATTTACTGTTATTTTTTGTAAATTTATTTCATTCATTTTTAGCTTTATTTTGCCACTTTTTTCTATGAAATATATTAAACTCTGCTTTAGACAGTTATTAGGTACCTATTTATTACATTTTATTAGGTTTCACACGGTGTTTCAATGTGTAAACCTATCGATAAAACTTTTAATTTCAGAATTTTCTTTAACCTCCTATTCTTCTTCTTTCACTCAACTGACAGTGACAGTATTTGTACATAACCTCTTCGGGTATTTTCCGACATAACCGAATGAAATCATTAACAAGACAACTTGACAACAGGGTAATTTTCAACCAATAGAAATCTTGGAATGTTGGTCACATGGCGAGGTTTGTGACGTCATAAAAATTTATATTTTTTGTAAATATCTCGAAAACGGTAAACTCAATTGAAATTCTGATTTCACAGAAATGTTTAATATTACAAAACGCCTTGAATAAAACCATAAAAAGTATAGGTCAGAAAAAATTTAACTACCCCATTCACCATGATCCCTTTGATAAAATACTCACACTAACGTAACTATATAAGCATTTAAGCGTTGAGTTTCTTATTCAATGATATAAAGAATAATCAATCGAATTTAGCTGTTCAATTGAACAAAATTTGTCGAGTAAGACTTCTGCCTTCCCCTTTTTTGTGAAAAAACTACCTATTTATTTAAAAATTATGTATATTCTGTGCTTTAAATGTATTGTTGACAATTCTTAAATTCACCAATCCACCAGATGGCGCGCGCGTTGCGAAAACCCGATACTTCTTTAACGTATTTAAAGCGCCACGAAATCACAGCTCGTCAATTTAGGAGTAGATAATAGTATACTTTTTCTACGACAAATACTTAATATTATCTAAAAAACGATTTAAACTAAATATTTGTATAAAGCGACATCTATACGAAAATAAAGTAACCATCCCAATAAACATTTTTTACGTTATTTTCACCATTAACATTGCTCCTTATTATTTTAATTAAACTTTAGAATTATTGAAAAATATTAAAATAACTTCAAAATATGATTTTGTTAAGAAAATATTTTATCCTTTGATTTTTTTATTACTATAATTGCAAATTATTATCACAAAGTAGTTGGGAATTTTTCTGTGTAAATCAAAATTTATTCCTTTGAAAATATACTAACAATCGATATCGACCTTTGACCTTCGATATTTGGCAACGCCGTCACTATTTTTAAAACCTGACAAACATAAACGTATTAATTAAAATAAAAAGGAATTAATTTGCATAAAAACATCATTTCTATGATTCGGATACATTGGAACTTTTCCACTTTGTTGCCAGGCCCAGCGGCTTCAAAAGTAGTTTGGCAACGTCGCAATATTTTGCCAAACTGTGCGATGTTGTCAAATCGACCCCATTTCGTTGCAGATTCCTCGTCGTCGAGTTCGGATTCGGATTCCGATTCGGACAACGAATCCCCACCGCAAAACAAAATTATTCCGAACGTTGTGAAAACGAACGGGCACACGAACGGAGTTCCGACCGCCACCCATCTGCTGAAAGAGGACCTGTGTCTCTCTGAATCTGGCTCCGATTCAGATTAAATTATTTATTTTGGTGAGTTTTACCATCCATTAGCTTGGCAACGTCGCATTTTGTATTTTGACGTCTGACAGTTAAAAGTGAGGTTATAAAAATGCAACGTTGCCATGTTACGTTAAGTGCGTTAGGATGTGATTTTATTTTTATTTTATTTCAGATTATCTAACTGCCCTTTAAATTAAATAAAATAATAAAAAATGTATATTTAAAGAATAAAAACGGATAAAATAATGAATGATCAATATTTAAATATAAGGAATATTATATATAATGTACAATATTTACTACAAATACAGCTTAATTGCATCGAATAAGTGTTTTTTTTAAATTAAAGAAACGGCATTTTAAAAAAGTGGCAACGTTGGTTTGCAAAGTAACACTTTTCCGCACGCATTTGCATTTAAAATGTACTATGCTCCACACCTCAAAGTCCCACCACGTGACCACGTACGGAACGCAGTCTTTTGAAAATTTGGCATTTAAGGCTTTTTATAAATCTTTATAACATTACAATAACAATGGATGGTTTAAGAATTTAAGAATATAAATATTGCATTTAATGAAATTCTAAAGTGTATGGTGCCAAATAAGTAATATTTTTGTGAATTTGGTCCAAATATCTGGTTTTCTCCATAAAATAATTTTAACTAAACAGCATTTATTAAAAAAAATCTAGCTTCTCTATTATGGAATAAGAATATCTGTTTTAAAGGTGGGTTAATATATTATAACAAAAATATCATCTAATTTTGTAATTTTAAGGTTAGAAAAATTTATTTTGACCAAAATAAATAAGTATTTTGGATTATTTAAAAGACTGTATAATATGGTATTTAAAAATGTGGTGGTTTTTCTTATCCAGCTTAAAGTGTACCTACATGAAGTTTTTTCAATACAAATAGTTAAAAAGCTTTGACTGAACTTGATCTACATTGAAAAATCATTATAACTTTAAAAATTTTAATAAATCACATGTCATGGGAGTATTCAATATATTCACATTGCAAGTTTCTCTAAAAATTGTTTGTTTTCTTATAATCTAACTTAAAGTATAAAAGCTTCAATTTAATTTGAACCATATTCAACAATTATTTAGTATACCTAGACCATATTAACACACTCTTCTAAATAATCCACTTATTTATTTTGGTCAAAATATATTTTTCTAACCTTAAAATGCAAAATTAGATGATATTTTTTGTTCTAATACATTAACCTACCTTTGATACAGATATTCTTATTTCATAATAGAGAAGTTAGATTTTTTTTAATAAATGCTGTTTAGTTAAAACTATTTTATGGAGAAATGTAGACCCAATGCACAAAAATATCACTTATATTGCACCTTACACTTTGGAATTTCATTAAATGCAGTATTTATATTCCTAAATTCTTAAACTCACCATTGTTATTGTGATACTATAAAGATTTATTAACTTTTAACGCTTAAACATAAGGGGTAATACTATAAATATTATTTCTTTCATTGACTATACTTTGACAGATACATAACCTGAAAAGCCTTAAATGCCAAATTTTCGAAAGACTGCGTTCCATACGTGGTCACGTGGTGGGACTTTGAGGTGTGGAGCATAGTACATTTGGCAACATAGTAGGTACATTTAACGTTTTACAAATTTTACATTTGTCAATGACGTTTAAATAAAGATTTTGAATTTATGGCATTGATTTAAAAATTTCAAAAAATGTCAACCATAGAAAAAGTTTATATATCAACAATCCCATCCGATATCCAAGATATAGAATTTTCCTATGACAATCGTCATGAACTAAACTTGAGAATTCTTCAAAGAAGATCGAAAGATCGCCTTTACGATTTTTTGAGCCCAAACGGTAAATATCGCGATGAAAACTACGAAATCTACAAAAAACAGCTACAACAATTCAAAGACGCTGCCCGAAAATACAATAGATTGAACGAGGAAACTCTGGTAACAAACAAAAAGAGATTAAATCAAGATTACATCCTAGAATTGGAATGCGATTTTCTTAAAAACACCGCGGATTTAATAACGGGCTGTCCAACCGACTGCCATTGCAGAAAAATGAAGAACAACGCTGTTTACACCAAAATACGGACGTTACGTAAAGTGAACTACGTAAGTACACATAAATAAACACATCAAAAGTACCCAAAAACTACAAATTTAATTAAGTAACTGAAATGTCTAATCTGACAACTCAGCGCATTGTTTTAAGAACGCTGATAGGTCATGACCTATGAAGGCTATGAAGGCTATGAGGCTATGAAGTAACTGCAGTTACTTCATAGCCTCGTTATGTTTTTGGTGTTTGTTTTTTAGACCGCGTAAATGACAGTTAAAATAACGCTAAGAAAGAAAAAAGTGTTTTTAAAGTAAAATATACGTTTTGTGACAATTTTTTAAGTACAATAGTGTTTTTGGTTTCTTGTGAGCTGAGAACTGCTATACAATAAGGTAGGCATTATTTAAAATTTGCAAACTAACATATAAAATAGTTTTTGGGTATTTTTGTTTAGTTTTGGTAAACTCAAAACAAAACTTGTTAATTGTAGAAACCACCCGATTTTTCTGATATTTGTTGCGTAGAAAGGTGGATGAAACGAAAAATAATTTTGGAAAAATTTGTAAATTTGGTGAGAAAAGTTATAATTCAAAATAGGGCCTCTAAAAATTTGCAAATGTTGAAAACTTTGAACAAAGAAATCGTCCATGAGTTGGAATTAAAACACAGAAAATGTTGCAATGAAAGTTATGGGGAATTATTTGAAAAATTTGTAAAGTAAACAAATAAATTGAGGTTAGGTTTTTTGACATATTTATTTTTGTAGTAAAATATACCTAATTATGATTTTGTGGGATTTTTGCTCTGCATTTAAAAATAATAATACAAAAAACAATCGAAAATCAAATACCTATGGCCTTAAATGTAAAATTAAGGTTAGATTTCCCAAAATCCAATGTTTTTGGAATCTTTAAAGGAAAAATCAATTAAATGTCATTTAAAAATAAAAAATAATTTATTTGGTATCTAATCCACATTCTTTGGTTTACTCTTAAAATGATCCTCAATTACATGTAGTGGCTTATCCTTGGTCTCAGGTAAATATAAAATTAGGAAAATGGTTCCTAAGAAACAACAGACCGCGTAAGTTAAATAGGTACCATCGGAATCCAAATTGAGCAGCATGCTTGGCGTAACCTTGACGACGGCAAAAATCATTATGTAATTCACCATGGCAACGATACCGCTACCCAGCCCTCTGTTGGCCAATGGGAAAACCTCACCCATCATGGTCCATGGTAGGGGTACGAAACCTTAAAAAATATTGTTGTAAAATTGATACGACCATTTTTTATGTTATAAAACTTACCAATTGTTATAAAACCGGTATACAGCACCAAACAGGTCATAGGTACAAAAGTATAAGTTGCTATGTCGCTGTAATACTTTGTAGCAAAAATAAAACCGCTTAAAACTAATAAGGATAAGAACGTGCCAGATCCACTTATTATAGCCAGGGTTTTTCTTCCGATTTTCTTCAGCAAAATACAGGCAATTATTGACATAACAAGACGTATCGTGTCTATTATTAACATCGATAAATATTCATCCAAATTGTCGCCGAAAGTTTGTTTCATCATGTCCACACAGTAGAAACTTATAGCGTTGTTTCCTGACCATTGCATGGTTATAAAAAATACCATAATAATCAAAAGGGGTTTTAAAAATTCTGGTTTGTTTAAGGCTTGGAAATATTCTTTTATACTTTTTTTGGGTGCTTCGGTTAATTGGTCTTGTCTTTCTATTAATACCTTTAACTCTTGCGTGGCTGCTTCAGAATATCCTAAAAAATAGGTTTTATGTATCAGGAGAGCATGAAGGTATCACCCAACAGTCTATTTTCAACACGCCATCTAGTATGTAGAGTCCAAAGTACAAATTACAGTTACCTGTAACAAACTCGCACATTGGGATGAATTTAAAACATTAAAGGCACAATTTGCACAGTGGGAAAAATTAAAAATGATAGACCAAACATTTTTTAAATTAAAAGCCTAAGCGTATCTCCTCTAGTTTTTGTTAAAATCAAGTTTCAAAATGTAGATTCATACCTCTGCACCAGTAAAACGCCTTTCTAGCTTTTTCGGTTTTTCCAACTTTCGCCAAAAATGTTGGAGATTCGGGTGCAACTATCATTACAAAAACGCATATCACTGGAAAACTGCAGCACAGTAGGGCAGTGTTTTGCCAACTCATGTATGTCCCCAATAGATGGGACAAAAAAATTCCCAGAGATATGGAAAAAGATATGGATGCCAGAAGAAATCCTCTAAATTTAGGATCTGACGTTTCGCTCACATAAACCCCTGTAGGGGGGCCTAGCAGCCCCCCGCTAAAACCTAAAAAAATAAAACATCTTTTTCTCTTGCAATCATGTCCAAAGTAAATGAATCGTTAACTGCATTTTTTTGGCGGAAAAATCAATTTTTAAAAAGTTTTTATTCAAAACCTATGTTATGGTTATGGACACAATTTTTTTTTAAATTTTAATTTTGCTTGTTTTAAATATTACGCTATACCTTACAACCTTAAAAATATATAAGTAATATAATAAATAAAAAACTTATTTTTTTTGTTGAAGAGCAAGTACTATTTCGAGAAGTGGACGACACTTATGTATCTGTTAAAATGTTATCATTAATATCAAGTACGCAATTTTGAAAAGTCATTGATTAAACGTCAGGTTCTTTTAATTCATATTTTATTGCAAACTGCCTTTAATACTTTAACGCTTTTGTCATGTGAATTCTTTACAATTTCGACAAAAATGACAGTTAAGAGTTCTTTTACTTTGTTTGTATGTTTAGATCAAGAAGACTAAATATTTGGTTTGGGCTAAATATTTAGTCTTCTTGGTTTAGATCTAACCTGTAAGAAATCTTCCTGCCAAAATCATATTTACATCGGATGCGTAATATATTATTAACCACCCTATAATTAGGGGTATACAAGCCACCATGTGTATCACTTTCCTACCAATTATTTCCATTAGATAGCCCCCCAAAATGCAGCCTAGAGCCATTGGTAAAGCAACCATTGAAGCTACAAGAAATAGTATTGCTACTGTTATAAGAAGACAAAAATTTGGAGTTTTTATAATTTATACGGTCTCGCATATTTACCTATCCATGATGATAAATCATTGTCAATTTCGAAATTTCCCTCTTCTTTTAATTTTGGCAGTAAAATTGCAGAATATCCTTCAGCCATACCCACACTTGTGGTAACTAAAATTGGTCCTAGAGCAACATAAAACTAAAAAATATAAAAATAAAAATTGTTGCCCAAAATTATTTTCGTACCTGTCTTAATCTGCATGGTATTTTTTGTATCCTCGATATTTTTTCATTGTCATTTTCAACAATGTTTATTTTATCCTCAACCCTAAAATTAAAATTTGTTTAATGGAGTCAATAATAACGAATTAAACATTTTATACTTTTTCATCTTAAAGCACTTCCAAAATTATCTGGGTTAATACAACCAAATTATATAAAATATATTAGAACTATCTAATCTTTTTTATTCAAACTATCTAATCTTTTTTGTTTTTGTGTATAATTTTTTTAGAATTTTTTTTCTCAATTGGTATTTGCTAATTTAAATTATGTAAATATTTTGTATTATTAGGAACAAACAATATCTTAAAGGGTCGTGCTGGTTGCCTATCGGCGATGTTATGCTTGAGGTATTTGAGGCTAGCCTCTTTTCTGACTATCAAAATGATTTTGTTATTTCATCGTCAAAATATAAATAAAGTATAAATTAATTACTAAATATAAGCATTAATTAATTACTTACGATTTATTATGGGCAACCCCTAAATGTCGATCCAGGTTCAAAAAAAATTGTGTACTATAGTATAGTATAAATTTTGTTTGGAATAGCTGCAGCTGCACCATGGTGCCGTCCTTGTGTTAATTATTAATAATAAAATAATTTGGTTATGAGGAATTTGTATTAATAAAAGAAATAGTTTTAGGTTTAATAACAATATTTAAAAAAGTTATCCAATGCGTTGTTTTATAAATAAATTTTTATAATCAAACCCAGTGGGGTAGAGCAGATGTTAAATAATGTTTTGTGGAATCCGTAAGGTTATAAATTATTATTACAGGGTAAAACCTTCAAAACAAATATGTTTTTATGATAAAAAATATATTGACACATCAATTTTAGGGATTTTTTTTCAGTACTTTAAATCTTTAAAAGAAGAAATACTTATATGTCATTTAAAAAACTTCTCCTCTTATAAATTGTTTTATTTTGTATTTAAACAACATTTTTTGGTTTACTCTTAAAATAATCCTCGATTACATGTAGTGGCTTATCCTTGGTCTCGGGCAAATATAAAATCAAGAAAATGGTTCCGAAGAAACAACACACCGCGTAAGTGAAAAAGGTACCATCGGAACCCAAATTGTGCAGCATGCTTGGCGTAACCTTGACAACGGCAAAAATCATTACGTAATTCACCATGGCAACGATACCGCTACCCAGCCCCCTGTTGGCCAATGGGAAAACCTCACCCATCATGGTCCATGGTAGGGGTACGAAACCTTAAAAAAATTTATTGTAAAATTGATACGACCATTTTTTATGTTATAAAACTTACCAATTGTTATAAAACCGGTATACAGCACCAAACAGGTCATAGGTACAAACGTATAAGTTGCTATGTCACTATAATATTTTGTAGCGAAAACAAAACCGCTTAGTACGAATAAGGATAAGAATGTGCCAACTCCACTTAGTATTGCCAGGGGTTTTCTTCCGATTTTCTTCAGCAAAATACAGGCAATTACTGACATAACAAGACGTATAGTGTCTATTATTAACATCGATAAATATTCATCCAAATTGTCTCCGAAAGTTTTTTTCATTATGTCCACACAGTAGAAACTTATAGCGTTGTTCCCTGACCATTGCATGGTTATAAAAAATATCATTATAATCATGAGGGGTTTTAAAAATTCAGGTTTGTTCAATGCTTGAAAGTATTCTTTTATACTTTTTTTAGGTTCTTTGGTTAATATGCCTTGTCTTTCTATTAATACCTCCAACTCTTGTGTAGCCGCTTCAGAATATCCTAAAAATATGGGTTTTAAAACACAAAGGCTTCGAGATGGGGATTTAGCATAGAAAAACCGACCGACATGAGACAAATTGACAATAGGGTTTAAACGGTTTCAGGTATCGGGAGAGCATGAAGTCGCAGTGCATTTTCAACTCGCTATCTATAGTACGTAGAGCCCAAAGTACAAATTACAGTTATCTGCAATGTCAACAAAGACATCTAGTACGTAGCGTCCAAAGTAAAAATTATAGTTACCTGTAGGCAGGACAAACTCGCACAGTAGGATGAATTTAAAAAATGGTAGGACAGATTCGCACAGTCGGATAAATTTAAAAATGGTAAAACAAATTTTTTTAAAAATTTTCAAATTTCCAAAATTAATAGCGTAAGCGTATCCCCTCTAGTTTTTGTAAAAATTAGGTTTAAAAATGTAGAATCATACCTCTGCACCAGTAAAACGCCTTTCTAGCTTCTTCGATTTTTCCAATTTTCGCCAAAAATGTTGGAGATTCGGGTGCTGGTATCATCACAAAAACGCACATCACTGGAAAACTGCAGCACAGTAGGGCAGTGTTTTGCCAACTCATGTATGTACCCAATAGATGTGCCAAAAAAATTCCTAGAGCTATAGCAAAAGATATGGCTGCCAAAAGAAATCCCCTAAATTTAGGGTCTGATGTTTCGCTCATGTAAACCCCTGTAGGGGGGCCTAGCAGCCCTACGCAAAAACCTGAAAAATTAAAACATTTTATTCTCTTGCAATTCTGTCCAAAGTAAAAGAATCGTTGAATGCGTTTTGAAATACTTTGTAAAAAGCACTTTGGTTTGCCGGCGAAAAAAATGGTGCCGTCAATACTTGGTACGCAAAAGGTTAACTAACAATCCTCTCTTGTCGTCAAATATATATATTGACGAAATGTATGCTTTTATCAAAGAAATCGGACTTTTTTTTCAAAAACTCAGCCATAGTAAAATGCTGAATTTCTTTACAATTTCGTCAAAAATGACAGTTAACGGTTCTCTTACTTTGATTGTATGTTTGGATCAAGAAGACTAAATATTTGGTCTAGACTAAATATTTAGTCTTCTTGGTTTAGATCTTACCCGTAAAAAATCTTCCTGCCAAAATCATATTTACATCGGATGCGTAATATATTATTAACCACCCTATAATTAGGGGTATACAAGCCAACATGTGTACCACTTTTCTACCGATTATTTCCATTAAATAGCCCCCCAAAATACAGCCTAGAGCCATGGGTAAGGCCGCCATTGAAGCTACAAAAAACACATTTTTTTTAAATCCATTCAAGATTATTATGATGCACAGAAGTAGTATTGCTACATGGTATAAGAAAGCAAGTATATTTAGTTCGGAGTTTTAGTAATGCACGAGCTTAGTTTTTAACATTTACCTATCCATGATGATAAATCATTGTCAATTTCGAAAATTCCCTCTTTTTCTAATTTTGGAAGTAATATAGCAGAATATCCTTCAGCCATACCTAAACTTGTAGTCACTACAATTGGTCCTAGAGCAACATAGAACTAAAAAAAAAATTGTACCGTTGTGACAATATTTTTTTACAATACCTGTCTTAATCTGGGTGGTATTTTTTGTATCCCAGATATTTTTTTGTTCACCATTTTTAACAGTATTTATACTATCTACAACCCTAAAATTAAAATTTGTTTAATGGAGTCAAAAATAACGCTATAACATTACTTAATGTTATACTTTTTCATCTTATAGCTTACAAGGTATTAAAACTATCATAATCTTTTGTGCGTTTAATTTGTTTAGTAATTATTTTATTTTTTGTCTTATTTGCTAATTTAAATTAAGCAAATATTTATACCTATTATTAGGAAACGAAACAACATTCGATTTTTTTTACACAATGCTCAAAGGGTCGTGTACGTAATAAAGGGCCCCAAAATAAGTTATAATTTTATTACCTAAATATTTTATGCTTGAGGTATTGGAGGCTAGAGCTCGCTGAAATGTTCGAGAAGGCACTTGCGTGACGTGTGTCACGTACGCACTGAATATATAAGGCGTAGAATTATTCAAGCTTTGGTACTCGCAACGAAATAAATTTAATAAACGTGCAAATAAATAGACTCTTATACAGTAGTGAACTATAAATAATTAGTAGTTAAGTGTTTAGTTAGTTTTAAAGTTTCTTAGTGTTTTAAGTGTTAAGTTATAAAATAAATCGTTTAGTTCGTTATAATAATAAACCAGTAATTCACACTGTAATTCACACAGTAAAAACGTTACAATATGTCGGCGCCATATTTGAATGTTGATGCTTCGTGGGGTGCCTTTATATATTGTATTTACTGCTGTATTTTAAATAAATCAAGTATGAATATAAGATTTATTTATTTATTGTAGTAATAATATAATGTACATATTATATAAATAATCGGTATACAACAGTTATGGTAAGTTTGGGTCAGCTGCAGTCAATTAAAAAAAAATGAAAACTAATAATGTCTAAATAATGCCTTAATTTTTCAATAATAAGGAAATATTACAAAATTTGGTAATTTAGTCCAGGCTACTTATACGATTTTAAACTTAACATATAGGAATTTGTACAAGGCTTTTGAGTGTGGATTTTTGGCAAGTTCTAACCAACCGTGAAAAATCCATCTTACAAACACTTGTTTTTGGAACCACCATGGTTATGCATAAGTAGCCTGGACTTGGCCTGGACTAAATTTCCATTAAACAAGCAATCCTAAATAATTCATAATTAACAAACAGTATTTTTACGCTATCGATAGTGCTCGAACTCTAGACTGAAGAAATGGTTTCGCACAGTGGGGCAAACACTACGATACCAGCAAGGATAGGTTGGGTTGCGTGGGGTTGGGTCATAGCAGCATACTAACCAACCAAGCCCCATTTATTAATCACAATTGGGGTATTACTAAATCACTGGTTAAGGGGGATTCCAGATTGTACTTAGTTTTGGGTCAGTCTAATGTCCCCCAAAAACCTGTCCTGCACTCCTCTAGCCTAAATCGGGCGTATGGCCCCAGGATTTGGAATCTTAACGAAAAAAACAATAAAAAAATAATTTATTTTGTATTTAAACAACATTATTCGGTTTACTCTTAAAATAATCCTCGATTACATGTAGTGGCTTATCCTTGGTCTCGGGCAAATATAAAATCAAGAAAATGGTTCCGAAGAAACAACACACCGCGTAAGTGAAAAAGGTACCATCGGAACCCAAATTGTGCAGCATGCTTGGCGTAACCTTGACAACGGCAAAAATCATTATGTAATTCACCATGGCAACGATACCGCTACCCAGCCCTCTGTTGGCCAATGGGAAAACCTCACCCATCATGGTCCATGGTAGGGGTACGAAACCTTAAAAAAATTGTTGTAAAATTGATACGACCATTTTTCATGTTATAAAACTTACCAATTGTTATAAAACCGGTATACAGCACCAAACAGGTCATAGGTACAAAAGTATAAGTTGCTATGTCACTATAATATTTTGTTGCGAAAACAAAACCGCTTAGAACGAATAAGGATAAGAATGTGCCAACTCCACTTAGTATAGCCAGGGGTTTTCTTCCGATTTTCTTCAGCAAAATACAGGCATTTACTGACATAACAAGACGTATAGTGTCTATTATTAACATCGATAAATATTCATCCAAATTGTCTCCGAAAGTTTTTTTCATTATGTCCACACAGTAGAAACTTATAGCGTTGTTCCCTGACCATTGCATGGTTATAAAAAATATCATTATAATCATAAGGGGTTTTAAAAATTCAGGTTTGTTCAATGCTTCAAAGTATTCTTTTATACTTTTTTTAGGTTCTTCGGTTAATATGCCTTGTCTTTCTATTAATACCTCCAACTCTTGTGTAGCTGCTTCGGAATATCCTAAAAAAAGGTTTTGAAACACATAGGCTTAGAGATGGGGATTTAGCATAGAAAAACCGACCGACATGAGACAAATTGACAATAGGTTTAAACGGTTTCAGGTATCGGGAGAGCATGAAGTCGCAGTGCATTTTCAACTCGCTATCTAGTACGTAGAGCCCAAAGTACAAATTACAGTTATCTGCAATGTCAACAAAGACATCTAGTACGTAGCGTCCAAAGTAAAAATTATAGTTACCTGTAGGCAGGACAAACTCGCACAGTAAGATGAATTTAAAAAATGGTAGGACAGTCGGATAAATTTAAAAATGGTAAAACAAATTTTTTAAAAATTTTCAAATTTCCAAAATTAATAGCGTAAGCGTATTTCCTCTAGTTTTTGTAAAAATTAGGTTTAAAAATGAAGATTCATACCTCTGCACCAATAAAACGCCTTCCTAGCTTTTTCGATTTTTCCAATTTTCGCCAAAAATGTTGGAGATTCGGGTGCTGGTATCATCACAAAAACGCACATCAATGGAAAACTGCAGCAAAGTAGGGCAGTGTTTTGCCAACTCATGTATGTTCCCAACAGATGTGACAAAAAAATTCCTAGAGCTATCGCAAAAGATATGGCTGCCAAAAGAAATCCTCTAAATTTAGGGTCTGATGTTTCGCTCATGTAAACCCCTGTAGGGGGGCCTAGCACCCCTACGCAAAAACCTAAAACATTAAAACATTTTTTCCTCTTGCAATCCTGTGTAAAGTAAAAGAATCGTTGAATGCGTTTTAACATACTTTGTAAAAAGCACTTTGGTACTCAGCCATAGTAAAATGCCTAATTTCTTTACAATTTCGTCAAAAATGACAGTTAACGTTCCTCTCACTTTGTATGTATGTTTGGATCAAGAAGACTAAATATTTGGTCTAGACTAAATATTTAGTCTTCTTGGTTTAGATCTAACCTGTAAGAAATCTTCCTGCCAAAATCATATTTACATCGGATGCGTAATATATTATTAACCACCCTATAATTAGGGGTATACAAGCCACCATGTGTATTACTTTTCTACCAATTATTTCCATTAAATAACCCCCCAAAATACAGCCTAGAGCCATTGGTAAGGCCGCCATTGAAGCTACAAAAAATATATTTTTTTAAACCATTCAAGATTACTATGATTGCACTGAAATAGTAGTTTTTAACATTTACCTATCCATGACGATAAATCATTGTCAATTTCGAAATTCCCCTCTTTTTCTAATTTTGGAAGTAATATAGCAGAATATCCTTCAGCCATACCTACACTGGTAGTTACTAAAATTGGTCCTATAGCTACATAAAACTAAAAAAATAAAAATTTTACAATTGAAACAATATGTTTTTTACAGTACCTGTCTTAATCTGGGTGGTATTTTTTGTATCCTAGATATTTTTTTATTGTCATGTTCACCATGTTTAACAATTTTTATATTATCTACAACCCTAAAATTAAAATTTGTTTAGCGGAGTCATTTAGATGTGGAGAAAAAAATATTTAAAACTTTTATTGTTTGGACCACCGTACTATCACCCTGTATAAATAGCCACGGAGGCCACTCAAGTGATATTTTGTTTATCATAAACTTCATAAAATAAGGTCTTAAATAATTGTTTGCAATATACCCCCCCTCCCATGACACACAACGTCACAAACCTCTGACCCCCTCTCACCTTAAAACGTCATTGTAAACAATGCAATGAAAAGTATTTAACTAAGTTGTAGGTACTTACCCCACTTTGTAATTTTTTTTAGTTAGCAGTAAAGCATCATTTTCACAAAAATCATCATTTTTAGTTTCATTCATTTTATTTTAGGAATAGAAGAATACATATACCTAATAGTTATTACGTAATTTTTTGAATGATATGAATAAATTTGGTTTGGAACAGCTGGTGCTGACCTTGTATTAATTATTAATAGTAAAACTATTTAGTGCTTATCTAGTTATTTGTATTAATACAAATAAGTTTAGGAAGTTCTTGGTTTTAAGTTTTATATTTGATTACAACATTTTGAAGAGTTATCCTATGTATTGTTTTATAAATAGGTTTTTATTACTAAACCATTCCAAAATAGTTTTAACTCTATTGATGTTAAACTGTACAGGGTGTCTCAGATTTTATTTGGGAAAATTTAGTAGTCGATAGAATTTTCAAAATAAAGAAGAAAATATCCCTGATAGCACACTTTATTCTAAGAATGTTTTTTAAACCTTCCAGTGAGAATATCATGCTATATTTCTTCTAAAGAACATCCTTAAAACTTTTAAAGTTAAAAGACATATAGCATGATCCTAAGAATATTCTTACTGGCTTATAGGCAGGTTCTTAGAAGGTGCTAAGTTTTAGTGGTAAAAATTAGTCTACTCTAAACCTATGTTTAGAAAGTTAAGAAAGTAATTGCTATAGAAAGTTTATTTAGGAATATTCCTGTTAAGCAGTTCAGTTACCTATATAATAGTAAAATATACCATAAACTACGTATAAAGGTATATACCTATACTTAAGTACCTAATTAGTAATTAGTATTAAATACTAAGTAAAAACACAATAAATATTTTTTTTATAGTTATTTGTCAAATTAAAACAATATTCGATAACAAAAATACTTTTACTATTTTATTTTATGTTAAAAATAAATATTTATTAATTTGTATACCGATTTTTTATTTCTGAATTAACATTTTTATGTATAATAATCCTAACTATCTTCAACTTCAATCTAATCTGACTTATCCTACAACATTTTCCAATTTTACTTTTTATGAAATAATGCCATACAAATTATGGTTTAGAGGTCAAATTGTTTATTTAATATTTTTAAATAAATATATATTAATAGGTCGCAAAATTTTTTAAGGGGACGACAAATACATTTCACTGTTATATTATGACAGTGTGGCGTATTTGTAGCCTCCTGAAGAATTTTAGGAATGTAGAATACAACATATTAGAACGTGGGTATCTGAAATATTTGGAAATATTCTCAAAAGCTTCCTAGAAGCTCCATAAGAAACCTTCTAAGAACATTCAAAAAACGTATTCTTAAAATGTTCTTAGAATGCTTTTTAGGAAGCTTTTAAGAATAAAATTGCAACATTAAAAGGCTATCTATTGAGTCCCTAAGAACATTCTTAGCAATAAGGAAAGGTTCTAAGAATATTCCATTATTTCGGGTCATATCTTCATAGAAGATTCTTAAAATCAGGGATTAGGTAAATAACAAACGTATCTTTCATTTAAATAATTTATTTACAATACAAACAACTTAAGCAAAATTCTCATCGTTATCATACTTAGTCCTTACAGTTTTCACAGGTTTTCTTTTAAAATGCTCCTCAATTTCGTGTAACTCTTTGCCCATAGTCTCAGGGAGGTATAGTATTACAAATATGGTACCAAACGATGCTACCGAACTATAGAGTAAAAAGGTCCCATATGGGGCCAAATGATGGAATAGTGTTGGAGTTGTTTTTACCACTGAAAATGTGGAAATAAAGGCTACGAAGGATGATATGGCACTGCCTAGGCTTCTTTGTTTAAGCGGAAAAATTTCGCTGATTATAGACCATGGTAGAGGCACGAAACCTATTTGTAGGAAGGTTATGTATAGCACTAAAGATGCAACGGGGATGTAAGGGTTTGTCAGGTTGGGATATATGGTTACCAAAAATGTATATGAACTTAGTACTAGTAGCGATATGGTTGTACCAATACCACTTATAATGCCTAGAGGTCTGCGACCAAAATTCCGTAATAAATAACAAGCTAAGATGGACATTACAACCCTTATAGTATCCACTATTAACATACCATGATATTCATTTAACTTGTCGTTTAGAGTTTCCTTTAATATAGATACAGTGTAAAAAGCTAGAGCATTAACACCACTCCATTGAACAGCACAAATAAAAACAATCATCAAAAATAAAGGCTTCAAAAATTCAGGCACCAAAGAATTCTTAACACCTTCTATTATACCCAAAGTGACTTTATCAGAAGTATTTTTCTTCCTCTCCAACAATATCTTGAACTCCCTTCTGGCCTCCTCCACCTCCCCTCTGCACCAATAGAAAGCCTCCTCCGCCTCCTCCAACTTCCCTTTTTTCACCAACCATTGCGGAGACTCCGGTACACCAAACAAAGAGAATAGGCCCATTATTGGAAACAAACAACATATTAAGGCCGTGTTGGTCCACGATGTGTATGTGCCAATCAGGTGCACCAAAAATAGTCCAACTGCAACCGCGGTCGAGATGGATCCCAGCAGAAATGGTCTAAGTCGCGGGCTGGAGGTTTCAGCTATGTAGACTCCAGTGGCGGAACCAAGAATGCCGCAACAGAAACCTGAAGGTTAAAAGTGATCACTAAACCTTCCAAACAAATATTCCCCAACACCAAAGTTGTCTTCTAAACATTCCAGATAAAGAAGAGTCAAATCGCAGCGTCTCGGTGGCCAAATTTGGTAACGTTTTGATTTGACGTTGGGACAAAAAACTTACCTGTTACAAACCTTCCAAGTAAAATGAGCTCGACATCTTTCGCGAAGTATATCAAAAGCCAACCTATTAGGATCGGTGGACACGTTATGACGTGTGTGGTTTTTCTTCCGAGATGTTCGATGAGAAATCCGCCCAAAATGCATCCAATTGCCATAGGAAGTGCTGCCAGAGATGCTGTGAAATAAAAAGATTATGATTATGTTTGAGTATTTTTTTATCTTCAAAGCACTTTATATAGGTCAATTTAATTCAACATCAAAGCGGCCTAACCTCACATTTTTAGAATCTCATTTATTTATTAGTACATTAAATGTACAATAATTATTATTGCTTTTAGAAGCAGTAATAGTTTGACAATACCTAGCTACATGATTTAAGTAGAAATGGATTTTTGCTATTACATTGAATTCAATAAATTGTTTAATAAATAGGTAGGTATCTAATTTCAATTTGTTTGGATTTTTATTTAAAAAATAGGTAGTTTGGAATGTTTAAGCTGTGTTTAACATTTAATTTCACTGAAAACTTTAAGCAAATTAAAACTTAAAAATAATTGGAATCGTAGAAAAAGAATCGTGCGTTTTCTTGGTTGCCTGACCTCACTTTTTGTTTTATTATTCGTATTTAATTTTACAATAATTTAATGAAAAATATTAAACATTAACAGTAAAACAAATTTCTTAGAAATCGGCCTAGGCCATAAAAAGGTAATTCTTTATCGAATGTTGACAACGATAAAGTTTAAATTATAGACCGCGTGGAGATAAATGCATTTATTAATAATAATCAAACAAAATGATTATATTTTAGATTTTATAATGGGATGTTTATAACAGCGAGAATTTGGCAACGTCGTATTTCTACCACGATAGCCAAAAGGTTTTTATCATAGACATACTAATATGTAGATGTTTTTATAATTAACCATTTTTATTTGTTTTCTGTTGTATACCAATTGTTTTGGCATCGTTTTTTTTCACTGTGTTTACGAGATTTTAATTAAGCTTAACCTAGGCGATGTAAGCAAATGATTTAGAAAAATTTGCTATAACCTAAATTTTATTTAGTTGAAAATTCGTATCATACGTGGACGTATTAATATGTCTATGGTATCATATATTTAAAATCCCCCACTCATGAACTGACTATGTGCATAAGGTAAAATGATACGGCTAATCGACAAATTTTTCCTCAAAAAAGGAAACAAAATTAAGCAAATAAGCCGTTTAAAAAACATTGCACATTGTAGCATAACTTTCTATAAATTTACTACGTTATCCAAGATAGTTGGATTGGTTTTTTTAATTAGTTTGTTTAAGTCAATTTTCTATACTTTGTTACAAACAGTAAGATTTTATATTTAACCATTTGCACAATATTGTCAAAAAAATAGTTGAAATCTGGTGTTAAAAATATTTCAAAAATAAATTGTACAATTTTTTAAATAATTCGTATAAATATAGTATAACTTTGAGTTAGAATATAAATTTTACAATATTGGGCAATTTGTTCGGGGGTGAAGCATCACACCACCTAAGATAACCAATGAAATGATTTCCCGATTGAAATAAGACGCCGGCCGGTCGCTCAACTGCAATCTGCATCATTAGTTTGCAGTTTTAGTTAGTGTTGGGAACTTCCCAATGGGAAGTGTATCATTGTGAGGTTAGTACCACATTTCTGGTGAGTAATTATTGAATATTATTTTTCCGAATAGGTAGGTAGGTATTTGCAAAATTGTTCAGGGACTGGAATGAATCAATAATTATGACCTGGTGATCAAATGAGGATAAAAAGTGTTTCTATGTTCCTACTGTGCCACATTATTGATCAGATTACTATTTACTTTAGTTTGTAATTTATGTTTTCAGTTTGTATTAACTTAATTCTACCCTTACAAACTTTTCGTGTTGGTCGCTGAATACATATTTAATCTCTCGACATTTGTACTATTATAAGTGGCAGTTCATGATGATTATATCTCAATATTATTAAAATTGGATATACGAATTTTATTTTTCAGTTTGTAGTTTATGTTTTGTTATGTTTATTTTATGTTGTCAGTGTCAGTTTATATCAAGTTTAGGTATTCTATTTTCCATATTTTTTGTATAAGTCGCTGAATACATAGGTATCTAAATTAATAATTTAGTTTAATTTTTCTTTTTACCACCCTCGCATCCCAAAAATTATTAAAATTTTTAAATAAATTGGAAAAATTATTACAACAATGTTGTGTTTTTATGTGCCACAATTTGTGAGATACTTCGAGTTAAAATTGCACCTACCTATCCAGGAAGCTTGTTCCTTGGTTATCCTGAAAAAATTATTATCTTGGTTTTCTAATTGTGGCAATAATGTTGCTGAATATCCCAAAATCATACCAAAGCTTAACGTCAAAAATAAAGGCCCTGACGCCAATAATATCTAAAAAAATAAAAATATTTAACACAAAAAATACAATTTTTACGGTGTAAAAATGGGTACAATTCTTTTGGTGATTCTTTTCATCTTTTCAGTACTTTTAGCACTTTTTTATTCTTATCATTAAAAAATAAACTAGACCAACACTATTGTCATTTAAACACCATTTTAGTTCATATAAATTATAATTAAAGATATAGCACAAATGTTTAGTATTTTATTGTATTAATAAACTTTAATCTTTCATATGTGATAAAGTTTATTACAGCAAAGGCATAGTCTTGGTTATGGATTTTAAGTACAGTTTTGATGGTAAATTTTATGATTCAAAAGTCGGTATTTAAATAAAAGCCAGAAAAAGTTTTAATAGATAATTGCGAATCCTACTCTCTAAAAACGAATTGGTCAAAAATGACTAATTACTACAGTTATTATACCATTCTAATAAACATTTTTGTTTTTATAGTGGTTTCCATAAATGTTATATATCCAAATTATAAAACCTAAATTTCTTAATTTGGTTACAGAAATATTTATATCACTCTTATATACCCCTTAAAGAGCTTATACTATAAAACCCAAGTTTTATAACTAGAGAAAACAGGAATATTATGGAAACTACTATATAACTTTCTAAAGAACTGCTACCGGCTTTTTTCCATCTTTTAATATTTCTTCATACGCTATCTTTCTTATTGTCATCTTATTCATTAACTTGTTTAAACCACGTGAATATTTTAAGAAGCCAAGTGTGGTGGAAATATTAATGGTATATAATTTAAATCTAAGATTTTTTACTCAATACGACTTTAAAAAGTGCAAAGTAATTTTTATTGTAAATATGTACACAATACTTCGAAAAACAGCAGGGGACATCAAAATACCGAAACATAAATATTTTTTATACTATTAAAATATATTTAAAAAAATTTTTTTAAATACATTAATATCTTTCTTTTGCTTACATTGAAAGTAGTGAATTTTTTACCATGGTTTGGTCAATTAAGTTGTTTTTGTAATACAATTCGATTAACATTTATTTTATGTAAGAAACAATCATCTTATATTGCTCATGGTAATTTTATATAACCGAAGGTACTATTTCAGTTTTATAAGACTATATAAGTTACTTAAAGTGTTATTATATAATATAACTCTTATATACATTGTAGTAACTGTCGTTACTTTAAGTGATTTTACTAAACATTCGATTTAATCCACTTTTAAAATATTTATGTCAATAATATTATATTACTTATATATTCTATGCTAAATATTTTCTTTTCAACCAATTTTTAATTAATATTATGAAAAATCATTGCGTCGAAGGCTACTATGCTTAATTTCTGTTTCAATTACTAAACATTTTTGGTTTATTAAGCTTTTTAATAATTAATAACGCACAAATTTTATTTAAAAAAATAGTTTTATAAAACAGATAACCGCAAACTTTATAAAACTCCTTTATAAATCTACTGGTAACGGTTACTAAAGGTTATATAAAATGTTTGTAGAAACAATTATATAACCTAATATATATATATATATATATATATATACCTAGAGTTATATGACCATTATAAAACTAGTAAACTAAATGTCGATTTTATAAAACCTTGTTAAACTTATATAATTTGACAACTCTTATATAACCTTTATTGGGACTTTAAACCATGGATACCATGCTAAGATACCATGGTATCTCCAACATTTAATAGCCAATTCTTATGGTATAAGTGAAAAAGCGGTCACTAATAACTGTAGTAATTAGTCATTTTTGACTAATTCATTTTTAGAGAGTAGAAAACCACTATATTATAAACCATAATATTAGATTTGTTATTTTCTTACCTGTTTAACATGTGGTGAAATTTTGTCATTTTCTTTTTTTGTTTGATTTTCATTTTTATCTTCTTTTATTTTTTTGTTAAATTTTAGTAGTATACTACAGTATACTGTTTGTAGTATATCTAAATTACTAAAAATATATAATAACATTTTATTATTATTATTATAAAAATATGAACCTGTTTTTTATATATTTTTAATTTTACGTAAACACGATTGCATGAATATTAAAATTAATGAGAAACCTTTCTTTACTTACAATATTTATTCAGTGTTGCCATTGGTAGAAAAGTTTCCCTAGTTAATTAATTAATTATTAAAACTATAAAATCAGTAAATACAGGGTATCTATATAAAAACTATATCGAGGATCAAATGATGAATTTTTCACCGTTTAACATATCACCCTGTAGGAAATTTACTTGACGAACCGTGAGCTTCATATCTATATCATGAATTGTCAGAGGATGAGGCTAGCAGACATCACAGACCAAAAAAAAATCGTTCAAGAAACAAAAAAGTTATGTCGTTTTGAAAAAGAACGAACTTTTGGGTCGTGACACATTGAGTGGTGCGCAGTTTATTAGAAAGTTTTTTTTAGTACTAGTTTTTAAATAGACACCCTGTATTATATCAAAAGTTAAACGCGCTTTTAGAAATTATTGTATCGGCAACCATAAATACAATCTTGTACTGTTTTGTTGTCGCCATAGACCAATATAAACCCATTCAGTTTTAGAGTTTAGTTTAGTAAATTATTAAAAAAAAAAATATTGTTATTTTCCATATAGCTACAGTATTAAATAGAGACACTGAGTCTGTCAATCACTTGTCTCTGATGTTAAATACATTTAGTTTCAGTTTTTTTAGGGAATTTTATAATTTCTTGTAAGGGAATTTATATTGTTGGACCTGGCAACACTGCGTATATTTCTGAACTTTATTTTTTTATAAAACTTTACATAACACGTAAAAATTTTAATTTGACATTTTTGCTAAAATTTGTATGGTCGAATGTTATCAATTTTAATATTTGCAAATACTTTGCAAAATTTTCAAGCAATGAGGTTATTTGTAATTTTATTATATTATACAAGGTGTTTAGGAAGGTGTCACACCACCCAAGTTTTCTGGAGTCGGCACTTTTCGAAAATTATTAATGATTAAAAATATTTTTCTTATTGAATTTTTTAGTCACAAACTCACAATATGTTAATGCTGCTAAAGTAAATTTGAATTTGCCAGTGAAATTTTTAGTCAGGAAAGTAAATAAGTAATGAATTTGTAAAATGGATTATTCTTTGCCTCTGGCGAAAAATGCTCTAGCTACGCCATTGATCTTCAGATAAATATAAATGCCTCTGGGATTTTTATTTTGAAAATTTATTCAATCCAACAAATTCCTTTACAATTTGAGATCCATATTTAAAAAAGTCGGCATTTTAATAGAAATAATCGGAATCTTCGCTGGTGGTACATTATTTTTTTACATTGTATAAAATTTACAGTTTTTAGCTGGATTTTTAGCCAGATTGACAACGAAAAAAAAATAATATTTTAACGCAATAATATTTACAATTTAAAAACATTATGCAAGAGTATTACAATTGTACCTAGGTACTCATATACATACAAAAAAATTAATGGTAATTTTATTTCTATAACTATACTTTTACTTTTCTAATAATAATTTTTATGCATTGTTTATCATATGATTTAAATGCCAAGGTCAACACTCTCTTTAACTAAATATATTAAATTTGTTTGAACAATTAAAAAATTACAATTTTTATTACTTTGAGTTTATGACCATCTTACATAAATTATTGCTTACAATTTATGTTTTATTTTGCCTATATGTATATAATATATTTTTTTTCAATGAAGAATGGTTTTATTTGTTTTTTCAAAATACATATTTTTTACAAATTTTTACAAAAATTTATTCCAATTTCATCAATAGCATATTGTCTTTTAACTGTCTTTTAATTTTGCTTTTTAAATTACCCAATTAAAAATGCCAAGTGGTGTTAAGTCGCACGATCTCGGTGCAATTGATATTTCTACGGGTAGAATCACCCTGTATATTTATACAGAAAATAGAACGATTTTTTTGTTGTATAAGTACGTCACATAGAGTTGCTACGTTTTTAAACTTATCTGTAATTTTCTTTGGTAACAATTTTAAAATTTAAAAAAAACATCATATTATTTATATGCACATTAAGAAGATTCGTTTAAGAAAGTATACAATTGTATTGTGTAATATTATTTAATGGTACAATGTACAATGGATTTCCTTAATTTAGACCTTTGACCTAAACTATCTAAAATGCACCATTACGATAGAAAACACTTTTAAGTAAGTTTAATAACTATTTTATTAATTACAATTTTTTTAAACCTAATTTTTTGTCGTAAAATTTTTATAAATATTTTTTGGTACTTACATTTTCATTTTTGGTCACTAAAATTATCCACGGTTCACCAAATCGCAATAAAATAATTTTAAACAATAATTCAAATTTGTTTAATACTTTCCCTTTCCGAGCTTAAGAAGAAAGTTTAAAGTGGGATAATATTTGATTTACGAATATAAAAGATAAAAGAAAGTAAAAAATCACTGTGTATCGTCGATGATGTTAATAAATTTGGCAACAAATATATACAAGGTTTGGATTATTAAAATGTAAAATCTGTTTTATTTATAAAATCAAAAAATGGCGCCTAATTGATTTTTTATGTTATTTAATTTGAAAACGCCATTAAATAATAATAATATTAATAATAATGTTCCAAACTAATTTAGTCAAACTATACAGTGTGTTTACTTAAGTTGGCAACATTTGGAAAACTTTTTGATTATTAATTTTAAGAAAAAAGTTATTCTTCATAAAAAGTTCCGCATGTTCTAAAATCTAAAATACAATCATCAGATATTAAATTTTTTTAGTCGTATAAGCGGTCAAAAAATCTGAATCTTACTAAAGAGTAAAGTACCTTTATATTTAACAATATCAAAAATTGTTATTAAAAAAAGTTGATCAGAACTAAAAACTACGTTCAAATATGCAATTACTTTCATTTACATGGAAAAATCATTTTTTCTTTTTTTGTTTACATTTACTTACTTTTTAGTAGTTGTAGTTTTCGATATTGTCACAAATAAAGGTACTTTACTCTTGTATCAAATTCATATTTTTGGTAAAACCTCGTATATGATAATTTGATATTTGATTATTTTATTTTAGATTTTAGAACATGCAGAACTTTTTATAAAGAAATACTTTTCATTGTAAAATTAACAATAAGAAAGTTTCCCATATCTTGCCGACTTAAGCAGACACACTGTATATACAATGTATATTATACATACGAGGTGTGTTCAGAAAATAACGGGAATTGTTAAATTTCGCGGGTTCGGAGGGTCCGGTTGTCATAAAATTTTCTTTATTATGTTGGTATATATACAATGTATATTATACATATATGCCCCCGAAGTATGATAAAAACTTTAGCTGTTTTCATTGCTTACTTTGTCTGTGGCAGCCGCTAAGGTTAGACGTGTTTTATGAGCTCGGCGATTTTTCGTTCGTTAAAAGAAATGGATCAAAGAATTTGTACCCAATTTTGCTTAAAAAATGAAATAAATTCTGTAAAATGTTAACAAAGGCCTATAGTGAGTCTGCTATAAGTAAAACAAGAGTTTACAAGTGGTATAAGAGTTTCCAAGATGGCCGTGAAGACGTTGAAGATTACGAACCCCCCGAACGCACAAGCACATTAACAACCGATAAAAACATGGAAAAAAGTGAAAGAAATGGTTATAAACCATCATAGAAGTCGCTGGTGATGTTGGTATATCGATTGGCTCATCCCATGAAATTTTTTCGAATTTTTTGGGTATGAAACGCGTGGCAGCAAAATTTGTTCTAAAATTGTTAAATTTTGAACAAAATTTTTGGCCAAAAACAATACTGTAATGATGCCCCAGCCTCCATATTCGCCAGACATGCCTCTGTCTGACTTTTTCCTATTCCCAAAAATAAAGAGAACCTTAAAGGGCCGTCGTTTTGCAAGCATAGATGACATTAAAAGCGCATCGCTGAAAGAACTAAAGGCTATCCCAAAGATCGAGTTTTAGAAGTGTTTTGAGTATTGGAAGAAGAGCTGGCACATGTGCATAATATCCAATGGGGACTATTTTGAAGGCGACAACATTAATGTAGACGAATAAATAAATATTTGTTTCAAAAAACGAAAATTCCCGATATTTTCTGAACACACCTCGTATATAGTTTTTAAACCGTTTGAGATTTCAGTGGAACAAAGTAGTATATAAATAGTTATGGCATGAACATGTATTAAAATAATAAAACTCAAATTATTTTAAAAAATAACTGTATTTTTTTATTGAAACTATTTACAGGTGTAGCTACAGTTACCATAGCCGAATAATTATTTAAATAACATTATTATTTAGTCTTTTAAAGCTAAACAATTAGTACTTAGGTAGGTATTACTATATACATCAAATCTTATGAAATAAATTAAAATTAGTAAGAAAATATTTTTGAAACATAACTCCACACCAATATCACTAAAACGCCCTGTATAACTTTCTTAAGGATGGTGTCGATCCAGTTAATTCTAAAACAAAAATACAAATAATGAAACTCTGCCTTAAAAATGCCAACTAACTGTTTTAAGAATATAAATTGAATTTGGATATAATTTCCTATCTACATACCTTTTAGCTTTAACTAAGGCCACCTGTAATGTATCATCGGGATCCTTCAACAAATATTTCCTTACTCCCTTCATGTAATCATTGAAAAAGATATACCAATTAACTCTTTCAATGCTTAGAGGAAACAATAATTTGTCTTTTTCCGACAATTTATTGAACAATTTTTTGGTATTGTCGTTGGAAAAAGTCCACTCTCTTAGGCTAAAGTAGCTTATTACATCCACGAGTTTGTGGATTTTCCTGTACATTTCCATTAACCTAAAATTTTGTTGTTTTTAGGTTGTGCGTTAAAAATACTTTCATTTGATACCCCACAAGCCATACTTTGACGTTATGCTATATTTGCTATATAGCCTATGATAGCATTCCAGTTTATCTCCAAAGTAGGGCTTGTGGGTACTCTAAGAAAATGGTTTTTTATTCTTAATTTGAAAATGTCAATATTTTTTACCTAGGTTTGTTCCCCGTGACGAAAGCAACCAGGTCCATGACGATAGCGGGTAAAAAGTGAAACAAAAATGTGTATATTGTGTACAATTTTTCGTGCTTTGTACCTTTAACGCCGGACGTCCAGAAAGTGTTGGTCAGTGGGTATTTAAGGCCGTGTAGAGCGTTTATATTGTGAAAGTCGCTCCATCTAAGGGGGTTTTCCACTGACGACACGTAGTTGTATATCGAAATGTTTTCGACGGTTCTAAAAGTATTTACTTAAAAAAGTTAATTATTTCTGAAAAAAAGCTTATTACCTTTCGGTTTTTTGGGTTCCCACGTCCCATGCTGCTGCAATAAGGCCGGCTACACACGTATCAACCGGTACCAGATCGGCCAACATCGATTCGTCGTTTTTCATTACCCTTAAAAGTCCGGAACTCCCTCCGGCAACAATTCCGGTTGGACCGTACATATTATCAATCCAACCGGGGATTGGTTCTTTGTATGTTGAAACCACTAAAAAAAATAAAAAGGTTTTTACTACGTGTTTAAATTTTTTTATAAAACCTTTTTAAAACTGCATTCGTATTATTAAAAACTTTTAAAAACAATATTAAATCATGTTAAACATTGTTAAAACAAATAATAATAATTTAGTTTTAATTGTAAATCTATTTTATGTAAACTAGTTTTAGTACTTGATCTTTGTATTAAAAAAAACACAGAAACAATAAAAAACAAATGTGTTAAACCGCAGAAAATTTTAATGGTAATTATTGTATAATTAAACCAAACATTAAAAATATAATATAAATTGTAAATGTAATGGTATATTATGCAACAAAATTTATAAACAGCAGTTTGAATTAGGCAGGAGCGAAGCTTGTGGTATAAACGTGGAAGTAAAAATAATATTTAATAAATTTTCAATGTTACTTACCGATAGCTGGCCTAAATATCCCAATTGGTATTCCATTTCCTGTTTTTTTAATTAATGATTCAGCCAGCGCTTTAGTAAATGTATAAGTGTTGGGCCATTTGCCTAATATCCTAAAAAAATAAAACAATTGTTGACAGAAATAATTCTCAGTAGAGTAAAATAAAACAAACCTTGGGGTAATGTCGTCTGCCTCGTTTTTCGTGAGTTTTTCCAAAACAACGCCCACATCATCATAGTTAACCGGATAGTCGTAAAATTTCTCGTCTATTTCTTTCAGGTGGCAGTTTGAATAGGCAGTAGAAACATGCATTACAGACTACAAAACAATTAGTATTTTTGTAATGTACACAAAAAAACACGACTTTTGATACCCCACAAGCCATACTTTTACGATATGCTATATTCAGCTATATAGCTGTATAGCATTTTTATCACATCAACAAAGTATGGCTTGTGGGGTATCAAACTTCATGATTTTTCACGTGGAACCCAAAAAACATACTTTCAAATTTTTCATTTGTCGACTCAAATCCAGTATTTCCTTTGCCGCGTTCACGTTAACGGAGTAGGCTAATTTTAGGTTTTCGTCGAATCTCACTGTGGCCGCCACGTGGAAGACCATGTTGGTGTTCGTGATGATTTTTTTTCTGTCTTCCAAAGTCAAGCCCAGGCCACTTATCGAGCAATCGCCCGGTATGGGCTCGATTTTGTGTCGAAATTTCGGGGTTTTCTTTTTTAGAACCTCGAAAATCTACGAAAAAATGCAATGTTAGGAATAATATGTCCACTATAAGTCATAATATTTTACAATTTTAAATATATATAAAAAATACAAACCACATCGTCAAACAATTCGTCTGCCCTGCTGTGAACGTTTTTTCCTTTCTTATCCCTGATCAAAATGTATATCATTTTCACTTCCGTGCTCCTCAACAGTTTTTCTATGAGTATTTTTCCCAAAAAACCAGTGCCGCCCGTTAAAAAAACAGTGGCACCGTTGTAGTACTTTTGTATGTCTGTCTCCTGCATTGTGATGGTATTAAAAATCTGAAGAAAAAAAAAAGAATTTTTGTTTATAAAATTTAACCCAGCGTTATACCTTTGAACCCACCAGATAGTTATCAAACACTGACTTGAGCTTTAATGTAAAGAATTTGGGCCCTTAGAACCTGTTTTTAGTTTCCACCATGATTAAGTCTTATTTAGGGTTTTTTAATTATAAAATTCCTTTGTGGGTCCTTCTATGTAAGGGTATATTTTTTATTTAAAGAGCTACAAGGTCAGTTAAATCAGAAAAAAAGTTGCGTAATTCAAAATGTATTAAAATGGCATTTAAAAATTAGGAAAAACATTAGCGGTTTTTAAATAATTAAAGAATAACTGAAAACCTGTCAAAATCAAAAATTCTTATAGATTATTTTTGGGAATTTTGAAAAAAGTTTTACATGTAAATATACACATTTAACTACATTTTTACTATGGCCGCCATATTGAAATTTGACATGGTTAAATAAGAAAAAAAATCAAGGAGTTCAACGATGTAACAAACTACTTAAGTTTACAGGTTATTTTGTAGTAATATATTTTAACTAATAAAAGAAACTTAATGGACATATTACTAACTAGTTAAATATTTAGTTTATTAATAGTCAATTTTAACCAAATATTTAGCTAGTTTTTATCAATCTCTGTTTCCAGTTAGTCTATCTGACAGTTAAATTCCATATCGATCGTTGTGAGAACAATGGTATCCATGGAAATTATCTTTCAGATAACTAACTGCAACTTTAACTGGGCATTGATAAACCGGCCTAGTAATTTTTTTAGACATATTTTTGTTTAGTTTAACTTTTGATATTACTTTTTGTTAAATTAACCACATCTTTGGTTAATTTGGATATGTATATTTAACCAACAAGTTATATTTTACCAAATATATTTTAAACTCTGCAGAGTTAATTAACGTTAAATTAATAAACTGGTTAAAAAAGTAATGGTTTTGCAGTTTGTTACCTGCATAGAAAAATTAGTATCAATACAGCCTTATACATACAGGGTGTCCCAAAAGTCCTTTGAAGGACCAATAGCCCTGCTTATGATTAATCAGAATATCAAAACATGACCGTAGTAAAAAATCTTTGGTTTTTGAGATATTTGCATTTTTATGAATTTTGTAAAACCAATAAAATAGTGCAAAATTGTTTGTTTTCAAAAGGCAAAAAACTATCAATAGTTTTATTTTGAACTGAAATCAATAGCCTATTCAGGGTTGCACAACATAAAATAGAATCTTAGAATATGGAATTTTGTAGCTGTGGTAATCGAAAAACTGATCCAAGGTTTTAAGTTTTACAAAATTCATAAAAATAACAATATCTCAAAAAGTAACGATTTTTCACTAAGGTCATATTTTGATTTTCTGATTGGTCATGGGTCGGCCTATCAGTTCTCCAAAGGATATAGTTGACATTTGGGACACCCTGTATACATATACGTATACGTATATAAACCTAGGTTATGAGTTTTGTGTGATAATGGAGCCTAAAAGAAATAATTTAAAAAAATATATACTTTCTTCAACAGAAGAGTTAACAAAGTTGTAAATCTATATTTATCTACAAATCTTAAAGCATCTATAGGTTTTACCACAGATAGGTATTAGTAAAAATATTTTCTTTTTTTTTCAAAGCGCATTTAAAATATAAAAATATTATGTACTAAAGTTCATTTTTTTATATGGACAACGTTGCAAATTTAGGGGTTTGGTTGGTAAATATGGAACCAAAATTGGTTGCATTGATTAAAACAAACTAAACCAGTTTTAAATGTAATTGGGTCAGAATTTCTCAAACGGGCCACCTGAATTAGGTCAAAATTAGTTTTTGTTTGTAGATACATTTTTTTGATAGTATTTTACATCACTAACACAAATCCTAAAGGATTTTGTAAAAAAAAAAATTTCAATTGACATATTCATGATATTAAAAGTCAAAGTTTTTAATAATTAAAAAATAAAAAAAATCATTATGGCTGAACTAATTATCCGATTCCAACGATATAACTGGCGTTGGAATCTTGTTTTGACATAGATTCTTTGTTATTTTTTTCAATTGTCCTATTTTCATTTAGGTCGATTTTTTTTTGTTTTTTTTTATACCAAATTCGGAAATAATTGCCTTCTGCGCCAGCTATCGACTCGAGAAAAAAAACACATATACTCCAATCATTTCTCGAAATTATGCTGCTGAGAAAAAAAATGGCCCGCAGGTTGACAAAAAGTTATTCGTCCTTTTGTGGCCGCGCGCGGTATCAGCTCACGCTCCGAACCGTGTACGCTGTACGCGCTTGTGACGCGACGTCTTACGGTGGTCTGGAACCTGCGGGCCATTTTTTTTCTCAGCAGCATAATTTCGAAAAATGATTGGAGTATATGTGTTTTTTTTTTCGAGTCGATAGCTGGCGCAGAAGCCAATTATTTCCGAATTTGTTATAAAAAAAACAAAAAAAAATCGACCTAAATGAAAATTGTACAATTGAAAAAAATAACAAAGAATCTATGTCAAAACAAGATTCCAACGCTAGTTAAATCGTTGGAATCGGATAATTAGTTTAGCCATAATGATTTTTTTTTATTTTTTAATTACTAAAAACTTTTACTTTTAATATCATGAATATGTCAATTGAAATTTTTTTTTTTACAAAATCCTTTAGGATTTGTGTTAGTGATGTAAACTACTATCGAAAAAATGTATCTACAATCAAAAACTAATTTTGACCTAATTCAGGTGGCCCGTTTGAGAAATTCTGACCCAATTATAATGTAATTGTGGTTATGTTTAAATTATTGTGGGTTACATTCAACGGTTGTCAAGTTGAGTTGTAAAAATTCGTAGTTAAAAATGCAATTAATTTGGCTTTGGTGGTGTGATGAGTAAAATCATATAAAAAAGTAATTAAATATAGGTGACTACGGCCCAGCCCTAGCGGATAATAATCTTCGCTTTGAAAAGAATTTATATAAAAGAAATTAAAATTTTATGTGAACACACGTGAATGTTGTCCAATCATTGGACTCCAATGGTGAATGGGGATTTTGTTAAAGCCACTGGACATTAATACTTGTAGTGGCTTAATAATAATTATAATGTATATATTGTCCAGGACTATTAATGATCAGTAACTTGCAAATTGAAAGAAGAAAAAGTTTCGTGATCATTGCTTATCTTTTTGAAACCAAATGGATGCTATTTTCAAAGACAGGAAAATTAACTACTAGATTTTTCACAAGAAGGTTGAACCTAACAGCAAATAATTTTCATTTTTTATTTCCCCCTATTTTTTTTAAATTTCAGTATATCACCACCATGTACATATATTTTAATTATAAACAATTACATACTTTGTTGCATTAATACATTAATTATGTAAGATAATACTCAATTGTAACGCCAAAATGATATTTAAATTTATTAATTGCGTTAAATTAAATATAAAAACATTAAGTTGTAAATAATTTTAAATAAATGTTTATTACTACAGGTTGCTTACCCACATCTACTACACATAATATAATTGTTTTGTTTATAACCAATATTTGGTATTAAATATTTACAAAAAAAAACGATTTTATTATATACCTATACATTTACAAATGAAATTTTAAAAACCTATATATGTGTAATGGGCCATTCCTAGGATAAAATTATTATTTAAGGCATGTCATATTGATTCCCCACGAATTAAAATTCCTTAGCGCTCGTACATTATGATTTTTTTTATTGAACATAGCTATCAATGATGAATAATGTCTTTGAACTATTTATTTAAATTCAATGTAAGTTTCGTTCATCATAAGGATTTTCCTTCGAGTTTAACAACCCAAAAAAGCATTGAAAACTTGCAAAAACAAATTAATATTCTTAGAAGTTTCTTTTTTTTTGCCTGGAGCCTTTAAAATGTTTAGGATATCTGTTTGCCATCAATTGACGCTGCATTTACAAAATTTACGAACGAATAACGAAATTTTACAAAATTATCAAAAATGACAATAGAGATTTCAATTTCTCTTTACAGTTAGTTTTTACAGTGCTCATAAAACATTCTCTTTTTTTTTAGTGTGAAAAACTACTTCTACATCGTTTGTTAGTGTATTTTCAAGGGATAAATTTACAGAATTTACAAAAAATTTGTTGAGAACAAAAGTTCATAAAATAATATAATTTTTTTAAATATTAAATTTTCACTTATACGGTTTATCCTGGGACAATGCCAACTTTCCTATTTTTAATAAACACACTGATTTTTTAATTTTTTGGATTCTACTTACTTTTTTAGGTAAATTGGTTAATTTATGTAATAAGAAAAAATATATAACCTTTTGAGTAAACTTAAAGTATCTTTATAATTAACTTATCTAGTTTGTGTGTATAAGTTTATTTTACAAAATATTATACAGTGTGTGTTTTTTAATGCGTAGAAAATCGAGACTTCAAAAAATAAAAAGTCTGTATTTTAACATAATAGTATATTATGTATCAAGTTTGATAAACGCCATTTTATACACGAATTTAATTTAGGCACGACCGAGCTTGCGAGCGAGTACTTAAATTAATGAGTGTATAGAAAAGTTTATAAACGAGGTGCATACCATACTTTTTCTACAACTACTTATTATTCTCTTAAAATGATTTAAATCAAAAATTTGTATAGAGCGCCATCTATGAAACAATAGGGGAATCTGTGTGTCACCGTCAAATGTCAAATTTTTGTATTTTATAAACACAGATTATAAAGGTTATAAATCGAAATGTATTTCTTGAAAATTGACAGTTTTTCACAGTGAAAGTAAAGAAAATGTTTTATGACCACTTTACAGTGGAGTCCGTGCCCGAATTTAAGTTATAGTTTACTGCCGGCGAAATGAAAAGGTCAGTACAATGTTCATATAAACTTTTCAAATATTGCCGTTGAGAAACTATTTAATACTTTTGTATTTTTGTATTGAGATAATAAAATAATTTTCACATTTA